TAAAAAGCGGTTGCAAAAGAGAGATATATTATGTTTGTGTAAGCTTCTTTCAAATCTCTGAGACAGGTGAATCTCCGGATTTTGAAAAGTTACACATTTATAATACATAGAAAAGTGAATTCGTTTAAAAATTTACAGGGGAAGTGCTCAAAGTGCGAAGCTCATATTTTGATGGCCCAAAACTTTCTCGTACTCTCCCTTGCGGCCGAGAGAGTACGCTAAACGCGGAGAGCGGTCAGAGAGAAAAGCACAGAAAGGCACTTTTTGGCCATAACTTTGCCAGTTTTGCGCGGAAAAAATTGATTTTTTGTGGAAACATTACCCTATGCGGTAAAAATAGGTATCAAACTTTTCATGCCGAATTTTCGCCGACTTTCCATCTTAAAATCTCGATTGTTTCTGCAAAACGCGAGCTAGGACTCTCACATATATCTCACAGGGGAAGTACTCCAAGTGTGACGCTCAGATTGTCTTTAAATTTTGCACACACGTCGGGTATGGACTAAATATCAATTCCTGAAAGTTTTAGCTTGCGCTTTGCGGGCGCCGCCAAAATATCGAACGATTTTTGCCGCCGAGAGAACACGCTAAACGTGGAGAGCGGTCAGAGAGAAAAACGCTTTTTGGCCATAACTTTGGCAGTTTCGTGCGGAAAAAATCGATTTTTCGTAGAAACATTATCCTTTACGGTAGAAAAAGGCATGAAACTTTTCGTGCCGAAATTCGGCAAAAAGTCCTAAATTTTCGCCGACTTTCAATCTAAAAATCTCGGTTGTTTCTGCAAAGCGCGAGCTAGGATTCTCGCATATATCTTTGGAAAAAATATTCTAAATTTGTGCCAAGTTTCATCAAAATCTGAGCGTCGCACTTGGAGTAATTCCCTGTTTCGAAAAGTACTTCCTCTTCAGAAATCGATAACTGGTCTAACCACGAGAAAAAATTTCACGAAAATCTGAGTGTTGCGCTTGGAACAATCGGTTAACTCAAGTTTGAAAGCAGCCCAAGGTCCCCCAAAACTCACTAAAATCTCATGCCACCAAATACCGCAAATTTTCACCTGCTGCCATTTCATTGGTAAAAGTCCACACGAATATTTGTTACATTTTTTTTGAAACAAGTTAATATGGTAGTCCTGCGAAGGCCAAAGTTTTGAAAACATTCATTATGGACCTTACAGCGAAACCGGTTGACAATAACAAGTTTATTTTTTGTGACTGTTTACCACCGAAAAAGGTCTTTCTATCAATTTTAGTCATGTGCAAATTAACAGGGGAATACCTCAAGTGCGACGTTCAGATTTTGATGAAACTTGGCACAAATTTAGAATATTTTTTTCTGAAATATATGCGAGAATTCTAGCTCGCGCTTTGCAGAAACGACCGAGATTTTTAGATCGAAAGTCGGCGAAAATTTAAGACTTTTTACGGAATTTCAGTTTTAATTTCGCGCTTTGCCGGCGCCGCCGAAATATCGAACGATTTTTGCCGCGGAGAGAGCACGCTAAACGTGGAGAGCGGTCAGAGAGAAAACACCTTTTTGGCCCTAACTTTGGCAGTTTCGAGCGGAAAAATTTGACTTTTTGTAGAAACATTATCCTTTACGGTAGAAATAGGCATAAAACTTTTCGTGCCGAAATTCGGCAAAAAGTCCTAAATTTGGCCGACTTTCGATCTAAAAATCTCGGTTGTTTCTGCAAAGCGCGAGCTGGAATTCTCGCATATATCTTAGAAAAAATTATTCTAAATTTGTGTCAAGTTTCATCAAATTCTGAGCGTCGCACTTGGGGTACTGCCCTGGTAAGAGTTTCCAAAGGCTAAATGTCACATTTTTGCCAACGTTAGGCGTAAAAACATCGGTTGTTTCTGCAAAGCGCGCGTTAAAATCGTAAAACTTTCGGCCGCAAAATCCGCAAACAACTTGCTCCCGAGGTCGTCGTACAAAGCGCGGAACACAAGTCGGATGTTGAGTTGATGAATTCGACGGAAGCGGCGGACTGAAACACAAGCACCGCCGCGAGAGAATTGCCAAATTAAACAAGGCGCGCCGGCCGCGGGACACGAAAAAAGAAACGGGAAATGCAATTCGGTCACCGCATTCCCCAAGAACGACCCCCAGCTGCATTTGATGGCATTTTTCAACTCAATTTCCGCTCCGCTAGATTGAGATGGAGGCCCCGCCGACGGGGATTATGAAAAAAAAACAACATGATGAGTTGTTTGGCAATAACGCGTAATTTGATGATATCTCTCGGATTCGGTGGGTGGCTATGAGAAGGCGTCCTTAAGGCCAAGAGTTGAATAAAAATTGAAATAAAGGGAATACAATAGACATAAAGGAGCTACGAGTTTTCGGTTCAGCGACAGTTCGGGTCAATGATACTATGGATCGCGTCGGTTCGTCGTTGTATGCATGGGGAGGCTAGGAGAAGGCTTAGTTGGTAGAAATAATAGGATTGAACGGGTCCTAGGACAGCTTATCGTCTATTTTGAGGTATTTTACATGTACTCACACAAATAATATCTAGACAAAAGCTACGGATCTTCGTTTTTTGCCGCGAATTTTGGTCTTTGATATGTTACAATAACTAACAAGGGCTCGGCAAAACCTCGTCCCCTGGTTTTATCTTGAAACATACACCATTCGAAAGAGCGTAAAAAACTGGTCTAGGATCACCTTGAATTAGCTGCTATTATCCACTTACGGCCCGACTAGCGGGCATTTTTTAAAATTTCCAAATTGGATTTTGGAACTCTTTGCTTCTGAGACGTGAACGAGATCGAATAATCACTTTTCATATAAATATTAGTCATTTATGAGGTTGAAGCTTCAACCTATGTCAAAAAATACAAAAGGTTTTCTGAGTTTGAGACATTCAGGTTGATGTACTCAATGAGTGATTGCGCGATGTTTTGGGTCCTGTAACTCAAGACAAACGAAGATGTTCCAAACATGTAAGATGTTTTCAGACTCAATTTTTACGTACTTTCCGTTAGCGGGCATTCCTAGTAAAAATATGAAAGCCTTCGAAAGTTTCAACCACCCAGGATGTCCCACTACAAGGTCAAAGAGGCCAAATAAAAAAAAACGAAAAAGTTGTAGTTTTTTCTTTTAAAATGGACCTGAGTATACACAAAAGTCTAGTCAAAAATTAAACATAACTTCCTGACTCTATTTGTTCCATACTAGCCAGAAAATAAAAAAAATTCAAAAGAGGATTCGAACCCACTTCGCAGGTCCTTGAGCAGCGCCTTTCCCCACTAGGCCACCGAAGCACTGCTTCGGTTCGCTTTTGAAACCGATCGCGTTTGTTTTCTCAAAAGAAGGGTGAGACTAGCCTAGAACTAAAAAATTCTCGCTAGCCAGCGCGTAAGTGGATAATAGCAGCTAATAAAAGTTGCTTCTAGACCAGTTTTTTACGCTCTTTCAAATGGTATATGTTTCAAGGAAAAACCAGGGGACGAGGTTTTGCCGAGCCCTTGTAAGGGTAAAGAAACAAACGTTAGTAACAGCTAAAAATAGAAAAAGTGGGCATATTGCAAGTCTCCGCCGAGTCTTCGCCGAGCCTTCGCCGAGCGTCCGCCGCGCATTCAGCGGCTTTGCCAGGCCTCGTTGACACTTCTCACAATCTTGTTTGGGTATCCACCTCCCCGTATCGATGGATTTTGTGTTGACTCAAACTGTCGTCGACCCGGAAAGTCGGGACGCGGACATGATCATTCAAAAAAAAAAAAAAAATGCCAGGAAGAACCCCAATCGCAACACTCAGATTTCCTTTAAAATTTCCGCAGACTTCAAGCACAATTTCTGAACGTCTGGGACCGCGTTTTACAGGATATATTCAACGATCATTGCGGCCGAAAGAGCACGCGAAATACGGAAATTGGTCAGAGAAAACTGATAAAACACATTGGCCTTATCTTAGAAAGTCTCCATATATATTTGAGGGTTTAAATACGTTATACGGTTACTGTAACAACTCAGAATTTGCCCTAATACTCACAAGGGAAGTACTTGAAGTGTGACGCTCAGATTTTGATGAAACTTGGCATAAATTTAGAATAATTTTTTCTAAGATATATGCGAGAATCCTAGCTCGCGCTTTACACAAACAACCGAGATTTTTAGATCAAAAGTCGGCGAAAATTTAGGACTTTTGGCCGAATTTCGGCACGAAAAGTTTCATGCCTATTTCAACTGTAAAGGATAATGTTTCTACAAAAAATCAAATTTTTCCGCACAAAACTGCCAAAGTTATGGCCAAAAAGCGCTTTTCTCTCTGACCGCTCTCCACGTTTAGCGTGCTCTCTCGGCGGCAAAAATCGTTCGATATCTCGGCGGCGCCCGCAAAGCGCGAGCTAAGACTTTCAGGAATTAATATTTAGTCCATACCCGATGTGTGTGCAAAATTTAAAGAAAATCTGAGCGTCACACTTGAAGTACTTCCCCTGTCAGCTTTTTTCACCTCCAAGACCTCGAAAAAAACCAAGAGAGAAAAGAACTTCCCTCGGTCACTTGTCGATTTAGTTTCGCGGTAGTGGGTTCGCTTTTGGGTTGGAAGGAAGCGAGTTCGAGCCTCGCCTCTTGAAAACAGCAGCAGAGTTTTCGGTTCTGCTTCTTATTTGAATGGTTGAAGGCAGAGCGAAAGAAGCAGACTAAATAGTACGTGTCTTCGCGGCTCGTTGAAGATGCGTCTCCCGCCGTGGCTGCACAATTTTGCATTTTTTGAAACTTTTTCATGAAAAAAAAACGAAAATTTTTCTTTCGCCAAAATGAAAATTTCACTTTTAAACTCATTTTTGCATCTCCACAAATCTAAAAATCAAAAAAAATTAACAACAATTTATTCCAAGGAACAAGCTTATAACAACTAAATCATTTTCAAAAAATCAAAAAAACTAAAAAAAATGTAACAAAAACAATTTTCGCTCCAACAAAACAACTTTTTCTTCTCCGTAGAGCTGAAATCTTCTCCAGTTTTCCATTTTCGGTTCAACTTTTCTCTACTGATCGTCCATGATGCTCTTGGTGATCAACTTCGGGATGATGTTCATGCCTTGCAGCTCTTGGAAGAGCAATTTGCAGGCGTACGGGATTTGAATGCGGGCCATTGTGGTTGAAGTTTGGCATTTTTGGCACCAGTTCAGATAGCCCATGATGCCGCATTGCTTGCAGACATCGACGCTGAACTGGTCCGAGGAGACCATCAGGCGTTCGATTAGGATGTTCGAGGCTCCGTAGGCGATTAGACAGTCGCGTTCCATCTCTCCCAGACGTAGGCCACCTTCTCGGGCGCGGCCTTCGGTTGGTTGGCGGGTCAAGCTCGTCCTGAATGAGTGAATTAAATGAGTGAATATTAGGTTGATGCATAATTATCCGGCGTTTTTGTTGGCGCGTATTTTGTTAATTAAAATTCGCGTTTTGTTAAATTTTTTATACGAAAATAATCTTCTCTGTTTAGTTAATAAAATGCGTCTCGAAAACCATACTCATATTCGCCATATTATATAAAAATTTTATAAAAATATAATAAAGCATTTCCCCTCTGCTCAAAAACCCTCTTACCTCGGTCCTCTGGCTCTGGCATGCATTTTGTCGATCACCATGTGCTTCAGCTTTTGATAATAAATCGGTCCAAAGTAGATATAGGCCGGAATTGGTTGGCCAGTGATCCCGGACGTCAGCATATCCTTTCCCAAATAGTTGAAGCCATAGCTGGCCAGCTCCTCCGTCACTTGAGGCATCTGATCGCCCGCGAACGCGGTTCCGTAGTGAAATCTGCCGGTTTGAAGGGCGTTTTTGCCGCTGATCAGCTCCATCAATTTCCCGACCGTCATCCGAGACGGATATCCATGGGGGTTCATGACGAGGTCGGGGCAGATCCCCGCCTGATCGAATGGCATGTTCTCTTGAGGGCAAATGTAGCCGCAGACGCCCTTTTGGCCGTGCCGGGAGCTGAATTTGTCGCCGAGTTCGGGTCGTCTAAAGTAATATCGTAAATCTCTCATAACTCAAAAAATCGCCATTCAGATGAAAATTCCTACCATAGGAAATAAACTACACTCAATTCTAGCAAAATGGTCGGATTTTCAAACTTGAATTATAGCAAAATTTCCCAAAAAAATCTCAAAAATTCTCCAAAATTAATTTTCAATCAAAAAAAAATGGGGAGAAAAAATCGGCTCAAACTCTCCCCTTCGCTTCAAAAAATTCCCTTACCTCACTTGAGTGACCAGCACCTTCATCAAGTAGGCGTCATCCTGATTGTAGGACACCATGACTTGATCGGCGGATGCGTGCATGGCGCCTTTGTAAACGGTCGGCTGAGGCTTGTGCTCAATGTTGGAGCTGGTCTGATTGGTGGTGCTGAACTCGTTCTGAACGGTCGGTACAAATTTGTGAGCCAAATAGTCGCGTGGCCAGAGTTGTGCGCCCGGCTTCACGAATCCGTCCAGATCGATATGGCGCTGTTGATGGACGGGTTTGCCGTTCGAGGCGTTGATGTCGGGTGGCTTGAAGACGTCGAAAGTCTGGTTGGCGTACCGTTTTCCGGTCGCCTTGCACTGGCGGTTCACAATGCATCGGCCGAACCCGCGGTCCAGCGAGGCCTTATTCAGGACCAGGGCGTCTTCGATATCGTAACCACTGAACGACATGACCGCCACCATGGCGTTGTGTCCGGCGGGGAGTTGCTCGTAGCCGCAGAACTCGATGGTTTTCGACTTGACCAGCGGCTTTTGCGTGTACACGAGCAGGTAGAGGAGGGTGTCGATGCGTTTGTGCTGGTTGTAGCCGATCGCTCCCATCGCTTGTTTGCCCATGGCGCACTGATACGTGTTCCGAGGGCTCTGATTATGATGGGGATAGGGGATGACTCCCGCCACAACGCCCAGAATTGACATTGGATCAATCTGAAAATGTGGGATAAGACAAAAATCGAAGTTTGACGATAGGGGAAAAAGTACGATAGGATTCTTTTTTTATTTTTCATAAATTTTGGATTGATTTCGCTAACTCTTCCGGAAATTTTTATCGGAACTGGGACGATTGGGGAAACCGAAAAGTATTATTTTTCTTCGGTGCAAGTCTCTAAATTAGGACCATCGAGGGTGCTGATTTCGAAAATGACATTCATTTTTTTGATGGTTACTTTTTTCTTTAAGTAGTACTGTAAAGTAGTCATTTTTTATTTTTTTTTCAGAAATACTCGATTTGGGGGGTTTCGACCTTGCCGATTTCGAAAAAAATCATTTTTTTTCTGATTATAAAGCAGCACCATCGAAACCCTCCAAATCGAGTATTAATGAAAAAAAATTCAAATTACTTTACAGTACTACTTAAGGAAAAAAGCAACAATCAAAAAAAATGAATGTCATTTTCAAAATCAGCACCCTCGATGGTCCTAATTTCGACATTTGCATCGAAGAAAAATAATACTTTTCGGTTTCCCCAATCGTCCCAGTTCCGATAAAAATTTCCGGAAGAGATAGCGAAATCAACCCAAAATTTACGAAACACAAAAAATTCCAGCTCCACTCACCTCCATATGGGTAGTCACTCCTTTTTTGATGTCCTTCTCGTACACACTCACTTCACAATTGTTCAATTCATTCACATCCAAAAATTCGATGACTCCGTTTAAAACCAGGTCGTCGAAAGTCATTTCCCCGCTTTTAACCTTCTCAACATGCTCCAAGCTCAGCATGGACTTGCCATCTTCGTCGACAACCACATACGGGCGGCACAAACGCCCTCCATCGCTGGCGATGAGCACTGACCGCGAGCTTTCATTAAATGAGGCGCTGACGAAGGGATCGATGTGGCCGCAACGTCGCATCAGTCGGACCGTCTGAATGACAGTATAAGGGTTCTGAATCAAGCCAATAAGACATCCATTGAGCATCACCAAGAAGTGTTTGCTGAAAAATTTTATCAATTTACATTGTACTTGATCAAAATGACAAAATTAGTCGCAAAATTCATTTTTCTTTGCAAAACAAAAACACTTACGGGTCATGAATTTGACTGAACTTCAACGGAACAACATCTTGCACACCGCAGTTGAACAGCAATCTTTTTATGGGCTCCTCTTCAGTGTCGACTGTAACATGACTCAGGAGTGCCAGATTCTTCACCAGTCCGCACGACTCTCCTTCCGGCGTGTCGGACACGCAGACAGTGCCCCATTGTGAGCATTGAATCGATCTGGGACCACTGACTTTTCTGGTCTTCTCAAAATTCGAATTGATTCTAGTCATCATCCCCAACATTGATATGTAAGACAGCCGTGAAAGGGCTTGCGTGACTCCTTGACGGTCCATTCCAAACCGTTTAATCGACCAATTTCCACTGGCTAGCGCAGAGTTGACTCCATTCGTGATCATGTCCTAAATCAAGTATAACATGATCCATGCTCAAAAATTACACTTAATTCAATAAAACTGATGTTCAAGAGTGACGAAATATCTTAAAAGGGCTTTAGAAAAACATCTTCCATACCATCCGCCCAAAATTTCAAAATCAATTTCCAATTCTAATACCAAGTACAATATAAAAAATCTCCCACCTGTCTCATATGCTTGATTATATCCAATGGAGCGGCGGTCGCCTTCGACAAATGAGTGTCCGCGACTCTTCTCAGCTCCTGATTGAAGCGTTTAAACAGATCCTCAAACATCAGGGCCAATAAAGATCCGGCCAGCTCGATTCGTTTGTTCCCGTAAAAATCCCGATCGTCCGGCTGAACTAATCCACAATCGGCGGCAATCAGACGTCGAACCATCAGTCCAAGGTACACTGCTTTGGCCTTCATTACCCCGGTCGTTGAAGGCACATGGCAAAGCATCGAATTTCGGAGAAAGTCGAGGCCATGTTGCATCCGCTCTTTCGGTCCGACAGCGCGAGGATTTTGCCCGATTCGACGAATTTTAACCTAAAAATTCGGAAATGAACACACTCAAAGCTTTGTTTAGCCAATTTGGGATGTTTTTTTTGTCGAGTCGATCTAAAAACCAAAAAAAAAATAATCGAAACACCTTACTTTAGAACTGATATACTCCAAGGCATCGTCCTGAGTGATTATCCCCATTTGTTTGCACTCCAAAAGAGACGGCCCCACAGCGGCCACATAAATCTCTTCCTCACCAATTGCCGTCATAATACTGTAATCCGACTCAATTCCCAAAGCCTTGAAGATCACCACAACAGGAATCTCCTCGGCCAGCTGATTGTGCTTCAGATAATACTTTTTCTTCTTGATCGTCACATTTGTCTTCGACTTCCTCTCCGTGGTGGAGGATAATACCTCACAGACCAACCTAAAAGCATAATCAAACTAATATAAAATTTCTTACTCCTTCTTTGAATTTCTTGAGACCATAATCCGATTTTTGCAACCCTGCTCCATCATCAACACCACTTTTTCGGCGCCCCGGATAACGAAATATCCCCCAGGATCGTGCGGGCACTCGTTGTGGTCTGCAAATTCTCTTTCGGTTTTCAGTTTGCTTAGGATACAACGAGTTGAGCGAAGCATAATTGGCATACGGCCAATGATCAGGGCATTCTTTCGGACCTTCTGATTTCCTCGAGTATACTCAACATCCACGTAGATTGGAGCTGCATAAGTGAGATCGCGGAGCCGACATTCGTGCGGAGTGATCTTCCCGTTCGCCACACCAAACCCTTCCTCACTGGAGGGTTCACCAATATAGACATCAAGGTACCTAAAATAAGGTAATGGATCAAGTATAAAAGCCTTTCAGCGTTTGCTAACCCTTTCGATATCTTGATTCTATCCTTTACACCTTCTTCAACCCTAAATTTAAAAGAAATAAGCTAAAAACACCTTACTTTAAGTAGAAACAAGTTGATGCATCCGACTTCAAAGTTGAATTTGCAGAGACAATCTTCTTGATGTCTGTACCAATAAAATAGTCGAAACTGGTAATGTGCTGCTTCACCAGTCCTCTGGTTTTCAAGTAATATGGGAAAAGATCCGCATTTTCCGTCTTTTTAGATTTATTAAAAACCATCAACCTAAAACAAGAAAGACGATAAAAACACGAAAAAAACAACTTTGAAATTTGCTAAACTATCCCCGGCATGATGCAACGAGCATTATTCGTTACAAATGGAGTATCAAACTGCCCGAATGGGTCGACAGAAATTCTTGTTGCACGAGAAAAAAATCAGGGGGACAGTTGACATGTGTCAACACGTGGGTCAAGTGTTTCCCTTTGGCCTAAAACCAGGGGTGGTCGGCGGGCCGGGCCGGCCCGGCCCGGCCCAAACGGGCCGGCCGGCCTCAAAAATGGAAATTGACAAACGGGCCGGGCCCGTCACGGGCCGGGCCGGGCCGCGGGCCTGGGGTTTTTTCCGGCCCGGCCCGGCCCGTCTAAAATACAATGCCAAACCGTTGGCATTCATTGTTTTCGCGCCGGGAAAATTAATTGATGTTGTTATAGTTGCTGTTTCTCAAGTTCTAACACGTTTACAAGTCTATAGTTCCATTATAGAACCACAAAACTATCACATTGATCCTTTACTAGCTAGATCAACGCCTTTTTTGCCTCAGTTTAGATCCCGAGCCTGGGCGCAGTTCGCAGAACCCTCTATAGACGGGCCTGCACGGGCCGGGCCGGGCCGGGCCAGGCCCGTCACGGGCCGGGCCTGGAAAAAGACTAGACGGGCCGGGCCGGTGATTAGACGGGCCGGGCCGCGGGCCGAAAATCGGAAAAATAGGGTCTGCTGACCACCCCTGCCTAAAACTTTTGTATAGCTCGCTATCGCTTGACAGAAGGGTTGGTACCACCCACAATTCACCCTTATCAATTATTCTATATCATTCATTCAATCATCATATTCCATAAGGAATCAAAAAATTATTTTATTTAAAAAAATACCCGTTATAGTACAACAAAAAAATGAATGCATTTAGCTTGAGATGTGTGTTCATTTGTTCAGATCTGATGGTCACCGAGTTGCGCGCGTCTTTCTGAAACGATTCTCATAATAATTCACAGTTCCGCGTTGCAGAAAAATGCAATATTTATATCACACCAGATTCTGACCTCTTTTTCTGGGAAATTACAAATATCTTACCGATTCCTGGTCTGAATTGTAGACGGGCCAACCGGCTTCTTCACAAAATTGACCTTCTTTTTTCTGGGCTGACTTTCCAAGATCATTGGGTTGGAATTTTCGGCGCTTTGAACTTCTCCATTGGGTAAAGGTACCTAAAATCACAAAAATTTCAAACTTTCCAAAAATTTTTACCTTATAATTCTCCGGTCGATATTCTTTGGACAGGAACTGTACGGCATATTGTTCAATGGGTCTTAGCATTCGGACAATTTGCATAAATTCATCGTTCGACTGGTCCGTGTAGTTGAAATTGCTCTTGTCATCGAACTCAATTTCCTCGGCCACAATCTCCGCTTCGGCTCGCTTTGCGGCGATGACGTCTTGTCGGTCTTCCGCTCGCTCCATGGCCTAAAACGAAGGTTAAAATGAGGTCAAAATCAGTGTTCAAACTTTTTAGTCAGCTATTTTTTTTTTCTGTTCATAACATGTAAATTAATATACCAAATTTGACAAAAATTATATTTTTGAAATCCCTAAAGCTTCTATTTTGCGATATATAACTTTTTATCGCTAAAAAGTCCCCTGGCAATCAACAAACATCACTTTTATAGACCTAAAACACACATACACATCATATTGCCGGAGGGCATTTTATCAATAAAAGTCAATATTTTCTACAATGTAGACCCTGTAGCTCCTAAAAACCTGATTTTGTCAATTTCGACTTGTTATTTCCCAAGTTATCGACAAATTTTTAAATCCCCACCAGTTTCAAATCTTCCTCCGAAGCCACCGCCATGATGGGAGCAATCGGGACAGATGCTGCTTCTGGATTTGTGTCCTCATCGAAGAACAGATCTCGGATGTTATCGGCTTTTTTGAAAAACTGCGGGGTGAATCCGCCTTCATCGATCGTAATTTCTCCGAGTCTTCGCTTTTCGCGGGCCTTTTTCAATATGTTCTCTTCGATTGTATTTGAGGAGATCAGGCGGTAAATCGTGACACTCTTCGTTTGTCCAATCTGAAAATGAAATATCAGTAAATTTTGAGGCATAAAGAGCAAAAGAAGCTGACTTTTCGAAATTTCTCGTCCTAAAAATCTCGATTGTTTCTGTAAATTGCGAACTAGAAATGTCGTATTAATCTTACAACATAATAATCTAAACTTTCACCACGTTTCATCAAAAATCAAGTCCAAAAAAATCAAAAAAAAAAAAAAAATTTTTTACCTTGGTCCCCCCTTATCATTTTTTCCGACCCCACCTCCAAAAATCACTCTTTTTCTAGTCATTTCACTCTAAAACTCACCAAAATACAAAAATTTCGTCTTTAAATTGCCTAAAAATCCACACAAACCCCATAAAAATAACCGTTGCCAGTTACATTCAACTCAAAAACTCTGCAAAAATTTCCCCTCAAACCCCCGAAAAAACCCACTCTATGACATCGATCTTGGGCTTGCGCATCCATCGTGGGGTTCCAATCGGAGTCGTAGAAGATCACAGTGTCCGCTCCGATCAAATTGATGCCCACGCCTCCGGCACGGGTGCTCAAAATGAAGCAAAAAACCTTGGGGTCGGAGTTGAACCGCTCCATGAGGGCCTGTCGCTTCTCGACCGGCGTGGCGCCGTCCAAGCGGAAGTAGACGTAGCCGTGATGGGCGAGGAAGGCCTGCAGAATATCGAGCATTTTGGACATTTGGGTGAAGATCAGGCATCTGTGCCCGTCCTCGTACAAATTGCGGAGTAAGCGGGCGAGTGTTTGCAGCTTCCCGCAGTCGTATTCGATGAGTCTGGCCTCGGGGAAGCGCATCAGTCGGTTGATGAGCATGTCGTCGTCCAGCTTGGTTCTTTTCGAGTACAAATCCGTGATCGAATTATAGGATGAATTGACTTGAAATCGCTCGAAATAAGTCCTTAGTTTGCCGTAGAAACGATCGTCAGGGTGAAGGGGGCGGCAGAGAACTTCCATTACATACATATTGAACCTAAAATTGCAATTTTCAAAATCAAAAAAAAAAAAAAAAAAAATTTTAAATTCCCCAAATTTTAGTCGGGTCCAAAAAATCACACCTAAAATTTTTTGTTCAAAAATCCTCCCAAATAAACCAAAACAACTCACTTGGACGCTGCCGCTTGGATCCACTCTTCCTTTGAGATTCGCAATGCCCTGAGGACATTTTTTATCGGACCATCTTGATCCGTGTTCTCCTTAAAAATGCTCAAAAAATCAATGAGATCCTGGTTTAAAACTGGGGTTTGTTGCTTGATCGGCGTGATATGCTGTTTTATTTCTTTGGGATATGGAGTTTCGACCAGGAATTTGGCGTAACCCGTAAGTTTAAGGCGCTCTTTGAACCGTTCCATATTCAGTTTGGCTGGTGGTCGGGTGGGGCGGAGGATTGACGCGAACTGAGGAGAGGCTGAAACAAAAACAAAGTTCCTCCAAATCACATAAAAGCTCTACGAATTCAAAAACTCGAGGTTCTTTAGAACTCAAAACACCTTTTTTATGCAAAATTAGGATATTTTCGTCCGAAAAACATCCCCAATTTTAGCCATTTTTTGGAGCAAAAAGCGTCTCGTCTTGATTTCATGAAAAGCCCGAGCTAAAAATCTCTCATCTATTTAAAAAGCCATGAAAGCCAAGTCTTAATATGGCCGAAAAAAATACAGTGGGGGACCTGATCCAGCGGCAAAAAACGTACCATTTTGCATCCAGGAAGCATCAAAAAATGTGGCAAAATGCCTCCCTCCCCAAGTGAAAAACTCAGATTTCAAAAGCGCACACTCTCTTTGCGAGGAAAAAGGGCGCGCCTTTCAGAACGAAGTTTTTTCACTTGGAGAGGGAGGCATTTTGCCACATTTTTGATGCTTCCCGGATGCAAAATGGTACGTTCTTTGCCACTGAATCAGGTCCCCCACTGTATTTATGGTTACAGTAACCCAAAATATTCTTCAAAAAAATCGCCTTTTTTGCGCTCAAAGCTTCAAATTTCCCGAATCTAAAACTCCCCCTAATTTTCCGTACTAAACTTTTTAAAACTTTTTTTTACAGTAACCCAAAGTTTCATTTACAAAAATTTTCCCATCCATCCCAAAATTCAGCCCAACTTTTTACACCAATTACCTTTTTCCTTTTCAATTTTCAATCCCTGCAAAATTCGACTTCCATTTGCCACCAACTTCTGTCTCAAATCGATCCCATTTTGCTCCAAAACCACCATTCTCGGGAATCGGATGCGTTCAATTTCGGGACAGAGGGGCGTTTCCACCTCTCTGGGTTCGAAGAGGTTGGGATGATTGCAGCACTTCCTCAGCTGCATCACAATGTTCAGCACCGACACCATCGACCCGCTGGACAAGCTTTCTTTGGTGGTGCGCAAGCTCATGAACTCGTTGTACAGATATCGTTGGCGTTTCGACAACGGGCACTTGACGACTTTCTCGACTTTGGGGGGCAGTTGTTTTTCGACTTCGGACTTCAGTCGGCGGAGGATGAATGGTCGGAGGACTTTGTGGAGACGTTGGACGATCTTCGAGTTGTAATCCACGCTGCCTTCGATCATGCCGGCGATCGGGTTGTTGAACCAGTCCTAGAACAACATCCGACTAATTTTTTTGCTTTTTTTCAATTTTTTCGGTGATTAAATCCGTTCGGTCGACTACGAGTTTAAAAAAAACTAATTTCGCTCCTATTTTCCGCCTGAAAATCCATTTTTGATCAAACCCCGCCTATAATATTTACTATCCTTTTCTTAAAGAAAAAATTTCCTGGCTCAAAGTCAGCCAAGTGGATCTAATCACCGAAAAAATTCAAAAAAGGCAAAAAATATTACAGTGGCGGACCTGATCCAGTGGCAAAAAACGTGCCATTTTGCATCCGGGAAGTATCAAAAATGTAGCAAAATGCCTCCCTCTCCAACAAAAAAAACTCCGTTTCAAAGGCCGCGCCCTTTCCCTCACAAAAATAGCGGGTGAGCTTTTGAAATCGGAGTTTTTCACTTGGAGAGGGAGGTATTTTGCCACATTTTTTGATATTTCCCGGAGGCCAAATGGTACGTTTTTTGCCACTGTATCAGGTCCTCCATTGTAATATTTTTCTTTTGTTTTTTTTCAGTTTTTTCGGTGATTAGATCCACTTGGCTGACTTTGAGAGAGAAATCTTTTTTTAAGAAAAGGATAGTAAATCTTATAGGCGGGGTTTGATCAAAAATAGACTTTCAGATGGAAAATAAGAGCAAAAATTAGCTTTTTTGGTCAAATCCCGCATAAATCCACTCTGTAAATTCTATAAAACCAAACGTATTCAAATCCGCTAAACAACCCCGAACATCTTCAAAACTAACCTTAAAGTCGTCTCTCGAAGTGAAAACCCTTGGCATCAGGAAGTGCAGAAGTGACCACAGTTCCAACAAATTGTTTTGGAGGGGAGTTCCGGTCAGAAGAAGTCTTCTTCTCGTCCGCAAATTGATCAAGGACTGCCATCGTTGACTTTCGAAATTCTTTATGTGTTGTGCTTCATCCAGTACAAGGTATTGCCACTGTTTTCGCTTGAAACATCGGACATCTTGGGTGTAGAGCTTGTAGGAGGTGATGCAGACGTCAAAGGACTTGTTGGCCATCCAACCCTGAAAACAAGTGGAATATCAAAAAATTCAGAAAAACATCAGTCGATGGATAAATAACCCTTTGTTTTTAGGTTGCTCTGGTCATCTTTAGACTGTAAGACACATTATTTGACCTATCTAGTCAGCTAGGAACATTTCCATGACAAAAAATTCGTTTCCAATCCAATTCTAGCAAAAATTATATTACCCATACCTAGTCTAATATAACCATGCTTATATAACTCAATTAAATCCTCAACCCCAAACATTCCTTACCTTTCGCTTCTCCGCTCTTTCCTTCGCCGATCCAAAGTACGTTAGGACCTTCACGCTCGGACACCATTTTTTAAATTCCATTTCCCAGTTGAGTATTACCGATGTTGGGACTACGATCAAATGCGGCCCCCAAACTGAATGTTCGGCGGCGAGATGAGCGAAAAGTGCAATCGTTTGGATCGTCTTGCCGAGGCCCATTTCGTCCGCCAGGATGCCGTTCAAATTCTTTTCGTAGAGCGAGAAAAGCCATTGCAAACCGACGAGTTGGTATTCTCTCAAATGCCCGTCGATTAGGACCGGATGTTGGATGGTCACCTGCAACAAAATGGGCGAGTAAGCAAGAGAAGTATCTGCTCAAACAAACTAGGCCACAAAATTATAAAAAAAGGGGGGAATTTTATCCGATGTATCAAAAAATCGGACAGAGACCCAAAAAAGTGGGCTTTGAATTTTCCACTGCCAATTTTGCCCCACAAACCACAAGAATTAATCAAAAAATCCTTTAATAACATCCTTCCTATCTGCCGTCAACCTCCGAAGAGCCATTTCCTCCCACCATCTTCCTAAAATTCAAGAAAAAAAAAATCTAAACCAACATACCTCCGCAGTGGCCAAGGTGTTTCCCTTGGGTTGGAACTGTTCCGCTTCTGCTGCAATCTGGTCCAACGCATCCGAGCGATCTTTTTTGGCCTTCTCATCCACTTCCATGGGGATATCCGGGGTCTGTGTGGCCGAACTGTCCTTCTCCACGACCTCTTCTTCTCCATTTACCTCCAATTTCCGAGCCTCCCGACTGATTTCCATCGGCTCTGCAGATTCCTCTTTGCTTTTCACACCATTCGTCATAGGTTCCTCCACAATTTTCTCTGTTCCGTTCAACCTTTTGCTTGTGTGATAACTTTCCAAATATCCTTCCGGGAGATGAGATAAAATATCGTCAAGATGAATATTGGCGTCGCTTTTGAGGGCTTTCAGCTCGGCCAATTTGTTGAGGCCGGCTCCGGCGTCGTTTTCATCGGCTTCGTTCTCGAAATCGCTTTCAACATTGATCGATTTGGAGAGGAGATCGGCTTCATCAACAAGAAGATTGAGGTGTTTGTCCAAAGCTTCGCGTTTCTTGGCCTCGTCCATTTCCTAATAAATAAATTGTTCGGTAATCAAAAATACAGTATCCAAAGGGTATTTTCAGGTATAAACAAGAAGCCTTTTAGAATCAGTTTTCCTAAAGTTGCACGCCGCAAAATAGGGACCATAGATACCCCAAAAATCCAATCTTTGTAAATTTTGGCGCATTACTTCGTATTTCATTGGCAAAAGAAATACTTTTGGACACCTTCACCTAAACTCCAAAGAAATAAATAAAAAAACATTCACCAACCTTTTGCCCAAAATCAACGACTGTTTCGGCCTTTTGCCAAAACTCCCTGACCATCTTCGCAATCGTCGAACACACTTTTTTGGCCTCCTTTTCTCGCTCCTTCTTAGCCCGTTCGTCATTTTCATCGTACAAATTCTTATTAAGATCTTTGTGATACTTCAACACAGCCGTTGAGATCTTCTTCGTATACAGTTGATGGATGTGTCGTTCATTTTTGAAGTCCAAATACATCCATTTCACCTCTTCCAGGAGGAAATCCCAATGTGTTTTGGCTCGATCCGGCTCTTCCGGGGGTGAGATTGCTTTAGAACTCGACCATCGGCCAGCAGCTTTTAGCTTCTTTACCCGCTCAATGAATTGCTTGTCCTCCTAAAGCCGGAACCATAAAATTTTTTAGAAAACTTACATTACTCATAGTCTCATGATTCCAATTTTCAAGTTTTTTAGATGGAGAAAGCTCCTCTTCATTGCTTTTGCTCTTTACTTTTGGCTTAGCCTTTGCCTTCGAGGTTGATGGAGGCGGACTTTCCTCCTCGGAGCTCCTAAACACAAAATTTTTATATTACATTAGGTACTCACTCGGAATCTTCATTCTGAACGATTCGTAAAGAAGGTGCCACGAGTTTGGCCTTTGAAGTAGAGGCATTACCGTTGGATCTTCGTGCTCTGGGCGTAGTCGGAGTTCCATGGGCGGAATTGAGTTCAGCATTTTGATTTCGACGAGCACTAGTTTTGGGGATATTCGCTGCTGTCGGACGGATAAACTGAGGTGACGCCGACCTTCTAAAAGCCAGAAAAACTTTGTAAACCTGCGACAGAGCAAGACAACCATATCATTCAGAAAACATTATGCTTTAGAAGAAAATCCGTTAAAAATTCAATGTTCTCCACCTCATTCCCTAGAAAAAACTACTTCTCGTGAATTTACGCCGAAAACCGCTTCAGAAGAACCTAAATGCCAAGAAAAAAAACAGAAGTACATACGTTGGATAGACGTGAGAACGATCGACCAGACCTTCTGCTTGAATTCGGCGAGATAGACTCAAAAAAGTTAAATCAACAAGATCCCTGGCACGGCGTTTCCTTGATGGTGTTCCATTCGACATTCCACACTTCTGAAGGCGGGATTTTGTCCGATCCAAGCCCCGAAAAAATAAAAAGGGAACATTGTTTCCGCGAAAAAAGTCGAGGGCGCATTTCGGAAAGTCGGTAGATTTTGCAAACTGCGAAGGGTGGGCGCAGACTGCGGATAGGAAAGAATGCTATAGCTATAGGACAGAACTGCGGCTTCAAAAGTGCTTCAAAAGAGTTGCATTGTATCATCTGTGTATTTCCAACGGCTTCCAAAGCTTTCAACGCGGTCTTTGCCATTTTTCCGGATATATATCAGGTTATATTGAAGTAGTGAAAATAGTAAAAAAAATAAGCCAAACAACGAAAAAATGTTAGTTTATTCTCTCATCAACTGCAATCATGTCCGGGGGACGAGCCAATCATCCCTTCCATTTCTTGAATTCGAAATACGAAAGGCAGCCGAGGGCGATGGTGGTGTAGAACATTCCAAACTGAAATTGCAAATTTACCATGACATATACGAAACAAACTACGGACAAACTCAAAAATACTTCCCTTGGAAGTCTACAAATTCAATTTTTGTAAAATTTTAACCACTATTCCCCAAGTTATACGCAAAATTTTTTTCTGATACCTACTGCCTAGAACAACAAAAATTTCGCAAAAAATCCAACACTTACCACACCGCCGACAAGCGTAGGCAAACCCCACACCGCCCACACGATCAGAATGTCGCACGCGCATGCGCAGGCACAACAGCAGTCGATGATGAACTCGACCTTGATCTCGCGGCCCGGCAGGTCCGCCGGAATGGCCCAGTAGATGAGACGAATGTAGAACGTGAGCATGGCCAAGAAGGTGAAAATCAGCAAGAAACCGCCGATTGCGCCCCAACCGCAGCCCCAGAGAAAGGCCTGAAAAGGGAAAAATAGAGGTTTTTAGTCAGCATTTTTTATTTTACAAAATTAGAGTCAAATTTTTGTGAAACTCGACTAACAAGGGGAAGTACCCCAAGTGCGACGCTCAGATTTTCTTTAAAATTTGCACACACGTCGGGAATAGACTAAATATCAATTCCTGAAAGTATTAGCTCGCGATTTGCCCGCGCCGTCGAGATATCGAACCATTTTTGTCGCCGAGAGAGCATACTAAACTTGGAGAGCGGTCAGAGAGAAAAACGCTTTTTGGCCATAACTTTGGCAGTTTCGTGCGGAAAAATTTGATTTTTTGTAGAAACATTATCCTTTACGGTAGAAATAGGCATGAAACTTTTCGTGCCAAAATTCGGCAAAAAGTCCTAAATTTTCGCCGACTTTCGACTTAAAAATCTCGGTTGTTTCTGCAAAGCGCGAGCTAGGATTCTCGCATATATCTTAGAAAAAATTATTCTAAACTTGTGCCAAGTTTCATCAAAATCTGAGCGTCGCATTTGGGGTACTTCCCCTATAAATTTAGGCCAGAAATCTTATATGCGACATTTCCGAGATTTTTTGTTAAAAAAATCCAAAATAAAAAAAAAATTTTTTTTCAAATATAGCCACAACCCTCTCCAAACTCACAAAGGACGCGCTCTTGAAGATGGTGATCAACTTGTCACGACGGGATCCCCCTCCACCTCCTCCTCCGCCTGCCTGCGACTCGGTTGGGCCGGTCTGCGAGGGCGCGGCGGACGACTGAGCTTCGGACATTCTGGGTCAGTCAGTGATGAATCGTCTACTCTTCGGCCAGCCAATTCACTGGAATGAACGAGCGACGGAATGACCGCTGAAGAAACTTTATGCAAATTTTGTGAACTTTTGCGCTTTGAGTGTGCAAAAAATCTTTTTTTTTTTGGAATTTTCTAAATTTTTTGATGACTTTCGAAAATTTTCGGTTGTTTTATCAAGTTTTTAGAAATTAGAAAAAGTGTTTGTTTGTTTCCGCATCAAGCCTGAACATTTTCTGTGGGTTGCTAACGGTTTTTCTGGGAGTATCGATCATTTTTGAAAATTGGATACTTTTTGATACTTTTTTATTTAAAAAAATTTTTTTGCCGCTTTTGCCAATTTTGACTTTTTTATCTCATTTTGGCAGATTTTCTCATGTGATTTTTAATTTTTTTGATTCTTTTTGATACTTTTTTACAATGTTCTCACAATTTCTGACTTTTTTGCGCTTCCTAAAATCTTCACTCATTTCTTCATCGTCAAACTCCTCAAAAAAGTCTAACGTAGGTTTATTAACAGCTCTGGGGAGGAAAAATAAATAAAATTTGTCAAATAAAGCTCATAAAAATAAGAGATAACAGAATATTTGGGGAGATAAAGCACCGATGAGAGTATGAAATACGAAACAAAGTCCTGAGACAGAAATATAGTACAATCCAATTAATACCATGGCAAATGCAGTTGTTTTGGAGGGAAAATTCGACCATTACAACTTGTGAAATGATTGAGTAATATATATGTATCCCAAATTTGAGTCATCGATTTGGCTGAAACTTCGGAGAAATTTAGAATAATATTTTCTAAGCGTTATGGGAAAGTTTTAGGTTCTGATTTGCCGAATCCATCGAGATTTTTTAGTCGAAAGTTCAAAAAATTTCATTTTTTTTCGATTTTTGGCACGAAAATTTCAGGGTTTATTACTAGTAAGATCAGTAATGTTTCTACGAAAAATCAATTTTTACCCCAAAAAACACGTATAGTTACAGGCAAAAAACGTTTTTGTCTAACCGACTCTCCTCATTTTACGTGCTCTCTAAAATGCCATCCAATTGAAGACTCAAACTTGAGATTTTTAAAATTTGAATATTCTAATTTTTGTTGGGCAAAAGTTGTGCATGTTCGTTGAGTGAGCCATGGCTTTTCTGGCTGTCCTCTATGCTGGGCGCTCGTTTCCGCGAATCGAGTGTGGAGTCGGCGGCCAGCGACACACTGATTGTCGGCGGATCATCCCGTTCATTCAGATGATGATACTCCAAAAACTTTCGATATTCGTCCGAGTCCCGGTCCGGCTTCCCAAACTGACGTTCCCGCTTCTTCACCGAGTATTTGCGGCCCCGGAAGTGCGCGCAACAACAACAAAGAACCAGAATTACGAGGGCGACGGCGAGAACGATCAAAATCACGATGAACCACGCCGCCTCTCGGAGATTCTCGGTATTCAAATGGCTCAGGTTGATCCCCGAACTGGTGTGCAGTTGATATTCTTGACTCTCGGTGTGCCGATCATTCTCCCTGGCGACGCCGAGGATCCAGTAGTCAGCGTCCGGAAGGAGGTTGTCGAGGAGGAAACTTCGAGTCGGCAAGGCGATTTCGTCGGTTCGATTGAAGTCGGATGAGCCTGTAAATTCAAATCATTAAATTTGAAAGCTCAGAAAGTATTCTCATCAACTTTTGTCAGATTTCTGGGGACAAAAAAAATTAAAAAATTTAGAGGATTTGTCTAGGTCAAGTCTAAACAGGCCTGGATAAGCCCAAGCAACACAAAAAAGCTTGCATAGAGAAGCCCAAAACTGATCCAAAAAGCCTAAACAAGCCCCAAAAAAGCCTAAAAATTCTAATCAATTTTTAAAAAAAACATGGCAAAAATGTAGAATAGAAGCTTAAACGCATTTTTGAAGGCTTTACCCTTCAAAAACCACTGAGACTTTTACGTTGCAAATTCAAAAAATGCCGAATTTTTTCGATTTTTATCTTGAAAATTTTCGGGCTTATTACCAGTGAGATGTATAACGCTTCTATAAAAAAATTACTCTTTTTTTCCAAATCAACTCATCAAGTTATAGGCAAAAAAACCTTTTTTTTAATGAGAAAAAAAAACAAAATCTAATCAATTTCTTACCCAGAATTCCGTATTTAAGGTGGAAGGTTGTTCCGGAGAGACCCCAATTACTTCCATTGTTCGGATGCCAAGTGATTTTAAAGCTGGTCGACGAGGTCGGGATTGCCGAAAATTTAGGCGGATCTGGGTCTGAAAAGTCAAGCTGATTAGTTTTTCAAATCTTTTTGCGGCCTTTATAGATCAGCTACATCGGAAAAACGCCTTTTACGTAACCTTGAGACTGAAAAATACAGTAATGCATGCGACTTACGTCTCAGCGGGAACGTTCGAAAAGCCTTCGAGACATTCGGACCCTCTCCGCCATTGGTCTCGGCCCACACATAGAAGAGGTACTCAGTGTCCGGCGTGAGCTGTTCGGCCAGATAATAGCGCTGAGAGTAGATCACGTAACTCTCGCTGACCTCATCCTTTGCTGAGGCGTCTGAAAAAATTTTTTATTTTGATGACAAAAAAAAAATAAAAAAAGAGTTACTGTAATTACTTTGGAAAGCCACGTAATACCCTCGAATATGGCCGTTTAATTCTCGAGGCAAGTCCCAAGTAGCGAGCATTGATTGAGCTCCAACTGCGGTAACTTTTAGTCGGGTAACTTCGGAGGGGCCTGAAAAAAATTATTTTAAAGAAAGCTAAAACTGGGACATTCCCTTGGAGAGATGCTTGGATTTAGCCAAAAATCTGGTAAAATGTGGCACAATACACATGTAGCAAGTTTGGCCAAATTAAAAAGATTTGTGAAAAATAGGTCCAAGACTTCTCCACTTTGCCAAAATTTTTAATTTGGCCAGATTTTTTTCAATATGGCCACTTTTGTTTCGGTTTGGCCACACTATTTCCAATTTCCCCATTTTTTTCATAATGGCCACGTTCATAATATTTGGCCATAATTCACAAATTTCCATAAATTTTGATACCCCTGAAGTCTTGTATCCCATCCAACGCAAGCTGTTGCAAACCTACGTCCTTCCGGTGTCAAGAAGTTGGCCGGCAAACTGCTCGAACTCTCATGCCGTTCGTTGATCGCTCTGACTTCCACCGTGTAATTTGTCATCGCATTCAGCCCGCCGATCTCGGCTTTGAGTCGCTCCGGGCCCACTTTGACCTCATTTACAATATTCGGTGTCTTCTGGTCCCAATAAATTATCTTGTAGCCGCGGAAGAAGCCTCTTAGTGTTGTCGGATCGACCGGATCCCACGCAATAATCGCTCGATTGTATTCGGGGATCTCTTGGACAAGAACGTTGGCCGGAGGAGTCAGCGGAATGTCCTCGCCCGAGAACCCGGCGACAATTTGAGGCTCCACGGACGAGGGACCGCGCTCGTTCACGGCTCGAACTTGCACCTCGAACGGCTTGAAGGTGGGGATATCGCGGAGAATTGTGTGGTTCTGAAAAGATGAAGACAGTTTTGGACTGTGAAAAAAATTTTTTTTCGAAACTTACCGCCAAGGGATCCTCGACGAAGAACTCTTTCCAGGCCGCTCCTTTCTTCTGTCTTCTGTATCGAATTTGGTATTTTAAGCCGGGCGCATTCCAATCCGGCTTTGGCATTGGATCCCAACTTATGACGAGATTATCCGGTTCGGTTCCAAAAACTTTGACATTTTTTGGGTTCGAAAATGGAATGTTCGGCCGCGTTTCGCAATGGGCTGTGACTGAAGAGCCTGGCGAACTCTCACCATACATGTTGATGGCAACAATCCGGAAGTCGTAGATGATCTGAAAGTAAGATTTGAAGTAGGAATGTTAGAGAAGTCAAAGGTCAAAGATTTTGATTTCAGATAGCACTAAGGTTATATTATGGCGAAAAGTTTTGTAGCCGAGAAATAGAGGCGCTGTATATTCTAAAAAAAGAACTATTGTAAGCTTTTACTCATTAATTTTTAAGTTGTTTGCAAAAAGAATTTGCAGGCCCGGCTGATCAATCCTTCCATAAAGGTTGTGTTTAAAAATCGCCTGAGGACGTTTTAGTGACGAAAATTTGTAAACCTGAAAAGGAGGCCCAGTGAATGCCGAAAAATATAAAGTTCAACAATTTTGGTATGTCATTTTCCAAGTTATTGACAAAAGAAATCATAACAGAAGAGCTGACCTACCCTAACATGTTTTTTTGGTCTTAAAATTAATTTTTTTGCCTTAATACTGACTGGAATATCATTATCACTCGAAATACAGAATATCCTTACCCATGGTGACAGCTGGACATGTGCTTCGTACTCGCTTCGATTCGTATTCGGCACCAAAAGTGCTGTTTTCCAGTTGTCTGGGTCAAAATTCGTCCTCAACTCAATTCGATAGTCCGTAATCGGACTGCCGTGTGCCTTAGGGCGTTGCCAAGAGATCAGCGCACTATTGGCCTGGCAAGTCATCGAGATCTCCGACGGCGGCTCCGGAACGTCCCGAACAATCAAGTAAACCCCGGAGGATTTTTTGCCAATCTCCGTGGCCACCGTGCACTTTATATGGCCGGTATCGCGGCCACGCACATTGTCCAAACGAAGCACACTCACGTCTTCTTCCATAACCGGCGCTTCAGTGATCTTCTCGCCTTCTCTGGACCAGATATATTCGATATTAAGGCGTTTGTCGGCTTTGGCTTGACAGCGGAGTTCGACGTCGGCGAACGCGTCCACTTCCAAACGAGCGGGTTTAGGAACTTCGACAAAGTACATGGGATCTGAAAACGAAGTGTAAATTATATACAACTTGTAAGATCTTCGGCTCAAACGCAGTGAAATTCGTACCATAAACCATTAAGGTGTTCTCTGCCCGATTGATGCCGTATTTATTGCTGACGTTACAGTAATAAACCCCTTCATCTTCTCTATGGACGTTGTAAATCCGGAGAGTGTGGTTTTCGAGGATCTGAAATGAATTTTGCGTCAAAGTTGGCTGACAGAGAAACAATACGAACCACAGTTGAGCCCAAATTTTACAGCATACCTCAAGTTTTCCCTCCACGGTTGGGATGGCTTGATCATTCACATCCACCCAATGGACCTTTGCTTTTGGAGCGGCAATGACGTCACAAGGGAAGTCGACTGTCTGGCCCAAAGCCACTCGCCAAATCTTTTTTTCTGGCGACAAAAATTTTGGTGGAAGTGCTAAATTAATCCTATTATGATCTTATGGCGTCCTCTTACATAGCACATTGATGTACGCGTTCGCAAAGACAAATCCCAACGGATTTGAGGCGTTGCATTGATAAACGCCAGTGTCCATGTCCGGTCTAACATTATGAATTCTCAGCAACTTTCCATCCTCTAAGATTGTCCGCCTCGTGCTGTTGTCCTTCAGTTCGTGCAGGGGAACCCCGTTCATTAGCCATCTCAACAGCGGTCGTGGAGAGCCGAGCGCGTTGCAACGCAAGTCCGCAGTCTCCCCTTCGTCCACCGTCACATCAACCGGTTTGCCGTGCTCCCAGAACGGCGCGGCTTCGACGATGACGTTGAACAGTTGCTCATCTCCGTACATCTCGCACACGTAGACGCCGGCGTCTTCGGGGTGCACGTCTTCGAGGATCAGACGACGACCCTCGTCGCTCAAGTCAGCGCGATGACGGTTCATTGGAAGAGGCGCGTTCTTGCGCGACCACACCGGCCGAGGAAAGGGATAGCCGCCGTGGATACAGGTCAGCTTCAAGGTTTCGCCGGCGCGGACTTGCACTCGTTCCGGCGAACGGTACAGAAGATGCGGCTCCAGAATGGGAATGTCTGAAAGACTCAAAAGATACCATGGACCGGAAAGATTAGTAAATCCTTCAAAACGCGGAAAAAATATTTTTCCTAGGGTTATAGCCAAATTTGGAAAAATTCAAAGCATTGTGCATTGAGAACATCAAAATTTTGAAATTCATACTCCAAGATAAAAGCAGAATTTTGGCAGTTTCTCCAAAACAACTTACTTTTTTGCGGCAGCACCACGAGTTGCACGCGATCTCCCCCTCTGTACTCCCCTCGGAGGACGGGCGAAGACACGGCGCATTCGAAAATCCTTGTGGATTGGGAATCATTCCTCTCCACGTAAGTGAAATGCAATGTTCCCTCTTCATCAACGGATATTCGATTGTTCTTTCCGACCGACTCGAGGACCGAATGGACCTGCAGGTCTCGCAGCACCCAGTTCACTGTAGGCTTGGGCGTTCCGGAGGGCGCTTCACACGGAATCGAGACCGATTTGCCCTCTTTGATCCGGAGAATTCGAAGAGGACGCTCGGAGAAGTGCTGGAGAACTGGAAATGGGTCAAGATTGAAGTGAATTGCAAGCAAAACTCACATCCTCTGCGGACATGAACTCGATTTGAGACGGCCGTTCCAAACGCGTTCGATACAAAGCATTGATAAAAGCCCTCATCCTCAAAGGTGGGGTTTTTGAATTGAATGGAGCCGCTTTGCTCCGGCCTTGTCCAGATCACGTGCTCGCCGTCAATGGCAAAGTCTTGCTCGTCTTTCTTCCACTTGAAGCTAAAATAAAAAATTTTGGTGCCTTATTTTTGACATGTTTTTTTGGTTGCTTATTTTTGGCAGATTTCTTTTGCCAACCTTGGAGAAAAAGGGGTCAAAACTTGTGATTTTTATACAGAAAAATCAAAAAAAAAATTTTTTTTATTTTTTCACTTTCTCCGCTTACGTTTCCGGATCCCCGTCCGCCGTGCACGGAAGTTCGATTTTGGTCTGACGTCCGGTGAGATCATCATTCGGCTGAAACCAAACAGTTGCCGGCGGTTCCGCGATAAATGATGGAGGGGCTGCAAATTTCTCATAATTAATCATCATTTTTTCGAATAAAATTTTTTTTGATAAAATCAAAGGCCAGACGAACTTACAGGCTGCATTAATAAATTGCTGCTGATTGGCCACCAAAATTAAGGATAATAAAACCGAATTGAGCATTTTGGGAATTTGGCAAGATTTTTCGAAGTTTTGAGGTCAAAATTTTCGCATTTTCGGAGAAAAACTGAAAAACAAAAATTAGAAAATTTAAAAAAATAAAAAACCGCAAATAATTTTTAATCGTCAGACAATTTTTTAATAAAAAAGATTTTTTTCAAAATGAAAAAATCCGAAAAATCCTAAAAAATGACTCAAGTTTATGCAAATTTCGCACAATTTTTTTATCTTCTCGCGCAGCAAATTCAATTCAAAGTTTTTTTTTGAAACCAAGACGTCTTTCCTTGCGGGAGCCTGGAGCATTAAGCAAAGAGGAAACAGAGTGGACAGTGGCTCAAAAAATGCTCCCTTGATTTAATTACTGTGCCCCCGGGAATTTGAGAAACTTGCGCAAACAAGGGCATCCAAATGCAAATTTTCAATGGGAAAATGGTGCGCAATGACAAATTAGGGGAAATTTGAAATTTCAAGAATTTAGAATTTTCCTTCGAATTAAGAAAGTTCAAGGGCTAAAATACGGAAAATAGAGAGAAATGAAACTTTTTTGCATTTTTGGCTAAGACTGGCTTTGCAGGATGAAAAATCTGACTTGGCAAGGCAAGATGAACAAGTCACGGAATCTTTCCGGAATTCCGCTTTGTGTTGTTCGAACATGAAAGCAAAAAACACAAAATAAAGACGCCTTTTGGAGCTACTTTGACTCAAATTAAGCTTATTGGCAAAAGATGAAGAACCTGGCGCAATAAGATTTGCAAACGACAAATGGAAGATCTCTTGCCTCCAACGACGATATTTTTGTGAGCCATGGTCCATCATTTCCCCAGTTATTGGCAAAATTAATCGTTTAAGTCCATTTGGACCTTAAATGTGCAAAACTGAATTCCTTAAATGGCCGTAGGGTTCAAGAGAACAAAGCTATACTACGGCAAGAACTAGAGGCTTGATGGCTCTAAAAATATTATCTTTGATTACTTGGGTCCATTATCTCCGAAGATATAGGCTATACTCCGGGACTAAAGTTTGGAACAGGCTAGATTTTCTTTGCGGCTTGAGATCGGAGTTTCATTTCTTTTCTATTAGAATTTGAATGTATTAAAACCCCAGAATGGATGCATAGCCGAAGAAATCAGAAAGCTCATGTGGGCAAAAAACAAAATTTTTAAAAATAGGTGGGACAAAAGTTTGGAACAGGGTTAGGAATGCGATCATAAATTTCGCAGTATAGTCAAAAACTCCTAGGCTTTGGTATTTTTAGATGCTGCGAGGAGTCAGGATCTCAACAACATACTGATTTTCATCGATGAACTCAAAATGAAAAAAATTCTTATTGAGCTAAAAATAACGGTCAAATTTGCGAAAATAAATTATTTTTTGGGTTGGGTTCTCTATGTTATCGGTGTGTAAGCATTCTAAAATGTTTAATATGGTCGTATAACCGTACAGAGACACTAAAATCTTCGCATAGCGATCTTATCCGCACAGTATGATTTATGAAAATTTTGAGTTGTGCCTCAAATCTTGGTTTAATGATTTTTAGATTTTTTGTAAGGCGGCTTGAAGGCTAATTGGCGTTTTCATAGATTTTATGGGATGAAAGGGTATCTTCAAGAAGCAAAAACCAACCACTATTTGCAACACGAAAGCCCACAACTTCTACACTGATATAGTTTTGTTAGCCAACTCTACAATGTATCATACTAAGAAACCAGGTCAATATAAACATTGATTTTGGTGACCGAAAATTTTTTTTAATGTTTGAAACATCTGGCGTGGAATATTGTAAATTGCGGTCAGGTTTTGCTTTGTGAAGATACTTTTTTATCTCACAGTGATCATAAAAAGGTCAATTAGTCTTCAAGCCGCCTTACCAAAAATCTAAAAATCATTAAACCAAGATTTGAGGCACAACTTAAAATTTTCATAAATCATACTGTGCGGATAAGATCGCTATGCAAAGATTTTAGTGTCTCTGTACGGTTATACGACCATATTAAACATTTTAGAATGCTTACACACCGATAACATAGAGAACCCAACCCAAAAAATAATTTATTTTCGCAAATTTGACCGTTATTTTTAGCTCAATCAGAATTTTTTTCATTTTGAGTTTATTGATGAAAATCAAGTAAGTAGTTGAGATCCTGACCCTTCGCAGCATCTAAAAATACCAAAGCCTATGAGTTTCTGACTATACTCCGAAATTTATGGTCGCATTTCTAACCCTGTTCCAAACTTTTGTCCCACCTATTTTTTAAAATTTTCTGTTTTGCCCACATGAGCTTTCTGATTTCTTCGGCTATGCATCCATTCTGGGGTTTTAATACATTCAAATTCTAATAGAAAAGAAATGAAACTCCGATCTCAAGCCGCAAAGAAAATCTAGCCTGTTCCAAACTTTAGTCCCGGAGTATACACAAGCTTTTAATCTCCGGCTACTAACTTCATAAACTGAAAACTTTATCAAACGTAATTCAATCGCATAAAATGTCGCAAGTCCGTTGAGGTTTTGCACTCCTTTTCGGCCTTCCAACAATACCTTGGTATCCGAAGAAAACCCGGAAAAACAGAGACAATCGGGGCCCCTCTTCAAGGAGTACAATATGTCGTCGCTTTTGCGGCGACGCCATATTTCACAAAACATCATCAAATTGGCCATTATTTTTTCATAACGGAACTAAAAAACCGTTGGCCCTCTCGGAAATGATGGATCCCCGGCGGAAAGGGGCATTTCTTTGGCCCCCGAAGAAAATGACCACATGGAATTAAGAATGAGGGCCAAATTAACGCGCGACTAATTAATGTATGGCGAAAAGTGAGAGAAACTTTATGCAACGTATTTCGCGTCTTACGAATAAGTAATTTGAGGACAAAGAAGAAGAGAAAAGATGACGAAAAAAGTGGGATAAACGGTATCTTTTGACTATATTAGGGTAATATGGTGGTAAAAAAATAGAAGGATTATTGCATGACAATTTTTTGTGACAAAATTTTTCTTTGTGGATGATATTTAGTAACAAGGGAAAATTTCCAAGTGTGGGCTCAGATTTTTTAAATTTAACATACCTACATTATGTCTCCCTCCAAAAAATCGATAAACCCAAGCCATAAATCCCCTGGAGTAAAATTCGTAATAAACCATTAGAATCTTCAAGAATCATAAGATCAGTTGTGGTTAGGTAATAAAGAAAAGAAAAACGGACCCGAATTATGGCGCTGAGTCAAGCTCTTTCTCTTGGGCCAAGAGGCGAATCTGAACAGTCATTTTCATCGGATTCCTGTTTTGGGAGAGTGGAAAGACTTTTTTTGGAAAGACTGGAGTTGGATAGTAAGTAGTACCTCAAAATAGTTGTGGAGACTTATAAAAACGCTAAAAAATTGCGATTTTATTTAAAAAAGATATTTTTTGCTTACGGTGTTAGTAGATTTTTTTGCCAAAACTTTCGTTGAAAATCATCTTTCTTTGGGCACAGAAAATAACTGAATCTTTTCAAATTCCACAAAAATTATCTACATGGGCCGCGTATTAAGTGTCGAAAATATTTGGGTTTGGTTGGAAGGTCCAGAAAAGATATTCAACGACATTTGCAGGCAAATGAGGAGAGACCTACGGAGAAAAAAATTTATTTTTTGGTCATATCTGTGTAAATTTGAAGAAAAACATTTTGAGAAAAAAGCCAAAAAAAAATTTCTTTTTTTTACATTTTTTTCTAATATTGCTGACCACGGATTCCCTCGAAATAATAAAAAAAATATGCAAAAAATCCCCCACTCTTACGCAACACTTCTCCCCTCCCACCTAAAAGACCACCAAGCCCTAAACAAATGAAACAAATCAGTTATAGCACCTCCAAATCTTGTCCGAGTTGACATAAACTACTTGTCAACAAGACAAATCGCCTCGGAACGAAACGAATGGCCACCGGCAGAGATTATAAAAAGACGGGTAACAAGATCGGCGTTATAAAAAAGCCAAAGGACAAGATCAAATGACCCACTAAATTCGAAAGGCCAATTGCAAGGCCAAAAATGAATTTTTAGGGGGAATTTTATTTTCGAATATTATTAAAAATCAAAAAAATTTTGGGTTTAATTTTGATAAAAAATTTACATAAATAAAAAAAAGATTTTTTTATTTTTTTCGATTTTTGGCAGAAAATTAAGATAAATCACAGATAAGCAGTAAAATAAATCCACAAAAAATTTTTTCCAAGCGATAATCGCAAAAAATCGTAGCCAAAAAACAATTGTTGTCTCGCTGACTCTCTTCATTTTGCGTGCTCTCTCGGAAAAGATTGCGTAATATTTTCGTTGCAGGCGGAAAAACAAAGCCAAAATGTTTAGAAATTAATCTTCGGCCTTTCTTGAGTATCTAGCCAAAATTTGAAGAAAATAAAAAATCCAACCAACCGCTGCGAAAAACTCGATTTTTTTCTCCAAAAATCTCAAAAATAAAAATTCTCCGGTGCAAAAACCTTGTAAAAGTATTTTGAAACCAAAAAAAACCCTCGGGCCAATTGAAATTGAATCTGTTTTTGTTTCCGCACTCAAGTCCCCGGTCCAGGAAATTGAGTGGACATTCGAAACGACATACGGCGACACGGGATGAGCGAATCTCCGCAATCGATCATAATTTTCGGTTCCGAACTTGGATGGGTTGTTTTTGAAAATAATAATTATTATGAATGCAATTTTCTGATTTATTTTTTTCCATGTTTTACAAATACAGGGTGGGGCATCTTTGTGGCCCGATTTGAATTGGCTATAACTTCTTTAGTTTTTGGCCAAATCTTAAAATTCTTTTTTCCCTGAATCCACAGACAACCCCATTTTGTTTGATAGTAAATATGTTATACATAGTAAGTGTTATCTACAGTTAGAGGATTCAGGGGAAAAAAGAATTTTAAGATTTGGCCGAAAACTAAAGAAGTTATAGCCAATTCAAATCGGGCCATAAAGATGCCCCACCCTGTAATATTTTTTTAGAAAATTTTTTAAATTTCAATGATAGAAAACATTTTAGCCTTTGAGCAAATTGGCAAAAGAGAAAACGGAGCCAAGCTGACAATGACAACGTTCGAAATATGTCTTTGAAAGAGGATTTGAAGGATTTCAAGCCATTTGCAAACAAAAGTATTGTCCTAGACTGTCATAGCAACTCATTGAAACCGACCATCTCTTGGGGAGAAAAAGGCAAACATAGTCTCAGATCAAGTACTAAAAGCAAATCCAAGTTGCAGAAAAAAAGAAAAACTAATCGGATGACGTTCCAAAGCTGGAGAAAAGGGCTTGAAAACATGTTTCGAAGTGTTCCAAACAAGAGGAAAGTAAAATCCATAGCAGATGGATATTTTTTTGCTCTTTTTATGGGCTTAATGTAATGGATATTACAAAAGTTATTAAAAAAGGAACAAAAAAACTTTTTTTTTTCTTGCGTTTAATTTTTGAAATACGAATTTCTAGGGCTTAGAACGACACCTTTCTATAACAACAAAATTTTTTTTTGCTGACTTGTTGCACAACGGTATGACTGTATCCAAAAAAAACAAATTCAATCCAACCACTCACCAATAATGACATCTAAAATCCATGCCGAACCAATTCCAATCCCCACAAAGGCCCGCGCACCGGAAATCGGGCGCGCTCCAAAGAACAGAGAGAATCGGATCATGGCCGGCCAAATTATTGTTTTGAATGGGTTTTTGCGGTAAGACAAAAAAGAAAAAAAATACTGTAAATATGGGAAAATATTTGAATTGGAAGACATGAAAAAATGTATCGAGTCCAAATTTTTTTAAACAAAATTTTTTTGTAAAAAATTGATGATTACTGCAAATGCCTGTTGAAAGCCCCAGTTAGGCCATACAAAACTTTAATCAAAATTTGGGTCAAAGATTTAATCAGAGCCTTCACCAAAAATTTAAATTTGAAAATATTGCCCTGGTCCCCCCTGTCCGCCTTCATCGATTTTTTTTGCAACCTTCAGTAGTTCTAGCATCAAAATCGCGGACCCTGCCACAAAACACAAGCTAAAAATCTTGAAGATTGCTTAAAAAAGCCTATTTTTTATTTACCTCAAGTTTCCCAATATCTCTTCAAAGTTATTTCAAGCAAAAGAATCGGCCGATCCAAAAAACTCGATGTTTCGACACCGTTTTTTCTAATCCAACAAGCACTTGTAGTTAGTAAAAAGCATCTGCAAGCGCGGGTCGAAGCTCTTTTCTTGTGATTTGGCTTCTTTCCGGAGTCATCCGAATCCGGACTTCGGGACTAAATTTGTTTAGACCCGACCAAAAATGGGGAAGTAAGACGGCCGCAAGGAAGGGCCGAAACCGAAACTATACGACAAGTCGGGAGGGGAAATAAAGAAAATCAGGAAATTAAAAGTAAATAACACTTTTCGAGCTTTGGACGACGTTCCGTTCGCGCAGATGTTCGACACTTTGCTCGCCGAGAATGGGGGGAAATAACATCTGCGGTGAATGTGCGGCGCAGTATTACATGATTAGGTCGTCTGAGATTCAATTTTGAAGAGGGGAGATTGGATTATACGATCCCACGAGGTGCAACAAAAAAGAAACCACTGCACAAATGTTGGACAGAAGTTTTTAATTTTTTGTATATAAGATTAAATTTTTTTCAACTGATGACCCAACGAAAAAATCAATGCGATAATCCTAGCTCGCGCTTTACAGAGACAACCGAGATTTTTAGATCGAAAGTCGGCGAAAATTTAAGACTTTTTGACGAATTTTGGCATGAAAAGTTTCATGCCTATTTCTACCGTAAAGCATAATGTTTCTACAAAAAATCAGATTTTTCCGCTCGAAACTGCCAAAGTTATGGCCAAAAAACGTTTTTCTCTCTGACCGCTCTCCACGTTTAGCGTGCTCTCTCGGCGGAAAAAATCGTTAAATATTTCGGCGGCGCCTGCAAACCGCGAGCTAAAACTTTCAGGAATTGATATCCAGTCTATGGCCGACGTATGTGCAAAATTTAAAGGAAACCTAAGCGTCGCACATATGGTACTTACTTCCCTTGTAAGATCGAAAAATCGATATTTTGACCTTATAAATAGCCAAAGATAAGCTCTTAGATATGTATGTTAGAACTTGCGGATGATTTCACCCGTCTTAGCCGTCCTTTGCAATGCATATATCAACATTTTTCCTTTGCGACCCGATGATTCTTGAACTAAAAATACACGAAAAAAACCGTAGCCCCAGCATAAAATACATATCCAAAATTTACGGAAATACCTGAGCGGGTACCCAACATTTTTTCTCTTAAAAAACACTTATGTCTTTCGTCAAATCCAAGATTTTCGAATCCGGGACGCGGAACCGGCAGTTTAAAAAACATTTTTCGTTGCAAAAAATCACCGAAAAACAAACTTTGGCATTCGTCTTTGCAAGCGCGGGTTTTGAGTTCGCAAAAAACGAGGGAACTTGACCTTTTGTGTCAGAATTTATCGATGAATGTAATTCCTGTCGCTAAGGTCGTTTGGAATTCGTATGGAAAAAGGTGAGGAATCGAAAATTGTCCTGCGAATAATTAGGATTTTTTGATTAGAATTACGGTAGTTTTGGTGGGTAAAATATTATTTTTGTTTTAAATTCAAGAAAAAATTTTTAATAGTAATAAAAATATTTTTTCGGATAGTAAACTTCGGAAAATAGTTATATAACCGCGGGCTGTGGAAAAGCCAATAACCTCACACTGAATGACTTATAATAACTTTTAATGATGGCCCGGGAAATGACCCACTCTCTCGAAAAGTTAACTATCCCCCGTTTTAATGACTCACTCTAAAAAACTTACTGCTGTTTTTGGGGGAAAAAAGGGCATACGAAAGCTAAAATGCTTTCTTCTTTATAATGTAGCCGCTGGTTAGCAAACTAGATGTTTTAAAAATCAAAATCAATAAACATCCATTATTACGACTTTTTATCAAAGAATGGGTTAATTGGCTGAGGCAAAACACTCAAATTTTCTAAAAATTTTGTCGACTTACTCTTGCTACTCTACACATCAACCCCTAAAAATCATAGCTCTCGTTTCGCGACTCCAACCGAGATATTCAACAATGTTTGCAGCCGCGGGCATTAAAGTCATGAGTAATATAAACACAAATTTCTCAAAGTCGGATAGCCAAATTCCACTCAAAATTTGCAGGATACTAGATTAGCCACTTATAAATTGCTAAAAATTCAAGCTGGCGATTTGCGCCTGCAGCGGAGTAACTGCGCAACCTTTTTTCGAGAGATCACGCAAATGAGGAGAGCCGTCCGGACAACTTTTTATGTCAGTATCTCTGCGAATCTTGTTTGGAAAATTTTGGTTTTTTTTGTAGGAGTATTATCCCATCAATAGAGAAACTTACAAGTAAAATTTCAAAGCCAATTTTTTGAAAAATTCCGGCATAAAAATCCCAAAGGTTTCTGCAAAAAAAATTTTCAATTTTCATTTAATTAAAATTTTTTTTTGGCCTCTAGCACGTTCCTTGTTACTATAATAAATACGAAAAAACTGGCCTTTTAGACTCGGGCTATGCCGTTATAACGGTCAATTCTTATTCCCCGCTCCTCCAAACCGACCATAACCCCTAAACGAAAGCAATAATTCGTTTTTTCCGAAGAGCCCCCGCGGACCTCGGGCAACATTCTTCGCACTTATAAATGAACTGGAAAAAAATAACAATCGAGTAGCCCCATTTCCCAAGGGCAACCTTAAAATGGGCGGTTGAGTCATCGTTACTCATCCGACGGCCAAATGAACGTTTCCGCCCGAATTTTGGGGGGCGCGAGAAACATTTTCTCTTATTATGCGACAAGTTTAAACATGTCGGCAACACTTGCGCAAACTAAATTAGAGCGTTCGGCCACGTCCGTTTAACCAACGGATTATAAGTTTGCCCGAGCGGAACAGGAGGGAAAATCGGAACAATTTTTAAATTTCGGTTAAAAATCAAATTTCGAAAATTGATTTTTTTCGTAAATTTTCCTTCTAAATTTTTAGTGGGGGACCCCGAACTGGAACCTTTAGATTTTGCTAAAAACTGCGTTTCTCGGCTGCGGATGCAAGTAGAAGGCTAAAATTTTCAGACATAAATCTATGGCCTACTTAGGGTGTTTAATTTGAAGAAAGATAAAAAAAGTGAGTTTTGGTATACCGCTTCTATGAATTTTTTTGACTATGATCTAATCTCGTATCAATGAAATAATTTTTCGGATATCAACGAGCCTTCTACTTCAACCCCATAGCTCATAGCTCAAAGATTTAACCTCCAAAACTATATAAAAGTCTCCTACACCCACAGGAGTGGTCATTCTTCTCACCTTCCTCAAACAAAAACTCTGCAAAAAACCTTGCACTATCCGGAATCAAAATCCTCGTGTGATAAGCGTCTTAGGCGTGGAGGCATGACTAAATTACACGCGAAATGACCCGCACTATGCTAACAAAAGGTCTTGAATAAAACGCTTTTCCCGCGTTTCCCACTAATCGGCCCATTGTTCGGGGCGGGTTCAAAGAAGGGATGCGCATGGAAATTAGGCTTGCAAAAAAGTTGGGAAGAGCGTTTGCGAATGGACCATGGGTCAGTTAGGATGAGACGGAGAGGAAATGGATACGGAAATCCAGAGTTAAAACTGAGAAATTGCTGTTTGTTTGGAGAGCAATACGTGGACAGCCTACTGATGGGACAAATAAGTTTGTAGAGGTAGTAATCGAAGTGCGACGCTTGAATTATCTTTAGATTCTCCATAATTTTCCTTGTGAGGCCAGGTTTCTATTGCTGAAAAATTTTTTTAGCGCTTTGCAGAGAGAGCGGAGCCATTCAGCGATCTTGAAGAGAAGAGAGTATGGAAATGAGGAGAAACGAAGAGAAAAAAGGCTTTTGTCTATATCTTTGTTAACTTTGAACGGTAAACTCTTTCATAAAAAAAATTACGTTCCAGTAAAAAAAATGTGAGCTTAGTTTTTATTAAAAGAATAAAAAATGAAAATTTTCATATCAAAAAAAGTCATCATGCCTTCGGCAGTTAAATTCCCTAAGAAGCAATGCAACAATTTTATTTACATTCGCCTCATAATGACCACCATCAATCATAAAATTTGGAGTGTTCAAACCAAGTCATGACCATGGTGTTTCGTCTGAAATGAAGTTGACGCAAGTCTTTATAAAGACATTCTTCTCATTTTGTGCCGCGCTTCTTCCGCTAAGCCGGAAAAGGGACAGCCAAGCGACCGGACTTCAAACAATTGCGCACAATTTGACGCGCCGAATTTAAATTAAGTCGAGCCCAAGGTCTTATCAATCTTTGAGCAATGGGCGGGAAGTTATCTTTAGAAAAGGCCTGCATTTTGAAAAAAATGTTGTTGTGAAAAAATACAGGTTTAAAATGCGCTGCTTGAAAATAGGCTATTTAAAAAACTACTGGCTCAAAATGAGCCGATTGAAAAATGCTGACTTTAAAAAAATATGGTCTAAAATACGACTTGGAGAAAATGCGGACAAAGGAAGTGACACAAGTGCGACGCTCACATTTTCTTTCAAATCTTGCGTACTCGCCGGGCATGGACTAAACATCAATTCCTGAAAGTTTTAGCTTGCGCTCTGCAAGCGCCGCTGAGATATTGAACGATCATTGCCGCCGGGAAAGTACACCAAAAGTGGAGAGCGGTCAGAGAGGAAAACACTTTATGGTCATAACTGAAATGTCTAGCCAATACGATGGAAATTGCGGCAGTTTTCAAGAACAAAGTTTATGTTCCTTTGTGGAGGAAAAGGTAAGAGCGCAAAGGTTGCTTAGCTAGGAGAAGATTTATCGTGATTTTAATGGATTTTAGGGAAATTAAAATCGAAAAATGCGTCTTTAAAGCCGATTTTTCGGACCCAAATGCGCAGATTTTGATTAATTTGGGAGAAATAATGAATTTTTTCAGCGGGTCTCTATACAATGAGGATTACCCTGAGGGAAACACTCAATTTTTTTTATTTAGCACGCGTGTCGGGCATGAACTAAATATCGACTCCTGGAAGTTTCAGCTCCCGCTTTGCAAGCGGAGCCAAGATATTCAACGATCGTTGCGGCCGAGAGAGCACACAAAACGCGAAGGGCGGTCAGAGAGAATAAAACTTTTTGCTCATAACTTTGCTAGTTTCATGCGAAAAAATTAATTTTTTTTTGTGGAAATATTACACTTTACGGTAGAAATAGAGGTGAAACTTTTTGTGCCAAAATTTCTAAAAAAGTTTAAAATTTTTGCCAACTTTTGACATAGAAATGTCTCGGACATGCCTCAGAAAAAATATTCTAAATTTGTGCCAAGTTTTATCAAAATCCAAACCTCGCACGGACGTATTTCCCAGTCAGTAAAATCGTTACTTTCGAAATAATTTTTACAATTGCCTTTTTAGCATAAAGAACAAAGATTCCGCATACACATTCAACAATGACCGCACGAAATGCGCAAAATCCGCACCCGCTGCTTTGGCGCCATTCTTAATTTCTTAAGATCCCGACCATTCTCACGGCCTTCAACCCCATTCCAAAAGAGGCAACTTTTCAAGATTAACCGAATTAAACCGAATGCGGGGTCTTCAAGCACTTCCCAGTCGGAGTTCCCATAAACAATTGGTTGGAAGCTGCAGATAGTATGCAAAGAGAATGCCTGAAAATTAATGCACTGACAGGATGCAGTTATTTTTTCCGTCATCTTTGCACAAACTTCATCAAAATTAGAGCATCTAATTTCATTATTAAAACAGTCCCATAACGAAAACATTGAATGCCAAAAATCTGTGGCATTCCGCCACTTTCGTAAAAATTGTGAATTTTTCTGATGGTTTCGGCAATTTCATGAAGAACAGAGGGTAAATCATCCAAATTTTTATATCTTATGTTTTATAGTCGATATTTTCGCTTCCTTTTTTCTTTCGCACAAAGTCCGAAGACTACAAGCCTTGTGCTCTTTTTATTTTCATTCATACCTCTAGATCTTTGAATCACACCTTCTTTCTAACATAATCAGCTCAACTGAAACTTATTTTAGTTTGTATAAATTTATTTTTAATTCTATTACCTTTTCGTTGCTTAATTTATATTATTTTAGGTGCCTTGATATGGAAAAGACCCTAAAGTTTCTCGAAAATGGTGTTAAATCGGGAAATCGACGGTTTATTTATACCAGAATTGATGCAGAAAAGCTGAACGTGCCAGCACACGTCCCCAAAGGCTGGTTCCGATTTCAGCCACCAAATTTGCCGCAGGTGAAGCCGACAGAATTTCTCAAATTATTCGAAGCTGAGAAGAAAAGTGATGGAAGTTACGTGTAAGTTAACTCGAATCTGGCTCGATAAGTCTTTTTATCAAGCAATTTGGAAGTTGAAACATAATTTTGAGCGGTTCTGAGTATTTTTATATTATTTTAGGTATCGATTTCATGGAGAAAGTTCCCCAATGGGCCCGAATCTTTACGGCGGTTTGATGTATGCCCAAGCTCTTTTGGCCGCTCAGAATGAGGTGGATCAGGAGTTTAGACCAACCAGCTTCCATGGTCTTTACGTTGGACCTTGTAAGTGGTCGAGGCTTCATGGACAAGTTTTCAGCCGACACCCAAAAACCGATGGATTATCAAGTGAAGAAGTTGCGAGATGGCAAATCCTTCTCTGCTCGATACGTGGAAGGCCGACAGGATGGAAAAGTGGTCTTTGCGGGGCTGGGCAACTTTTATAAAGTAAATTTACATGATTAACGTATTTTTTATAACTTAGCCAATGCTTAGAAATTTTTTTCAGTTTTCACATTTTTTTCAGTATTCATTTTTAAGTATTATTTTATTTCATTTCCAGCCCTTCGAGCCCACTATGATCCACTCAATTGAAATGCCAAAGGTCCCACCTCCCGAGCAATGTCAAGACATGTACGAATTTCTCGAAGAATCTCTGAAACGCCATGAAAACGGTGAGGAAAGACTGGACGAACGGACGTTGTCTCACATACAGCGAAGGTATTTCGATAGAGAAACCAATATTACGGATGTAAGTTACGCGAAAACAGTTTTTTTGTAACCAGAAGGGCCAGGGAGACATGACAGATTTATTTTGCCAATAACTTTAAAAATAATGGACTCAAATTTACAAAAATAACATTTCTGAGATCTAAAAGTCCCCGATCTTTAGGGAAGATAACTCTCTATTGCTAAAAAGCCCTAAGGAAGTCTGTGAACATCAGTTTTATAAGCTTTCCACCATAAAGCCATGCAAAACGGCCGTTCTCAAAAATGAAAATTGAAAATTTGCCGAAATCAGTTGAAAAAACTTGAATAGCAAAATCTTGCGGGGATATTATGGCAAAAAAATTATACGTACGAAAAAATGTAAGCCCTTGTATCCGAGAAATATAAATGAAAAAATACTGGACGAAAATTAACGCAAAATATATTTCTCGGATCCAAAGGGCTTATGTTTTTTCGAACGTATAATTTTTTGCCATAACGTCCCCTCAGGTTTTTTCAATTCAAGTTTTTTTCCACTGATTTCGGCAAATTTTCAATTTTCATTTTGAGAACGGCCGTTTTTCATGGCTTGATGGGGAGAAAGCTTATAAACCTGATGTTCACCGACTTCCTGATGGCTTTTTAGCAATAAAGAGTTATTTTGCCGTAAGATATGGGATCTCGAGATTTCATAAATGTTAATTTTGTAGATTTTGATCCACTATTTTTCAAGTTATTGGCCAAATAAGCTTGCCAGGTCCTAAACGCTTTTTTTTGATATCGAAAATTGACAGAGGGTATTTCTAAACGGATGTTATTTTTCAGTTCCGATTCGTCAATCCTCGCGCCTACTTTTTCGTCGAGCCGTATAAAAACGACCCGGTTCAGTATTGGTTCAAAACAAGGGTCCCGTTAACGGATCCGAAGCTCCCAAAAATCATACATCAGCTGCTTATCAGTTATGTCTCCGATCAGACCATGGCTTCATGCAATGTTGGCCCACATTTGAGCCATGGTCATGATGCAGCACACGCCACAAGTTTGGATCACACAATTTGGTTCCACAATTTCGACTTTCGCGCTGATGATTGGATTTTTATCAATGCCCAGAGTCCGAATGCAGGTAGGAAAATTTGGATTTTTTAGCGGTTGATTTGTGGGGATATTCAATACAGATTATAAAGAGCTTCCTAAATAATTTTTTTCTTTGCCAGTCTCCTGGTTTTGCAAACTGCTTATCTGCAAAAATCCTTGAATACCTCAATTTTTTCAGCAGATTTATAGCCGAAAATGGCGTGTCAAGTTCTATTTTCGAAACGCTTTTTTTTCAATTTTCAGATAGTGGAACGGCATTTGGAGCGTGCTCTATTTGGACGCGGGATGGTAAACTAATCGCCTCGGGCGGACAAGAAAGTCTGGCCCGGCTAAAAACCCTCTCCAAACTCTAAGATTACGCTGGATAAAAGCTGACATAACTAGCGTCTGATGTGATAAATTTTCTTAAATTTGTAAAAATTGTATGTTCAAAAAAATTAAAAAAAAATTTGTTGATTTTAATTTCGAAAAACAAATTTAACGTGGGAACATCTTGCAGTTTCCCCCATTTTATTTTTAATTCCTGCAGCGTTGATTTTGCGAAAAAATTGTGGGCCAATTCAAATAAAAAACGAGTCAAAACAAAAAATTTATTTCTCAGCCCACCGCTTTGCCGCTCGTTTTTTGATTTGGAAATGGGCGTCTGGGTAATAGGGGATGTTGAAGATCCTTTACGGTAGAAATAGGCATGAAACTTTTCGAGCCGAAATTCGGCAAAAAGTCCTAAATTTTGGCCGACTTTTAATCTAAACATGTCGGTTGTTTCTGCAAAGCGCGAGCTAGGATTCTCGCATATATCTTAGAAAAAGTTATTCCAAATTTGTGCCAAGTTCATCAAAATCTGAGCGTCGCACTTGGAGTACTCCCCTGTTAGAATGGGCAAGCAGAAAAAATTTCAAGAGAATCCGAGAGTCGGGACCTTGTAAACTTGCGTTGAAAAAAATTTGGGTCGGATTTTTGACTTTTCAACATTTTTTCGAATATACAGGGTGTTCCTAGAATTATGGAAAAAACTATTCATTAATAACTTTGTGCTCGGTGGTCCAATCCAAAAAATTTTTTTGCATTTTACAGGAAAACTTTTGAGTTTTTAGAATCAAGAAAAATTTTTTTTTCATTGATCGGCGGAGACTCCGGTAATCCTCCTTGAATTCGGCGGAGTGCTTTTTTCACAAACGAGGCTGCAAATTGTTGTATGTGTGGAGTAAATGGGCGGGAGAGGATTCAATAGATACAATATGACATTTGTTTCAAATTTTTGTCATTCGGCGGAGACATTTTTTAACCTCGGCGGAGGATTTTTCTTCGACTTTTGAGAGTCAAAATTGGCTAAAACCAAAACGTAGGTATTCCTGGTGGCATGGCGTCTAAAAACGACTTATTACATCTTCGGCCTACTGAGAGAAGAAAAAAAGGCAATTCGGCGGAGAAATCGGCGGAGAAAAAAATGAACACATTTTACAGCCTCGTTTTTGAAAAAGCACTCCGCCGAATTCAAGGCGGATTACGGAAGTCTCCGCCGATAAAACGAAAAAATCTTTTTTGATTCTAAAAACTCCAAGGGTTTTCTGCAAAATGCAAAAAAATTTTTTCGGATTGGACCAACGAGCACAAAGTTATTAACGAATAGTTTTTTCCATAATTCTTGGAACACCCTGTATAAAAAAATGCAGGCCGTGATTCCTCATTATTTATCCTCTAGACAACTCTTTGTTAATTTAAAATGGATGGATCAGAAGAAAATTGAACCTTTCATTCAAGACCACCGTTTTTTTTGGTTTTTTCTACTTCAAAAGTCCTACGAACATGCATGTCAAACAGTTGTTTGTGGGTTGAGGAATTTGGAAAGGGGATCCCTTCAACGTGGCCTGACGTAAAACGCCACGTTTTTTGGTGCGAAACTACTGTGCAAATTTCGGAATGGGCCTTATTTTAGCTGACATTCCGAGAAAAATTTAGTTTTTGCTGAATTTTTTTTTGAAATGCTATTGTTTCGACCGGTAATTTGTGTTCTCAAAAGACAAAAAACTAAAAAAAATTTGTCTGTACTTTAATTAAATTATGATTAACATATTTTTTCAAATAAAAAGATATTTTGTCGCTTCATCAATTTTAATTCATCCAATTTGGCCCCGAAAATGATTCTAAAAAGTCCTTATTCATCTCTCTCTCTTTGCTCATCAATTTGACTCCACTTTAAAACGGGGCGTTATTTGAGACAGTTTTTTTTAATGTTATGCAAAAATCCATCGCGTGTCATTTAGCGTTGGAAGAAATTGCTTTCATAAGTCTTTCGAATTCTTTTTGACAATTTTGATTTTTCAAAAAAAAATTTTTTATATTTTTTTAAATTTAGGAGATGCGAAACTTCCTCACGTCCATTTCGGAAGAACCTGCAGTCCGTAAGCGCTCCAGAAGTGAGGTTCTGTCCGAAACAGCACTGGAGTAAGTTCGTTTTATACGAAGGTTGTTTTGTCGTATATCAGTCTGTCGGGAATGTAATGTGGATTTTGGAGTCGTAATTCTTGTTGTAATTACTATAATGTTTGTCCAAAAATCAGCCTTTTTTCTCCAATTCGCCAAAAAATTTTGATAAATTTTTTTGACTGGTCGATTTTTAGAGGTCAAAACTATTAGCATTTTCATACTAGTCCTTCTGGAAAGTTGCCGGACTGATTTTTGGCATTTGTCTGTGCGATAAAAGTCGTGGTGCGAGCGACAGCCCAGAAATGCCTATTGCACGGTGCAACAACCAAGAAATGCAAAGAAAAGCTTTGCTCGCCTGATCTAGTGGCAAAAAACGTACCATTTTGTATCCGAGAAGTATCAAAAATGTGGCAAAATGCTTCCCTCTCCAAGTGAAAAAACTCCGATTTCAAAAGCGCGCCCGCTCTCTCTTTTTGTGAGGGAAATGGCAAAACGAAGTTTTTTCACTTTTAGAGGGAAGCATTTTGCCACATTTTTGACCCTTCCCGGGTGCAAAATGGTACGTTTTCTTGCCACTGTATCAGGTCCCCCACTGTAGTAAAGTGCATGGAAATTTTTGGCGGCATTTCTGCAAAGGCTATGGCCATTGCAGGAATGCCTAAAAAACGATGACTGTTTTTTTATAACGAAGAAATTTTAATGTGATTTATCATCTCTCATGTATTTTTTAAGCACTATTTTTTTGACAAGAATCCAGAATTCCTTCAAGAACGTTCTGCAAAACGTCAGGCCACGGACTTTTTGTACAAAATTCGCAAATTCTTCGTGCAAACAAAATAAATTATTAAATCGCCTTCGGGCCAGGTTTTCCGTGGCCACGAGGTGATCTCAGGTCTTCTTTCGAAATAAAACTTTCTTATTTTTCGGAACAACAAGCTCTAAACTTTTGGCTTTTGACGTAAATTGGGTAATTCACTTGGCAACCGGCCTCTTTTTTGCTTTTTTTGAACGCCTGAGGACCGGTAAAAAATATTTTTTTTTTGAAAAATTTAATAGAAAATGAATTTTTAACTTTCAAAAAAATAATTTTTTTCCCAATTTGACACATGTCGGAACATCACGTTGCATCGTCCCAACGGGCCTTTCAACCGCTTTTTTGGCCCCTAATTCCCCGCTCTTTTTTATATTATTTGTCTGGCTTACAGCACATGGCATTCGTTCCGTTTTTTGCCACTGACGTTTTGAAGATAAAATAAAATCGTGGAGGGGTTCAAAAAGTGGGGACAAAAGGGCGTTTGAAGGGCAAAATGGGCTTGGTTTAGATAGTGTAAAAATTAAAAATCTGCGAGAGAAATAAATCTTTTTTTGGTCTTTTCTTTGCGATTTTTTCGCGGAAAAATTATTAAAAAAAAATTTTTTGCGATTTTTTTTATTTTTTTTGCCCAAAAATCTCAAATTGCAAGATATGTGTTGAAAATTTTTGGTTTGAATTGCCTCCAGTTTCATTAAAAATTTATTAAAAAAATAATAAAAAAGGCCAAAAAATTGCATTTTATATAAAAAAAAAATATTTTTTACTTCCTTTTCTCACGGATTGCAAGATTATAATTTTCAAAAAATTCCAGTTTTGCCCATCTAACCAGGAACTGCGCCTGCTCCTTCTTGATGAGTGCCCCGTCCGCTCAGAGTGTTTTGACGTCGGACGTGAGTCGCGACTCGCCGAGACGAAGCAGTACGCCCGACATGGAACCCGAACTGCCAATGTTTCGAAACGCCAAGAAACATGATCGCTGTTTTCGGCCGGTGCATTCGGAAAGGACGCGTGAGTGGCTCATCTTTCGACACATTTTGGGGAAAATTCTGGGTCGGGGTTTTTTGATGATTTTTAAGTTGCATTTTTGGTTGAAATTTTTATCGGAAAATCCAAAAAATTTGAAAATTTGAATTTTTTTTTGATTTAAAAAATATGTTTTCCATCAAAAATACGTCCAATTTTGCTGATTGTGAGTGAAAAGTTTCGAAAAAAATCGAAGTTTTTTCTGATTACTTTCAACTGTTTTTACAAATTTTACCCACATCCCCTAGGAATAGCTCGCAAAACAATTCATGAAACTGTTAGCTCATTCTGCTCACTCGCACCGCAGATATTACGCGATATTTTTCCGAGAGAGCACGAAAAGTGAGGAGGGTCAGACGAAAAAGTCCTACGAAGTCTGTCAAAGCCGCTGAATCATCGGCGGACCTTTGGCGAAGGCTCGGCGGACCCTGGCGAAGACTTGCAAAGTGTCCACGTTCTCTAATTCTAGCTGTTACTAACGTTAGTTTTGTTTACCCTTAGTTACTGTAACATATAAAAGACCGAAATTTGCGGCAAAAAAAAACAAAGATCCACTGCTTTTTTGACATTGTTGATGTGTATACATGTAAAATACCTCAAAATAGGTGATAAGCTGTCCTATGACCCGATCAATCTTATTATTTCTACTAACTAAGCCTTCTCCTAGCCTCCACCATGGATCGCGTCGGAAACGACGAACGCGATCCAAAGTATCGTTGAACCGAAAAGTCGTAGCGCCAAAATTTTGGTCGGTTTTGAAGATTGCAAGCTAAAATTTTCAAACTTTTCTTAACGGTTCCCTGTTCAAAATCGATTTTTTTGAATTTTCGAATTTTAAGATTTTTTTCCACTTTTATTTTTATTTTCTTTCTAAAAAAAATTTTTGTCCGCTTTCGTTTTATTAGGCTCCGTCTACGACAACCCGCTTCATTTTTCGAATAAAAAGTAAGCCTAACTTTGGAAAATTCTGGGCCCTTCTCTCGTTTCGCCCGTTCCGAAAAAAGACCAGCCCCGAATGCGGTCTTTATTCGGCCAAGAACGCATACCCGAGTAATTATGAGCTTTTCAAAGCGAATTTTGATGTTGAAAAGGGGGTTGTTTCTATTCGGATTTTAGCGATTTTGTTTTCAAAATTTTGAAAAAAAGGGTCGCTAAAACTTGACCCTTAAACTTTGCTAAACCTTTTAAGTTAGATTAGACTTTTTAAGACACAAGCGAGAGTTTGGCTTGGCCTTTGAACAAACCTTTGACTTTTATGCCCAAAGATCCCAAAAATCAGATTATTGAAAACTGACGTTATAAATAGATGAAATTGGAAAAAGCAGACATATTGTAAGTCTTCGGCGGTCTTCGCCGAGCCTTCGCCGAAGGTCCGCCGACCATGCAGCGGCTTTGACAGACCTCGTAGGCATTTCCTAAATTTTTTTTGGGCATCCACCCGCCCTGCGCCCCGTATGATCAATTTTGTGTCAACCCGAACTTTCTTCGATACGAAACGTCGGGACGAGAATTTTTATGCATTTAGATATGTGTAAATATGAAAAATATGGGAGTTGGCGGCAAATTTTTCGTTGGGATTACATTATAATACGTAAGGGGTTTGTCGGTAATTACAAAATCTGGAAAAGGGATTAATAAGATTAGTGTAGGTTGTAGATTCCTACAACCGGCTTAGGGCAGGGAATCGCATAAAAACTGAGGCTTGCGGGAAATTTCATTGGACATGGTGGTTGTTTTCGGTAAGAAAAGGGCGTTTTTTTTTTTGCTTTTTCGAATATTTTTCCTCTGGTTTTGAGGCAAGGTTTTGGCAAAAAACATTTTTGTTTACGCCTCTAAACTGATTCCGCGCTTGTTTTCAGTGCGTCTCAGTCTCACTATCCCCCTGTTAATGAGAGGGTTAAATATGAATGGGGCCTTGTCTGTTCATCCTCATCACATCCGGGCGTAAAACGGCCCCCGTTTAGGCCGTGCCGCTTCGGGGGCACGTTTTCGGGGAGATGCGGCTCAAAATGACGCGCTTTATTGTTTATTCTCAAGTTTTATTTACCTTCGATTTGGGTTGTGGGCATGGAGGAGAGACGGATGTTGTTTTTTAAACTTTTTGGCATTGGTTGTACTTGAATTTCGTTGCAATTTCGGGGATTTTTATTAGAGTTTCTTAGTCGGCAATTTGGCAGGTTCATCATACATCGAAACTTGAATGTTTTTGGGGAAGGATTGTTGAATTTTTTGGCATCTGCCGCTTCATATTTGTCTGTCGAAAATTTCTCTTACTAACAAGAATGGTAGATAGAATTTTTATGCCCCGCGATGGCTTGTTAAAGGCAAATAGCCCGTTGATATAGTCAGCAAAGCAGTTTTTCTTCGACAAATTGTCGAGGTACCAAGAACGAGAGCGCTGGCGGCTCAGACTTCAAATTTCGCAAACTTTGATCGATTATTTCACAAGTTACAGGGAAAAGAATGATTAGATTCGTTCCGTAAAACGTAGCCTTCAGAATTTTTGTTCAGCTACGTCCCTGCCTGTCTACAACAATTTTTTAAAAACTCAGTCTACAACAATGGTATCCAAAATAACCAATACTCAATATGGGTCCGAACATTTCTTTCATAGCCCTCCTTTCTCCACGCATCACTTCTCATGCACCAAAGCAGAGCATTAGCGAAAAACGCGAAAAAACCACGTTCTTTGCTTACGAAATGCACTTCGAATTCCATTTTCGTCATTTTCGAATCCCCCTCTTTGATAGACATTGTTTTCCTCGAGGGCGGAGATTAAATGGGCAATTTTCTTGCGACCAAAAAACTTTTTAAGTGTAAGCATTTTGCTTTATCGGACGCCATTCGGCACTTATTTGGCCTACGGCTATTTTACGGGAACGTTTCGTAAGACTGGGACATTAGGGTATTAGTGCAAATCCGAGAATGTTTTGGCAGTTTTTTGTTTTGAAAGTGAGATTTTTTACGGAAATTTTGTTCTCTTTGATCGCAGGCTAATTTTTGGCGTGAATCTTTTGACCTGAAATCCCGATTATTTCTGCAAATTGCGAGCCAAAAATCTCGTATGTTCTCTTGAAAGTCCTGGTTTGTATTTGTCCGAAGTTTCTGTGGAATCCGAACGGCGCATCTGGAGCTACTTTCCTTTAATGTCCGCTGCAAGTTTTGAGTTACTAAATGTTGACAGGAAATTTTTTAGGATCTTTTTTATAAACAATAGCTTTCATTCCTCCGAATTGGTTAGAATAAAGAGAATAAAGAGATTAGGGAGGTTTTAATTTTGGTGCTTCCGCCGTGAAATCCTTTCCCGGATATGTAACACCTCCACTTTAATCTAGAATTTGATTTCTTGCCAATTTTTGGCTTCTAGTTTTGAAAGATTCGTTTTTTGAGATTGTTCGGAAACATGTCCCCGCCGTTTTACGGAATTAAAAGTCCAAATCCCGCTCTCAGCAATCCCGGAAATGCCTAGACCGCTTTCTCTGACGCAGTATGACTTCATAAATGCATATAAAAGAGCTCGTTTTGTTTGGCGTTTTGACGGTTTCCATGTGCAATTCGATAGCCTTTTGGTCTGCCCTAATATCGTCTAATATTTTCTTTCAAATTTCGAGACGATGAACCTGCCGAGTCGACACAAAATGATGGCCAAATTGCAACGAGGTTTGAGTCTTTTCAATTGTAAAGTTTGTCATAAATTTTTTACAAATTTTTCATGAAAAGTTACCCCAAATTTGAAGCTTTGATGCAACGAAATCTAAGGAAAATTTGGAATAAGAATTTTTAAGAAACATGGAAGACTTTTAGCTTGCACTTTGCAGAAAGAATAGACATTTTTAGGCCAAAAGTTGGTAAAAACCCAAAAATTTAAGTTGGATTTAAAAAAAATTCTCTCTGAAATTAGAAGCGTTTTTGTTCGTTAAATGAACCATCTTTCTACATAAAAATTCCTTTTTCACAGAGAAATTCGAAAAGTTGCAGTCGAAAAACGCCTTTCATCCGATCGACCCTCCTCATTTTGTATGCTCTCTCGGAAAAGATTGCGCAATAGCTCGGCGGTGGTTGCAAAGTGGGAGCTAAAAGTTTAAGGGAAAACAATCTAGTTTGATCTGAAGTAAGCATGCCAACTTTCAGGAATATTGAAGCTTCACTCTTGAGGTATTACCCTTTTTGAATCAGGGTATTAAAAATCAAAATTTTGAAGTCTTTTTGATTTTTTAAGGCTTAAATAAGGCTATCTAGCGTCTGTATTGCAAATTTTAAAATTTGAGGGACCTATCTTTTCTATCGAATAGGCTTGGACTTTTAAAATTCACTTTTAGTGAACACAATTGGCGAAATCTTGGACAGAAAGCGGTCGGTGGCAAGGATAATGTCCCAGACGGCGGATGGGCTAAATCACAGCTTTGAATTCAAGAAATGCTCACCCGAGGACGTTGTCTACGACCTGTTCAAGGTCCCCGGGAAAGACGAAGCCTCTATTGGAAGGCTGGTCAGTGTTTTGCGGAGCTTGGGCCTCAGGGAAGACGATCCACGACTGATTGCGACTATGGAAAAAATCAAAGAATACGATCACAATATGAATGACGATTATGATGTGAAACGATATCGGTTGCCAAGGGAACAGTTTAAAGAGTAAGCAAGAAGAGTGTAAGGACGATATATCCGAATTTACAGATGTATTCACCCAAGTATATCGTTGATATCCCAAGCCCTACGAAACGAGCTGATCATTCCGTCGTGGAAAGAGTTCACGGACAAAATCGCCGAGATCTTTGAAGATGTAGGTAGCACGGTTATTGTTGGCCAAGGCTGCAAATAAAAAAGCAGTTTAAATTCGATTTTCAGTGCCGTTCCTGTACGGATGGAAATGTGGCCACCTATATCCCACAATTGGCTCGACAAGACCCCAACCGTTGGGGAATGTCGGTCTGCACCATCGATGGGCAACGATTCTCGATTGGTGACGCGAAAATTCCGTTTTGCTTTCAGTCAGTGTCCAAGGTAAGTGGCGGAAACAGTAGGTCAACTTTGGGTCTTCAAATAGCATAGACTTCTACAGGGAAGCTCTGGCTGGCCTGGAAAATTTTCCTTTGCCGACAACCTGGGAAATAGTGGATCAAGAGGGTCAAAAATTTTATGTTTAGATCGTCTGGGGACCTTGTTTGTTTGGTTTGAAAAGGGTGTTCGCCTGAGAAATATAAAAAGGCCAAATATTCATTCTAAACAGAAATCTTGACCATGTCAATGTACCGTTTCCCGAGACCGATCAAAAAGTCATTTTGCAAAGCTTATCGACATCAAATTTGGGTTAATTTGGGTTACTTTCGATTTATTTTCACCCTTTTCTTAATTAAATCAATGCCCATTCCCATAGAAGCCCCAGTTCATCTTTTTTGCCCCTGAAGAAGTGTTAATATAAGGCGCGTGCGTTCTACTTCTCTTCGGACTTCCTCGCAGAAAACCCGCATTTCTTGTCTGTGGGCCCGCTAGACAAGAAACGCGCAATTCTTGTCTAAAATTGCGTAACATTGCGCAATATTGCGCAATTTTCTGTTCTCTCCCCGTGAAGATTTTTTTCTTTTTTTCTCTGCTCAGCCAAGAATTGCGCATTTCTTGTCTAGCGGGCCCACAGACAAGAAATGCGGGTTTTCTGCGAGGAAGTCCGAAGAAAAGTAGAACGCACGCGCCTTATATTGCCTTTGTAGGCCTTTAACTACGCGATCGTCTCCTCGGACCTCGGCTCAGACTATGTCCACCAATTTGTCGGCCACGAGCCCTCGGGCCGTTTGTTCAATGAGATTTGTCTGGATGCGAATGGAAAACCGCATAATCCGATGATAAATGCGGGCGCTATCGTTGTCACTTCTCTCCTGAAGAACGGGCTTTGCATGGCGGATCGATACGACTTCGCCTTCAACGAGTACAAAAAGCTGTCCGGTGGAGACTACGTCGGCTTCAACAACGCGACTTTTTTGTCGGAGCGCGAAACGGCGTCGCGAAATTTCGCGTTAGCGTTTTTCATGAAGGAGAACAAGTGCTTCCCGCCTGGAATTCAGCACCTCCGAGAGGAGTTGGACCTCTACTTTCAATTGTGCTCGTTGGAGACGCATTGCGACAGTGCGGCGGTGATGGCGGCGACGCTGGCCAACGGAGGTAAGATTATGTTAAAAAAGGTACTGAAATGTCACTGTTATAAAAACCCTAAACCTATGTGTTCTAATTGGACAAATAGCTTTTAATTTGGTAGCATGTATGTGCACGGTTCAGCCGATATAACTTATTGCTTCATGAGCCCTAAAAATATTATACTAAAACGTTTCGTTCCAGGTGTCTGCCCTCTAACCGGCGATGTTTGCATCGACTCTCGGCCCTGTCGAGACGTTCTCTCGCTCATGTATTCGTGCGGAATGTACGATTACTCGGGTCAATTCGCATTCCACGTGGGATTGCCGGCCAAGTCCGGCGTCTCCGGCAACATGATCATTGTGATTCCCAACCTGATGGGCATTTGTTTGTGGTCGCCGCCGTTGGACAAGCTCGGGAACACTTGCCGAGGCGTGAAATTTTGCCAAAAGCTCATTGAGACATTCAATTTTCACAATTACGACTCTTTATTGCATGCGGATTCGCAGAAAATCGATCCAAGGCGAGCAATGGGCTCGAGAGAGACGGATCTGGTGGTCAGTCTGCTGTTTGCATGCAAAAACGGCGATTTCGAAACGGTTAGACGGTAAGGTTTTAATTTATCTTTAACGTCAAATAATTAATGATGAAATGTAATTAAAAAATTCAAAAAAATTTTTTCTGTGTACCCCAGAAATTTACAGTTGGAAATGGCTCGAAATTTGGCATACATAATGTAGGCAGCCTAGAGGTGGCAATCGGGCCGGGCCGGGCCGAATTTTGCGGCCCGGCCCGCGGGCCGAAGTGACCAGGCCGGCCCTGGGCTTTTTCAAATTTGCTCAGGCCCGCTACTGCAAAAAGGTTGGATAAAACTCTATGCACTCTCTACTGGAACTTTTTATGCCTTCCCGCGGGGTTTTACGTCTATATGAGTGGAATTAAAACGTCTAGTCGGCTGACTGGAACAGCCGAACAGGTACCTAAAACCTAGCCAAAAGTTTGGATTGTGTCGATTTTTTTTATCCTATAGGAAGTTAACTATGTAAAAATCTGGACCTTATGAGGCTACATGTTTAATCAAAAACTGCGTAGATACGTTCATTTACATCAAGTAATCGAATTACTGTGAAATGTTTAAGCTTATCATCAAAAATTCGAAGATTTGCCCGATCCTTGCATATTTGGGTGGGATTTTACATATACATAATCAGTGATTTTAAAGAGTTTGAAAAGGTGGTAAAACAGTCTATTAGTCAAAAAGGTTTGATTTAATATCCATCCAACAATTCTGCTAAGCATTTGTGCTTTATTTTGCTGGTTCAATATTAATTTTTTTTCACTTATCCACCTTCCGGGCCGGGCCGAGCCGAAAGTCTCGGCCCGGCCGACGGGCCGAAGCGGTCAGGCCGGCCCTGGGCTTTTTCAAATCTGCTCAGGCCCGGCCCGGCCCGGCCCAATCACCGGGCCCGGCCGGGCCGGGCCGGGCCGGCCCAGCCCGATTGCCACCTCTAAGGCAGCCCACAAATCATACCCTGAAAATTGTAGTTTGTAAATTTCACCGAGAGCCGAGATTTTACGAAATCTTTTTTCGAGAGAGCACGCGAAATGAGGAGAGCTTGTCAGACAAAAAAAGGGTTTTGGCTATATCTTTGTGGGTTTCGCTTGGAAACGGCGGATTTTTTTGTAGATATTCGCTCTAGTTGCGATAGATCGTGACATCTTGAAGCGGAAATTCGAAAAAAAATCTATAAGTTTTTTTATTTATGATCTTGCTTGAAAATTTCAAGAAAATTTCAAATTACAAAAAATCCCAACTTCCAGACTCTACATCCAAGGAGAGAATCTGAATGTAGTCGACTATGACGGTCGAACCGCCCTTCACTTGGCGGCATGCGAAGGGCACGCGAACATTGTCAAATTCCTCCTCCAAACCTGCAATGTTGACCATTCGATCCAGGATCGGTGGGGGAGGACGGCGTTGGATGATGCGCGGTTATTCCATCATCATGCCTGCACTTCGCTGCTTCTCCGTGCCGGGAAACCGGTCCATCATGGAGGAAGTAAGGTGAAGAACAAGGCCATTTATGATGCTGCAAATGCGTAAGTTGCGAATGTGGTGAAACCTCTGTGCATGGGCCAACCCGTCCTGTAAAGAATTTTTGTGGTCTCTCGAGAGAGTTTTGGGCGAAAAAACGTAAAATATACGACCACCTGAAGTTTACAGTGGGCGGACCTGATCCAGTGGCAAAAAACGTACCATTTTGCATCCAGGAAGTATCAAAAAATGTGGCAAAATACCTCCCTTTCCATGTGAAAAAACTCCGATTTCAAAAGCGCGCCCGCTCTTTTTGTGAGGAAAAAGGGCGCGCCCTTTAAAACACAGTTTTTTTCACTTGGAGAGGGAGGCGTTTTGCCACATTTTTGATACTTTCTGGATGTAAAATGGTACGTTTTTTGGCGTACCATTTTGCCGTACCATCAGGTCCCCCACTGTGACTGTAATTGCGACAATTTTTAGCGCAACCGAAGTGGCAAGTAGTACCAGCGAAGAGGAGCCTCAGGGCTGCGGTGTGATGATGTTGGGAAGTGGTGAAGAGGATTGCGAAGAGGTCCACAAACCCAGCTTCCATTTGCCTTCGCTTCATTCGTCGTCGGAGGACGGTAAGTTTAGGATCGGAACCCAGCAATGGGGAAGAGGACTAGACCAACATTTTTTGGCTTCTTTTTTGATTGGCCATTGTAAATTTTGGGATGGTAAACGTTGGCGGACTTTATCCAGTGGCAAAAAACATGCCATTTTGAATCCGGGAAGTGTCAAAAATGTAGCAAAATACCTCCCTCTCCAAGTGAAAAGGCTCCGTTTTGAAGGGCTCGCCTATTCCCTCACAAAAAGAGCGGGCGCGCCTTTGAAATCGGAGTTTTTCAACATGGAGACGGAGGTATTTTGCTACATCTTTTGATACTTCCTGTATGCAAAATGGTACGGTTTTTGCCACTGGATCAGGTCCCCCACTGTATTTTTTTCGGCCATAGTAAGACTTGGCTATCAATTCAAAAAGCTACAAAAGATTTTTTTGAAAGGCCGCGCTTCGGCAAGAAGCCGGCTAAACTCTCGGTTTAGAATCGGTGTTTGTTCGCTTGCCTGTAGCGTTCTGGGACTACACACAAGAGCTGTAACTTTTAAAAATTCTGTTGCTGACGAGTTGTTGCATTCCAAAATCGTTTTTTCAGTCAAAACCCCACAAAACGACGCCAACCCCCTGATTCCGAACGGCGAAACGGTGGAGGAGCTGCTGCGGAATGCGCAATTAAACGATAAGCCCAAGGAGAATGGCGTCCGAAGGGAGCAATCCCCAACGCATGTGCAGTTTGACCATTCCACACACAAATGACTGTAAAACTTTTTTTATTTTCGGCTTCTTACTGCATATTCCGGTGCGTGAATCTGTTATATTCTCGTTGTACGGTCTTCTCGATCTGCTAGAGGTTAGATAGAGTAAAAAACAATCACTATACTCATCCAGGGACAAGTTCAACTCTGCTTTAAATTGTTTTTGATACTCCGGTGTAGTCTTGAATCACTTAAACGGTGCCTTAATAAACATGTTTTTTTACAACGGGAAATAGTTTGGTATTTTGCGCGTAGAACGGAGATTCTTACATGGCACATACGCGGAAAAAACAAGAATAAAGTATAAGTTGTAGCAAGTGCCTACGAGGCTTGGAAAGGCCGTCGGACGGTCGGCGAAGGCTCGGCGGGACTCGGCGAAGACTTACAATACAACCACTCTTTCGAATTTTAGCTATTACTAAAGTTAGTTTTCTTTACCCTGAGTTGTTGTACCTTAAGAAATAGCAAAATTTGCGGCAAAAAACGAAGATCCGTAACTTTTATTTACACATTATTGATGTGGGTACATGTAAAATGCCTCAAAATAAGCGAAAAGTTATCCTAAGACCCGATCAATCTTCTTATATTTCTACTAACCAAGCCTTCTCAAAGGCTCTCCCATGCATAGAACGAGAACTGGCGCGATCCGTGGTATCGTTGCCCCAACTTTCGTTGACCGGAAACGTCGTAGCGCCAAAAAATCTTCTCGGACCGTTCTCCGCTTCTCGTGTACTCTCGAAGTAGTATATAGGCCCCTCTCACTGCCCCAAAAAGGGGCGGGGCCTATTTTCAATCAGGTAGGGGGAGAGAAGGGAAGAAGGTCACGGTGTAGCCAATATGCTTCTAGATTCATTTCACTGTGTATAATATGTTTTTTTTTGCAATGTAAATGGTACTGGAAACAACGTTTTTTGTGCCCAAATACCTTCTTTTTGCGCAGCTTTTCAAATTTGGGTTCACACGATGATCTTTTGGCAGTCAAGGTTATTTGATTCTGATGTTGCGTCATTGATCGCTACCATCACTGCTATTAATTAAAAATTAAAACTTTTATTAAGCAAGTGAGAATTGTATCGATTTCTTAATATAAGAAAAATTTCGCTGTTAATTCACCCGTTTTGGCAAGAAGCAGATACTATTTTAGGGCAGTCTTAGCGCGAAATTTTAGAATTTTAGGTTAGACATGTGGATTTTTGCGGATAAAATTGGCACACGCCCGAATCACACAATGGGTTATAAATGGAAAAAATTAAGATATCATATAATTAAATATTGCAAATTTTAATGGGCGGAGTCAAGTTAGTGTAAATCTTTCCATTTAACAACTGTTAACTGCAACAACAGTTGTCCTAAGGGATACCAAAGAATGAGTCATAAAGTCCACGTTAAAATCATTCCGAGCTCACGTGAAGGAAATGATTGCCGGAGGCAGGCATGTGTTAGATTTCACAACAAGAAACCGAAATAGCATTAGACAGTTGAGGCTCAAAAAACTACTATTGCTTTTGTTGAATAGTTGTTATAATAGGAGCACTTTCCTTATAAGGAATCTGCAAAAATACGTGAAGAAACCTTTGGATAATGAAATTGCACAAAAGCTCACGCTTGTCCAAAGAGAGATAAAGATTTTTTCCGAAAATTTGCATAATTTATGCAAAAAAAAAAACACAAACTATCCCGCGGATTGTGCGAAAGTGTTTTCTACATGATCTTTTGAATTTCCCACTTTTTATTTTGATTATGTTTACAAATTATTCAAATTTATTTTAAATATTTATTTTTTTAAATATGCAAATTTTAGCGCAAAGGAATAATATTTTTTTATATCTTTGATGAAGTTTGGATTACTCAGTAGTCGTCATCATCTTCGTCTAGATGCATCTCTTGTAGCTTACAACAGGGACATCTGGGGGACAACACCTTGATGGAAGAGGTAGCCAGCAGTGAAAGATAATGAAGACCATCCATTTTTCCGCGGTTAATGAACCCTGAAAGAACGATTCGGTTTCCGATTTCAACCTCTTCTAACAGAGAGCGCGCCGAGTCATGCGCCATTATCATGTAATAATCATTTTCAGCTAGGGCCAGCGCAAAACTCGGTTCTTCTTCACTATCTGAATAATGACAAAATTCAATTGAGACGACTAGAGGAAGCGACATTTGAAGACAGGAAAAAACTTGCAATAGAATTTTGACCAAATTTCTCTACTTTATACTGATTTAAAGGGGGAGGAGCAAATTTGCAACATCCCAAATTCCGCCTACGCAGCAACTGTTTCCTGCCAACAATCTGTCACAACTGTTTGTCACAAATCAATGTCACAATGATTTTCTCAACTGTCTATGTCACAACTGCTTAACAACTGCCAAAAGCCAGACAGCAACTGTTTCCTGTCAAAATCTGTAACAATTGTTTGTTAAAAATCTATGTCACAACCACAGATTAATTAAAATTTGGAAAGTTCTAGAAAAGTTTGTGAGCTTTTAGTCATCGCCTACACTACAGATGTTATTATTTTTGAAAAAATCTATACCACAACCTTATGACAATTTCCTATGTCACAGTTATTTGACAATTCATCATGTCACAACTGTTTAACAACTGCTAGAAGCCTGACAACAACTGTTTATGTCAAAATCTGTCACAATCATTTTGTCAATAGTCTATGTCACAACTCGCGTCAAAATAAAAAGGGAATTTCGTCAGGCAATATGGAAATAATGATTTTCCCCCTTTTCTCTGCTTCGATTTCGAAAAGAAATCGGGATCTCTTCATTTTCGTCCTGTCTTCGTCACATGACGAGAGGCAGAGGGCGCTCGCACAAAGCAGGAGAGAGCGGGCAGAGAAAGAAGGAAAAGATCGGGGTTTCTTTTCGCTCTGACCGTCGTCAAAATTTAATGAGAAAGTACCCAGCGGAGAAAAAGACCCGAGGTTTGGAAATGCTTTTCGTCGCGGAGAAGCAACTGCTTAGCGACTGCTGAAAGCCTGGCGACTCAGAGATGCAATAAGTTCAAATCTTTACTGATTAATTAGGCTTAGGAAAGTTCTAGAAAAATGTCACAATTGCTTAACAACTGTTGAAAGCCTGGGAGCAACTGTTTTATGTGATCACTCTGTTACTTCAATGCCACATGAAAAACATAAGAAAAAGGGCGGAGTCTATGAAACAGCGATGCCTGAAGAGCTTTATTTAACAAGGAAAAATTTTAGGAAATGTCATTTTCTACGAAAATATAATTTTTATCAGAGTTGATATATTATGTCAAACATTGTGTTCCGTCAAATTGGAGTGCCTGAAATTATCAACAACCCTAAATTTAAACATCAGACGCACAAGGTTCAGTACTACGTTAATATTGATGAAGATTGTGAGGACTACGAAGATCAATTAATTCGTCTTGTGAATGAGAATGTGGCTCAAGCGATTAAAGAAAGCGAAGAAGAAGGGGAGATGGTCTACAAAATTGCTGCAGCGATCCATTCCGATCGGCTGGTTGATGGAATTTTCACAGGTTTTTTACCAACGGTTGACTTTCAGGCAGAGAGGCTGCTGACAAAGTTCTCCAAAGTGCAGCAAAGTGCCAACACACCGTCCATCATCGGGGAACCATTCACGCTTGATATTTCAACTGTCAGAGGAAAAACTGGAGGAAGAAGACCACAAGGTGAATCACAGCTCAATTCAAAAACAGGCGTTTTTGAAATCAGAAACACAGGATCTGACTGCTTTATCCTAGCGTCACTGGTTGCCTTTATGAAAATTGCTTATTCAGGCAGGAAGCAGTCGGAATGGGCCTACAGGATTGCCAATCAAACTCCTTCGGCAAAACAAAAGTATATTGAAGTGCTAGCTGGGTGGTGCACTTCAATCCTAAAAAATTCAAAATGCACCATAAACCAGATTGCGCCTGTGGTTGAACGTTACTTGGAGTTGGAATATCCTCAATACAAGCCAATTAGAATTGTGGTGTTTGCAACAAGAAACTTCAATGATGACTGGTTATATCCTTTGGACAAACATGTTAACGGCAGGACGTATCTACCTATATATTACAATAATAACCATTTCGACGCAATTTGGTACACGAAGCGCTTCTTTCAATATAAGCATCAGTGCTATATTTGCCATGTTGCCTATTCTGACAAGTTACAGCATAGTAGGAAGTGTTTGCATAAATGTCACTTGTGTGGCAGAGTAGGGCCCGATTTCCCATGCAAATTTGAAGATGTTCAATACTGTGCCAATTGTTCGACCACATTCCCAAACTTTGACTGCTATAATGTACATCAACAGAGAGCATGTCGTCTTTACAAAACGTGTCAAATTTGTGAAAAAAGATATAACACAAAGGAAATACACGAATGCGGCTCAACATATTGTCAAACATGTCACTCGTACCATTCTGCTTCCAGGTCGTGCTTCGTACAACCATTGAAAGCTCCAGCAAAAGCGCCTTCCTATAAGCTTTTTGTGTATGACTTCGAAACGACGCAAACAACTATTGTTGAGAAGGATAAAAAAGCTAAGCATGTAGTAAACTTTTGTGCTGTTAAAACAATGTGCGACGAATGTATGACATCAGGAAGATACGCTGACACAAATTCTTGCGATAGTTGCACGGGTGAATTAAACTACTGGAGCATTCCGGAAGACGAAAACTGCGAACCGTTGAAATACTTCTGGCAATACCTTCGGAGAAACACGGAACCTGGAAAAACGAATATAGCGGTTGGACATTACGCAGGGCGATTCGATATCCCTTTACTGATGGAGGAGATCATATCCGAAAACGAACATTACAATCTACAAATAACTAACGTAGGAAACAAGATTTATTCTCTTGTTATCAAGGGAGGTGGTGAATTTGGATGTATAAAATTTATTGACTCTTATAACCATATCCCTGTACCATTGGAAAAAATGATTGAAACCTTGGATCTAAAAAAGATAGCAAATGACAAGGGAACATTTCCGCACTTGTTCAATCAGGAGCAATTCTACGAATACGTCAACGATGGACTACCACCTATCGAATATTACAACCCGGATTCCATGTTGACAGAAAAAAGAGCAAAATTTTTGGAATGGTACGAAAAACACAAATCAGATGACTTTAATTTCAAAAGAGAGCTTCGCGAATATTGCATCAATGACGTAATGTTATTAGCCCATGCTTTGGTTACCTTCAGACGTCAATCTCGAGAAGCAACCGGATGCCCTACTGATGATATTCTCTACTCGTGTACTACACTTGCGTCAGCATGTATGAGAGATTTTAGAATGACATGTATGCCTAAGGATAGCATTGCCTTAGTGCCTGAAAAAGGAATTGGTAGATATGTCAATCAATCTAAAGTTGCTTTAAAAATGTTACGTTATCTCAAATACAGCAAAGGATATGAACTGCGTTTTCGCGACACACCTGGTGGAGAATACAAGCTTAAAGTCGAACGCGAAGGAAAAATCCATCACTATTTCGTGGATGGATTCGTTGATCGTTCACCAGCTCAAAGTTTAGTAATTGAAATATATGGATGCTTTTTCCACGGATGCCCAAAGTGTTTCAAATACAAGGACATAATAATGCCCTTAGGTCAGCGAAGGGAGGAGCTGTATCTCAAAACGATGCAACGTCAACAAGCGATTGAAAACGCTGGTCATGAGGTAGAAACATACTGGGAATGCGATATCCAAAAAATTCTATCAACAAACGAAGAAATGCGCAACTTTTTTAATGACGAAATCAAGAACCCCGGCCCTCTTGTTTTGAGGGATGCATTCAGCGGTGGTAGAACTGGCCCTTCACAACTTTATGCCAAGGCTGATGAGAATTTTGAGATTACTTACACGGACATTCAGAGTTTATACCCTTACGTTCTCGTCACGTACCCTATGCCTCATGGTATTCCTGAACATGTCTTGGGAAGCGGACCCGTTTTATGGAACACTCCCGAAATAATAAAGGATGATGGTGTGTACAAAGTTCTAGTGGTGCCGCCAACTAATTTAGCACACCCTGTTCTTCCCTCTAAGATTAATGATCAACTTATGTTTGTTTTATGCGTTGCTTGTGCCAAAGAGAACTGCAAGACAAATTTTCCAAGAAATCTCATTTGTAGACACACAGAAAATGAACGTCAATTTGTCGCCACCGTGGCCAGCGTAGAACTAAGACTAGCATTGGAAAAAGGGTACATTGTAAAACATTTTTATGAAATGTACAGATGTAACATGAGCAAGGATATCTTCAAACCATATGTTATGAAGAATTTGAAGCTGAAGCTGGAGGCTTCAGGACCTCCTCCTTATTGCTCGTCAGACGCGCAAAAGATTGAATATTGCAACGAAGTAAAACGACGATATGGCTTCGAATTAAACCAGGCAAATTGGATAAAAAATGCAGGTTTACGTACGATCGCAAAGTTGCGGTTGAATTCCTTATGGGGCAAATTTGGCCAGAGATCAAACCTATCGCACGTTGAGGTGTGCAGAAACCCTAACGATTTTCACCGAATACTGCGCGATTATGGAAACGACGTATGCAAAGTCAATGTTGTAAATGACACGGTGGCTTTTACCACTGTAAGAAAGAAGGAAGGCTTTGACGAAGAATACGACTATTCTAACATACTTTTGCCTATATTTACTACAGCGAGTGCAAGAGTGCATCTCTACCGCTTCATGGATCGATGCCAAGGCTCATCAACCTTATTGTACACTGACACCGACAGCTGTGTTATACTACATCCAAGGGGTCAACTGCCGTTTAAAATTGATTATTTTCTTGGTGATATGGAACGGGAGCATGAAAATAATGTCATAGAGGAGTTTATATGTGGAGGTGCAAAGCAATATGGCTTAAAGATGAGAGATGCCAATGGTACTGCGTTGTATGAGCTAAAGCTGAGAGGAATTACCCTCTCATACAGCGTAAAAGAAATTCTGAATTATAAAGTTTTGCGAGAACTTATACTGGGTATCACCAATAGCTCGATATCTACAGTGACTGATCGTATTCAACCTGTTATCAGCAAAGGGGTCTACACGGTCAAGACAGTCAAGAAATATCAGCCAGTCTTCTACAAAGGTTTTATTAACAATCAATTGGCTGTTCTTCCGTACGGTTTTAAATATTCATGGCAGACATAAATATGAGGATAGTTTTTTTTTTTTGATTTACGATATATGATGTCCAATAAATACTAATATAAAATTCCCTTTGTTTGATTCATATATTAAAATAATAAAAATACAGGTAGCGAAATCTAAATGAAATCAAACCGTAATAAAAAGATTGTTTGTTGCTCTGCTCTTTCTACATACTATATACTATATGACTTGAGCTTGGTTTGAAAAACTAGCTTAAATTCAAAAAATTTTTTGAACCTATGACTTTATTTACTTGAAATTTTAATATTTTTTGTTAAATTACAACATTTTTGAAGTGAAAAAAAAATTTTTTGTGAGATCTCTAGAATTTGATGAAAGTTTGACTAGAACGTGGAGCATATCTTTATGTCATCTGTTATGTACAGCTCTAACCGTTCAGAAGCCTTCGAAATTTGTTGATAGGAAGTTCTCGGTATCTTGTGTCTTGAATACAAAAAAAGAGTTTGTATAATTTAAAAGGAAAATTTACGAATTTATATCCGTATATTCTGTGTACCGCCAGCTTTAATATTTTTTTTGGAAAGGCGTAAATCGGTCCACTGTATCAAAAGCCCAAAATGTCAGAGTTTATACCATGTCCATGAAAAGTCGCTCGAAGTCAATCAAAAGGAAGAGAGGTCACCAAAGTTTACAGTCCTTTTTTTCTAGCGCTCTCTTCTTTTTTTCATGATGCCGCTAACTCAAGTTAGTGCCCTTTTTATGCGTGAAAAATCTTCTAGTTTTGTAAATTTCAGGATCCATTGTTTTACTAGAGAGGTTTCTACAAAAGTTAAGTAAAAAAAAAAAAACTTTCAGTTTTTCTTTGCTTGTAAATTTATGCATGTGTTTTAATATGTCCACAACGAAGATAAGATTTGCCAAGTTGTCGAAATTAAATGTCATCACAAACCAATTTCTTATACACGACGTTCAAAAACTTGTTCATACAACAACATGCTTATAAATAATTCCTTGCATTTGCTTAAAAAATGAAGTTTTCTATCCATTTCCAAACTGAAGCCTTGCTAAAAATCTTAGTCTAAGAACCTCGTTACATATTGTAATAAGCGTCTTAATGTACATGGTAACTATCTCAATTCAATAGATGGCTGTTATTAAGATAAAATTAATTGTAAACTAACTTTTTCTCAAAAGAAAATTATATTCCTTTTAGGACAATAAAAAACGTTGGTGATATGAAAATTGGAATGTTCAATGTACTTCCTTGTCTGGATTTAGAATGCGGTTATAATATTCTCCAAACATTAAGTATAATAACCAGAAATTAGTTGATAACTTCGGGCGCTTCTATTTCTGGAACTTTGACTTTTTCTATTTTTTTTTGAACCACTTTTCAACTTTTATCAAAGAGCTAGGGACCTTCGGCTCCTCGCATATGAAAGAAGACGAGCTTTCAACTCAAAATATACGAAGATAACCTTTCTGTCAAAAACTTAGGGGCGGGACCCTTCGGACCCCCATATTTCAGGTACTTTTTTTTCAGGCGCCTCGATTTCTGGAACTTTGACCTCTATTTTCCTTCTGAAACCCTTTTGAGCCTTTACGAAGTGCTCTAGGCTTGCGGTGGCGCCATGTCTTATACTGAATACTTTGAAGATTTTACTGAAATGCTTGAGGGCCTTCGGCCTTTTTGAAATTCAGAAATATGAATTCCGAGGAAAAAATGTTTTTCGGTCGGAAAACCCCACGAACAATTCATTCTTGACATTTCGTTTGACTACACGATACAGGATGGGCAAAGTGTCGAAATGGGATGGGAGACTGACTCCCTGGGTTGCCGTGCGACCCCCTTACCGTACAAAAAATTTTTTGATGCCTTAATGAATTTGATCATAAAAATATTTTCTCATAATCTGTTTTTTTCCGTTCAAAACTTGGTTTTGAGGTCAAAAACTAGGCAGCCAGTTAACTGAAACGGAAGATGAAAGGGTAAAAATTCTAAATCTAACTGCAAAATACTGCATTGCTAAACTTTTTCATTATAAAAGTACTTTTTTTTTGTTCGTTGTGGTGGAAAAATCAAGAATATCACCCCAAACATGATTAAGATAATGAATAAGTTGCAAACGACTTCATATTGGTGCGAAATATATTGGACTAATTTAGGCTAATTTTATAAATACCCGAATACACCCGAGATTTCGGGTATATACCCGGTGTGTAGCCGCGGGTGAATATACCCGAATTTTCCGAACCCTACTCAAACATTCAAGAATAACCTGCCAAAAGGAAAAATAATAAAGATTCTCTCAAGAAGGAGACAACCTTGCAACAATTTCTCTGAAACTTTTGGAAGTTTTATTAGTCTCGAGGGCAAAACAAAAGTGTACAATCATCGCATTATTTTATGACTCATTACTCTTAAGTCTTAAAAGAGGTTTGTCATTTTGATTGTCGTATTGAACTTTTTTTTTGGAAAATTTTTGCAGATTTTTGTTAAAAATCCGTAAAAAATTAAAAAGAAATTTTGAGAAATTGCTCCTTCCTGTCAAAACGTCCGTCGAAATCAATATGAAGATTTTGCTGAAATCTATATTCGAAATTTACAACTAATATTAATTTTATAACTATTGTTCATCATAGTCTGCGCTAACTCACCTTTTTGAATATAGAATTTTCAATTCAGCCAAAATGACGAAAATGACGGCAATTTGACGCAATTTAACGTTGTTTTGAAAAATTGCGTCAAATTAACAGTCATTATAATTTTGAATGTCTTACAAGCAGGATAAAAGGATATTGGCAAAATGTTCAATGCGCTGTATTTTTGTTTTTTTATAGATTGTGAAAAAAAAAAAACTTTTTTTTATTATGCTTACGGAAATTTGTAGCTGTTATCTGCCATTTCGACCGCTGACTTTTTTCATCTTTTTTACATATTCTATAAAGGAAAATGCGTGAATTGCAATGCTAATTTTTTCCTCTAACAATGAACATTCTGTTTCGATAGTACTGCAAGTTAATATTTAAAAAAAAACATTTTGGTACAGCAAATTTTATGGGCAATCTCTTTGTTGTTTTGTCTGACTCCTCGTCAAGAAAAACGTTTCCCTTCAATAAATTCAAATTTGCGAATCGCCACAAGAATAATTGGCTGCTCTCTTCTTTTTTTCAACAAAATGAGAATAACTTCGATAATTCCTGTGTCGTTTCGTCACGTTTGAGATTTATTGATGGGAAACACTTTGTTCTATCTTTAGTTGATGTGGACTCCCCCTTCCCCTCTTGATCGAAAAAGTTATCCTTTAATCTTCCAGCTGTTGTAGAAAAATGGAACTAACTTACCTAGTCTTTTAAAAACACTTACTTTTCTTACAAAAAATTTTTAGGTTCTATGTGATTTGAGTACACCTGTAGCAAAGCTTGTTTTGTAATGTCTCTTTACAAAATCTCAATGCTGCTTCATCATTAACTTCTATAATATTACCATTTTTACAAAGTGCCTGTAAATTAGTCGCGGTCCACACTGTGCACAGCAATGGGCGAGTTCTTGCACCCCTCACTCACTTTTTTTTTGATTTTGCACTTTACAATTGAAATAACGCTGCTTTTCTCAACTGCGCCGCTGCGGTTTTGCTCCAAAATATGCACAGTGCAATCGGCATTTATGAGGTTTGCACGGAGCGGAAAGGCAAAAATCGACAGTGCGTTGGCGACAAAAGCTCAAGAAGCACTGTGCGAAAGCGAAAAAATGTCCAGGCACTTTGTGAAAATGCTAAGACCAAAAGAAATTTATGAAAACAATAGAGAAGGATAAAAGTCGGACGAAATTTAGAGCAAGATTATAAAAATATGTCAGATTCTTAGGTGCCACAATTTGCAAGTAGTGCACCTAGTGCAAAAAAAAATGTTGCCCATGCCTTTCAGCAGCGCAAATATTGTATTTTTGGTGATGGAATATTACCCCATTTCTAATGTATACGTATTGTGCGAGAGGAGAGTAAAACTTATGTTGCCGCTCAAGTCCTCAAGTCGAACCTGCTGGCCTATGGATACAAATAGGATCCTAATGTTTCGAAATTTTATGTTATCTTTGAAGCAAAACGAGCATGTAATGTATTAGGATGTTGTCTTGTAAATTTTTGGGTCCTCGATTTGTGCGAATGTGAGCTTTGAGATGCATTAAGGGATATGTTGTATATATGGTTTTGAAGCTCAGGCAGCTTCTAAATCGTATATACTGAAGTCACATAATGTCTACCCACACTGCCCCAATATTGTCCTACAAATTGAAAAATTTTGCTGATGTTAAAAGGATATAGGCCTTGGAAAATTAGACGTGTAAGCCCATTAAACAAGAAAATATGACGAGCTTGGATCTTATTACAGTTGACGCCGCTACTCAGCAATGGGGCTTTGTGGGGTATAACTAACATGAACTTTGTTGCACTCTTGTCTTTCTGACCTAAATTTCCAATGGTAGAAATTGTTGCCTGTAGCTGTGCATTATATGTAATTTACGCTTGTTTGTGAACATTATGAGATAACAATTACCGGTTGTGTCAGTTTTGTTCGTTGAAATATTCATCATTTAAAGAATTCCCAATTTAAAAAATTTATGGAAATTTTTAAAAATGTTGCTTTCGCTAACATAAAATACGTATGTTATCGTTCAGAACTCACTGCGCTACAATATAACTTGAGGTCGTAGCAATTTTTTGGGGGGGGTTGAGCAAATGCCCCTCATTTCTTCAAATTTTCTTGGGTTAGCGGTAATTCAGAGCAAGGTAGCCAGCGATTCATACATAAAACGTAAAAATGTAATTCGATTTTTATCCTATTAAACTGAGCAAGTACACTCAAAAAATGTTATACGCAAATGTACATCACAGTATTCACCATTACACCTAATACAGAAAGCCTGTAGGAGAGCGCCATAAGCACCAATTCAGTGCTTATTTATTTTAATAGATACAGGGAACTCAGTGGATTTATTAAAAAGTGTAGATGCAAAGGTGCAGCCTCACTTTGCAGAGAACGGAATCGTTTTATTAACCCTTCCTGAAGTGGATGATATTAAAGAATATTAAATATTTGTCCTGCGGGTATGAGGCCCGTTCAGATTTCTATGCTTCTTATGAGTGTAAGAAAGATATGGTGGTTTTAACAGTAACAAACATTGAGGGGTGAAGTGATGTAGACCCTCGCAATGAGACTTTAATTCTCAAACCCAAAATTTTGCAAGGCGACCCAAAACTTCTCACATCGCTTTAATTAGGCATATGTAAATTTTTGTTCTAGAATCTTCTAGAAAGGGAAAGAATTTCTCAGTCTGTGGATCAAAGAATCAAAAAAAATAATTTTTGTGTTGTGATTTAGACGATGACTAAAAGCTCACAAACTTTTCCGGAATTTTCCTAGACATTTGACAAAATAGTTGTGACATTGACAATTGATAGAGATTTGTTACAGAGTTTCACATAAAACAGTTGCTCCCAGGCTTTCAACAGTTGTTAAGCAATTGTGACATTTTTCTAGAACTTTCCTAAGCCTAATTAATCAGTAAAGATTTGAACTTATTGCATCTCTGAGTCGCCAGGCTTTCAGCAGTCGCTAAGCAGTTGCTTCTCCGCGACGAAAAGCATTTCCAAACCTCGGGTCTTTTTCTCCGCTGGGTCCTTTCTCATTAAATTTTGACGGCGGTCAGCGCGAAGGAAACCCCGATCTTTTCCTTCTTTCTCTGCCCGCTCTCTCCTGCTTTGTGCGAGCGCCCTCTGCCTCTCGTCATGTGACGAAGATAGGACGAAAAATAAAGAGATCCCGATTTCTTTTAGAAATCGAAGCAGAGAAAAGGGGGAAAATCATTATTTCCATATTGCCTGACGAAATTCCCTTTTTATTTTGACGCGAGTTGTGACATAGACTATTGACAAAATGATTGTGACAGATTTTGACATAAACAGTTGTTGCCAGGCTTCTAGCAGTTGTTAAACAGTTGTGACATGATGAATTGTCAAATAACTGTGACATAGGAAATTGTCATAAGGTTGTGGTATAGATTTTTTCAAAAATAATAACATCTGTAGTGTAGGCGATGACTAAAAGCTCACAAACTTTTCTAGAACTACAAACAATTGTGACAGATTTTGACAGGAAACAGTTGCTGCCTGGCTTTTGGCAGTTGTTAAGCAGTTGTGACATAGACAGTTGACAAAATCATTGTGACATTGATTTGTGACAAACAATTGTGACAGATTGTTGGCAGGAAACAGTTGTTGCGTAGGAGGAATTTGGGATGTTGCAAATTTGCTCCTCCCCCTTAAGTCAGTATAAAGTACGGAAATTTGGTCAAAATTCTATTTCAAGTTTTTTCCTGTCTTCAAATGTCGCTTCCTCTAGTCGTCTCAATTGAATTTTGTCATTATTCAGATAGTGAAGAAGAACCGAGTTTTGCGCTGGCCCTAGCTGAAAATGATTATTACATGATAATGGCTCATGACTCGGCGCGCTCTCTGTTAGAAGAGGTTGAAATCGGAAACAGAATCGTTCTTTCAGGGTTCATTAACCGCGGAAAAATGGATGGTCTTCATTATCTTTCACTGCTGGCTACCTCTTCCATCAAGGTGTTGTCCCCCAGATGTCCCTGTTGTAAGCTACAAGAGATGCATCTAGACGAAGATGATGACGACTACTGAGTAATCCAAACTTCATCAAAGATATAAAAAAATATTATTCCTTTGCGCTAAAATTTGCATATTTAAAAAAATAAATAATTTAAAATAAATTTGAATAATTTGTAAACATAATCAAAATAAAAAGTGGAAAATTCAAAAGATCATGAAGAAAACACTTTCGCACAATCCGCGGGATAGTTTGTGTTTTTTTTGCATAAATTATGCAAATTTCCGGAAAAAATCTTTATCTCTCTTTGGACAAGCGTGAGCTTTTGTGCAATTTCATTATCCAAAGGTTTCTTCACGTATTTTTGCATATTCCTTATAGGGAAAGTGCTCCTATTATAACAACTATTCAACAAAAGCAATGGTAGTTTTTTGAGCCTCAACTGTCTAATGCTATTTCGGTTTCTTGTTGTGAAATCTAACACATGCCTGCCTCCGGCAATCATTTCCTTCACGTGAGCTCGGAATGATTTTAACGTGGACTTTATGACTCATTCTTTGGTATCCCTTAGGACAACTGTTGTTGCAGTTAACAGTTGTTAAATGGAAAGATTTACACTAACTTGACTCCGCCCATTAAAATTTGCAATATTTAATTATATGATATCTTAATTTTTTCCATTTATAACCCATTGTGTGATTCGGGCGTGTGCCAATTTTATCCGCAAAAATCCACATGTCTAACCTAAAATTCTAAAATTTCGCGCTAAGACTGCCCTAAAATAGTATCTGCTTCTTGCCAAAACGGGTGAATTAACAGCGAAATTTTTCTTATATTAAGAAATCGATACAATTCTCACTTGCTTAATAAAAGTTTTAATTTTTAATTAATAGCAGTGATGGTAGCGATCAATGACGCAACATCAGAATCAAATAACCTTGACTGCCAAAAGATCATCGTGTGAACCCAAATTTGAAAAGCTGCGCAAAAAGAAGGTATTTGGGCACAAAAAACGTTGTTTCAAGTACCATTTACATTGCAAAAAAAAAAACATATTATACACAGTGAAATGAATCTAGAAGCATATTGGCTACACCGTGACCTTCTTCCCTTCTCTCCCCCTACCTGATTGAAAATAGGCCCCGCCCCTTTTTGGGGCAGTGAGAGGGGCCTATATACTACTTCTCGAGGACCGTTGAATATCCCGGCTAACAGGGGAAGTACTCCAAATGCGACGCTCAGATTTTGATGAAACTTGGCACAAGTTTAGAATAATGTTTTCTAAGATATATGCGAGAATCCTAGCTCGCGCTTTGCAGAAACAGCCGAGATTTTTAGATCGAAAGTCGGCGAAAATTTCCGACTGTTTGCCGAATTTCGGCACAAAAAGTTCCGTGCCTATTTCAACTGTAAAGGATAATGTTTCTACAAAAAATCAAATTTTTCCGCACGAAACTGCCTAAGTTATGGCCAAAAAGCGCTTTTTTCTCTGACCGCTCTCCACGTTTAGCGTGCTCTCTCGGCGGCAAAAATCGTTCGATATCTCGGCGGCGCTTGCAAAGCGCGAGCTAAAACTTTCAGGAATTGATATTTAGTCCATTCCCGAAATGTGTGCAAAATTTTAAGAAAATCTGAGCGTCGCACTTGGAGTACTTCCCCTGTAAATCAGCCAAGCGCACGCTAAAACCTTGATTAAATAATTGACAGTTGCCTAAGCTTGCGTCATCAGACCCCAAGAGCAAATGCCTGAAAAAAATGTGTACCAAGTTTTATCAAAATTTATGCAGCGCAATTTTCCTGCCAAAAACTTTTTCAACCACCACTCACATGGCCGTATGGACCACCCATAAATTTCGCAAGACCCTTTCGATCACTGTGACTCCCCGTTTTTCCCTTCCTCCTCCTCACATGACCTTCAACGTCCGTTTTTTCGAATTTTTCGAAACGATTATGTTGAATATCGCAAAAAAAGTTTTTATTTCCGTTAATTAAAAGAGCGTTAAAAGCGTTGAATAATTTATCCTGTTCACACTTATTACACGAAGAGAAGAAGGAGAAAAAAGTTTTATTTTCTCGTGCCCTCCATTCCAACACATCCCTGTCTTTTCGCCCCAATTTTTCGAATGGAATGGAGGTTGGAGAGAGCGCCGAACCTCCGCTTTTTACAGTTGTTCTTTTCCTGTATTTGCATGGTTACTTTCGCCGCGGGGAAGGGCGGTTTTTTGGCAGTGGACATTTTGTTGTTTTTGGAGGCCCGAATAGTAGGGGATTTTGAAATTTTGGAACATATAATAAATGAAAAAGACTATAATTTTTTGAGGCGTCAAACGGCTGACTCGATATTGTGTTTTTTCATTATTCAGCTGCGAAATTCAAAAAAAATCATTTTTAATTTATAAAAATTTTCCAAAATTGAGATAATTTTGCACTGCATCTGCCCAATTTTTATTAGACAGAAAAATATCAAAAAATTGGGGTTTTTGCGATTTTTTGCACAAAACGGGTTTCTCTCGCTGCTCTCCGCATTTTCCGTGCTCTCTCATTGACAAAGCTTGTTGAGTATCTTGGCTCTTCTTGCAAAGCTGGGGCTTAAATTTCCCAGAACCTTTTTTTTAATGTTAAAAATTATTCATACATAATTTGATGAAAATTTGAAAAAAAAATTAAATTTCTTCCAATTTCACCCGAAATTCGAGTTTATTTTTGGATTTTCGAAAGCCAGATTCTCTGAAATCCCCATCACCCAAATTGGTTTAGCGATCTGTGACCTCTTCTTCTCCACTCATTCAAAACAAGTATTTTTTGTTCCAAAGGTTTCACTTCTGTTTAGATTACGTAATCACGCTCTATTTCACTGTTTCCCCTTCGAAACGGGAAAGAAAATTTCGATCAAAGTCCTTTCCTCGATTTAATTTTTGTTCGCTTATTTTATAAATAAACGGGAGTCTTATCTGACCGTCTCCTGTGTTTCTATTGTCCATCATATTGTTCAAAAATAGGGTCAAAAATATCCGATTTTTGTTGTCTGAAAGATTCATGATGGACCAAAAAGAACCTAGAAATTTTTTTGCCAATAACTTGGAAATAGTCGCTTATTATCTATTTTGAGGTATTTTACATGTATATACTCACATCAGCAATGTGTATATATAAGTTACGGATCCTCGCTTTTTGTCGCAATTTTTGGTCTTCTTGTATGTCACAGTACCTCAGCGTAAAGAAAGCTAACGATAGTATTAGCTGAAATTGGAAAAAGTGGATATATTGAAAGCCTTCGCCAAGTCTCCGCCGAGCTTTCGCCAAGTCTCCGCCGAGCCTTCGCCAAGTCTCCGCCGAACATCCAGCGGCTTTGCCAGGCCTCGTAGGCACTTCCTACAACCTTTTTTTGGGTATCTACCTGCCCTACACCCCATATTGATCGATTTTGTATTGGCTCAAACATTCGAAAAGTCGGGACGCGTTTGCGTTCCGCTGATCCATCCTTTTTTTAGGCTAAAAAAGATAGTCTGGAAAAAGATATCTTTTTGAAGAACACGAGGCCACATCCGGCTGAAATCTCAGACGAAGTTCTTTTCGTGGGTTGAGCTTACATTTTGCCCTCGAAATTTCATCCGTTCCATGCTGATAGACTCCATTTCCCTCCCATCCAAACAGTCGATTAAAGTCTTGTTGCATGATTATCACCACACTCTTTTCATTTCTTTCCCTTTAGGCAATAAAAAGCGGAATTTTAATCCCTTCAGTTCACGATAGTCGATTCCATCAATCGCATTTCTGTTTTTATTTTTTTGATGTTTTTGTTATTTTTTACACTGTCATTTTGCACGGTGCTGTAAAATTACAGCTGTGCCGTAAGGCGGCCGAATAAAGGTCGTTTTGAGGTTTCAAAAGTTGTGCAAAGGCGCTGATAAGCGCCGATTTATCAGCCGAAGTTCATTTTCCCAACGCGTCCCACCCAAAAAATGCTAAAATACCGCGCCTTTTGCGGGTTGTCCGCAGTTTACTGGCGATTTATCGGCCTGATCAAACGTGTGTGCTATATGTTGCTAGAGTATTTGGAGACGTAAGTGGAGTAACATTGCCAAAACACAAAATATTTTGGGGATTCTCTGAAGGCGGACTTTGTGCCCTACGGGAACAAAAATAGAAAGGTTTCAAAGATTGGAAATTAGGTGGGTCGGAAAGCGGCGAATTTTTGAAAATTTTGTGGGATGTTATGTAAAGTGTTTCTATAAATATTGCGAAAAGTTTTTGCGAATATATTTGTGCTCTTTGCAGGTATCCATGCAGTTTATATTGAAGTTAAAATTCGGAGTTGGGCGGCTTTAGAATATGCAAGATGGTTTCTCTCGCGTCGGCGAAGAGGCCGTTTTTTGACGAAAACATTTGACCTTTTTTTGCAGAAACACTGCCTCCATCGTTGAAAAAATATAAAGCTGATTTTTTATAAATAGCGAGTGAAGGGTTCCAAAAATTTTGACCAATTCTCAGACAAAAAATCCGACAGGTTTCTCCAGTGAGAAAACCAGCTTTCGGCCACATCTTTGCCAGTTCCGTGCGGAAAAATTCGATTTTTTGGAGAAACGTCCAACTCTATGCTGGAAATAGGCTTTTCATTTTTTCATTGCAAAATTTGCATTTTCATCTTTCATCTTTTCATAGAAAATTTGCAAAAAAGTGTGACATTTTTTCCAACTAACGACAAAACATAAAAATTTTGGTCGTTTCTGTAAGGCGTATCCTAAGAGGGCCGCATAGAACTTTTTTTCTAAATTTGACCTAAATGTCATTGAAATCTGAGCGTCGCACTTCGGGCATTTCCCAGTTAGTGTCATCAAGATCTCTGAGTTGCACTTCGAGCCCTTCTCCCATAGTCTCTGTTCGAGTTATTACCAGATCTTTGGTGTCCGCTCTCCCAACGGGATTCTTTCTGCATTAACTTATGCCCTTCCGCCGTACGTCGCGCTCTAAATTCAATTTTCTCCTCGTATCTTTGCCATTACAACGCCAATTTCCGACGTTTTTTTCTTCGATTGTGGCTTTATCAAATTCAACCAAATGATTACCCGTATTTTACAAACGCCTGGACCAAATAAATCCACTTTCAGAATGGGCCAGAATGGCTCCAGTCTCTTGCAAACCCCCATAATTCACAACTGGATTTTGGGCCGGGAATCGGACGTCACCTACGATGCGGAAAGATCGACAAAGTTTGGTGACATCCGTGGGAAAAACTTTCACTTCGATGGATTTGACGTTGAAGCGTATTTGGGAGTACCGTATGGACGATGTGGGGTGTTCAAAGAGCGTTTTCAAGTACGGGTTTTATTTTGTTTTTGATTTTTATACATTGTGAGGACCTAACAGGAAATTTTACATGTCTCCAAACTGATCTTTTAGCTATTAAAATCGTGTCTATAATCTAAAGAACGACTGAAAATGGTCTAAAATGTGATTTAGAAGCCGAAGCCATACGAGAAATGGGAAGGAGTTCGAGATTGCACCAAATTCGGGCCAAGATCAATACAACAAGACATGGTCTGGGATTACTACTTGACGCCGGTTCCTCAGGACGAAGCGGAATGCCTGAATATGAACATCTTTGTGCCAGCCGACTCTGTGGAGGAGAATAAGGTGAGATTTTCGATTGCTCGTCAAAACTCGGCATATACTCGTCGAGCAAGCTAAAAAAACTGTACTATCTTAACTGTAGGAATTGATATTTCTAAGTCGGCTTTGCAAAGCGAGAGCTAAGATTTTAAATTATTGGATTGTGGTCTGTTAAAACTGTGGTTGCGGAAATTTATAAAAATTGAAGATCTGCTCTTTGAGATATGCTGTGTTTACTCCAAAACGTCAAAAAAGCCATCAAAACCTTTTCAGACCCCCTCCGGCCGTCCGGTCATGGTATTCGTGCACGGCGGCGGCTATTTAATCCATTCCGCCGCCAACTACGGCGACCGCCAAATCTGCCGCAACCTCTGCCGTCGCGGAGTCATCGTTTGCGTCATTCAGTACCGCCTCGGACTTCTTGGCTTCCTGAGTACCGGAAAAGCGGATTGTCCCGGGAATTATGGCCTCTGGGACCAGAAACTGGCGTTCGAATGGATCCGCGAGAATATTGGGGAATTTGGCGGGGACTCGAACAGTATCACGGCGGTCGGACAAAGCGCGGGTGCCGCCTCGATTGATCTTCTGAGCATTTCGCCCAAATGCGAGGGCTTGATCCAACGGGTCATCTTGATGGGAGGCAATGCGGCCTCGGATTGGGCGGTAGTTCCGTGGAAGAAGACGATACAGGCGGCCGAAGCGATCGCCAGAAGAAATGGATGGAAAGGTAAACGGCCGGTCAACTTTTTGGACATTAAAAAAATCTAAATTTGGGCCAAGTTTCGTCACAATCTTGATTTTTTTACTACGTACTTTTCGTAGTTTACCACGATTTTTAGAATTTTCCTAATTTTTTCATGTCTAGGCGATTCCGAAGATACCACTGACCTGGTCAACTTTTTGCGTAATCAGCCAGCCTCCCGCTGCAGAGCGGCGATCTTCGGAAAGTCAGCATTCGACCGGCGGAAAAAGGGGCTGGACTTTTGCCCCGTAATCGACGGGGATTTCCTTCCCGAGCCCATCGACGAGTTGCGGCAGAAGGCGAAAAAAGTGACAGCAATCATTGGCACCACGGACTACGAGGCGCTTTTGTTTGTGGCGTTGGGCAAAGCGCAGGCGGATATGGGTTCCTTGGAGAAACAGCTGAAAGTCAACATCCCCGATTCCTTGCCGGATTTTGTGGAGCTGCGAGACGAAGCCAGAGATATTTATTTACGAGACGTGGACTCGAGGGATAAAGTTCAAGTCGCAAGGGCGTTTATCAGAGTAAGTATTAATCTTGCTTGGAAATTTTGAGTTTTATATTGTAGTAGGCCAGCTGGACCTATAAGATTTCTTTTGCTCATAATTTGGGAAATGATAAATAGAAATTTTGAAATTTTAGTTTTCCAGAACCCCAGCGACTCTGTTTTTTGGCTTCATACCTTTTTTTGCTAAATTGCCCTCCGGCGTTCTCTAAACGTCAGTTCTATGGAGTGCACTCAACAAGCAAGAAATCAGCCGTTTCAAAATAAAAATAACCGTTGGAAAACATTTACTATCAGAAGCTCTTAGAGGATTTCATGACAAAGAACACTTCTAGTCTTTATCGAGCCCAGAAATGTAATTTGTTCAAACTTCTATCCATTAATCCCTAAATTATTAAAGAAAATAACAACTTCAAGCCATTTTTTCAACTTTCTTCGCTTTCAGATGTACAGTGACACCTTGATGAACAACAGCACCATTCGCTACGCCGAACTCATGTCCAAGACGGGTCATACGGTCTTTCTCTATAACTTGACATATCATAATCCCAATTCGTTCGGCGTTTTCGCATTTCGAATGCCGTTCGTCGCGCCCACGCACTGCTATGACATCCGGTATCTGTTCGGGAAAGGGATGTTCTCCAAATTTCGTCCGGACTCCGATGACTTGAAGATGCTGGATATCATGACCAGGATGTGGTCGAATTTCGCGAGAAATGGGTAAGAATAGTGTGCAACAGGAACTGCAAGATTTTCGCTCATAACTCGGGGCAAATGGTTCAGAATTTACAAAAAATAATATTTTTGGGGCCCTTAGGGATCTTGTTTTTTGTCCTATTTTTTTGTAATATCCCCTCAGGGTCTTTTGTTTTTAAAAATTTTTTCAAAATTCCGATTTCTCGACCCGTAATTTTTCACTTACTATAGTAAAATGAGCTATTCATATTCAACCTTTTCCGATTTCTTCTCACAAAATCAACCTTTTCTCTTGCAGTGATCCAAACTACGATCAAGAAAATCGAGTGTGGCATCCGGTGGATCCCGAGAACCCTTTCAAACACCTGGAGCTGGGTCTGCAACCCACTGAACAGGATCATTATCAAGGAAGACGGGCCGAGTTTTGGAGAAAAGTGGAGCTCATCAAGGAGATGATTGAAACCCGACGCAAAGAACTTGCATTACCTCTGGATTAACTGTGCATATGTGTATTATTTATTCTGTTTGTATATCAAGAATACGATGAGAAAATAAAAATACATTTGACGGGATAAGAACTCCGAGAGCGACGCTCCGATCTTGATCGAATTCGGCACAAGTTTAGAATATTTTTTTTCTTGGGCATATGCGCAATTCCCAGGTCGAAAGTTGGAAGAAAAGTCAAATATTTTTGCGTTTTTAGGCATGAACAGTTTCGTATCTTTTTCTACCGTAGAAAATGATACGATGTTTCCACAAAAAGTGTTTTTTCCATACAAAACTGGCCAAGATATGGCCAAAAAGTGTTTTCTCTTTAATAGGGCAATTCTTTGACCGCCACCTGCGTTTTGCCTACTCTCTCAACGGTTAATGGCACTTCAGTATCTCAGCAATGCCTGCAAAGTGAAAGCTAAAACTCTCAGGAGTTGATAAGTAAGTCTATGCCCAAAGCATGTCCAAAATTCAAAGAAAATCTGAGCGTCGCCCTTGGGTTTACTTCCCTTCTGAAATGAAGCTCTTCGAACACCTTGTTTGACATGAAAATTACAAAAGAGTGTCAAAAAAGGGAAAAAAGATTCTTTTTGTTGAATTTTGACTTTGATGTCACCGCCAGAGCAAGCCACTTTCCAAATTCAAAGAAAATTTTCGAATTTGTTGACGATGGATTGTAACCAACTACTTCTACAGGCCAAAACCTTTCTAAACCGCTCTCAAACCTCGCTACATCATGACAAGAATTTCTCGAAAACTGAAAGGATCATCAAGAATCTGTGTGGTCGTCTCGAAAATATGATTGGGAAAAGTGACAGTAAGTATGGATCTTTGTTGCTATTCCGGTGGTATCAAACCCAGGAGACCCAGAATTCGCTTTTTTCGTTTTAGAACCACCTATACGCAATGAATTCAAAGCTCTAGGTATAGCCATTATGCAGGCCAAGGCGTAGCTGACCAAAAATTCTGAAAGTGGAGAGAGGGTGGGCTGTAGCGACGCCCTTATAGAGGCTTCTAATTAACTAAATGATCTGTACAGCAACACTCTATACAACAAACCCTGTCTACAACGAACAATCTAAGAACTTTCAAGGCCTAATTCTGGGCGTAGCTCCCTAAAAGAGACCCTCGCTATAGCAAATATTGTAAATGTTTTGGTTCTTTACGACCCGCTGTACAAAGCTTTGACCACAGTAATAACCTGAATATTTTCGGTTGTTATATAAGCAATTTTGTACAAAAGATTTCACTCGTCTCGTTCTTTAAGCCGATCCCTTTCATCTAGCCGTCGACGACTTGTTTTGCCACGACAGGAAGACTGCGACAAATGAACGCAAAATGTCATCTGCAACCGAGAGAAGTGTGCATTTTGGTTCGATGATCTTGTCAGTCGGCAATAATGACACAAAACCTCAACATTTGCAGTACAAGTGGAGAGAAACTGTCGTTTTCGTAAGTCCAAGCAACGAGTTTTTGGCGATTCAGGCCCTGTATTTCTAACACGACATATTTAGTTTCTTCTAAAAGCAATTCCACACCTCCTTCTCTTCATAGCATGCTTACTCTACATCATCGCGTCCTATTATCTGCTTTGCTCGATCGACAACACATTTTCCATGCTATCTCCGTTTGAAGTGTATCCGCTACTGGTCAACAGCTATCTTCGACCGGGAATCCTGACAGCAAGACCGAGAGAGCAGAGCGCACGCGCTGCATTCAGCGTGATGATAGTTTTTGGGATCGCATTTTTGTCAGCGTTGACGGGAAACATTGGCAGAGTGACGACGGAAGCTTACTGTTTTCTAAAGCCGAAAGTCGTGAAATTAGTTTATGACACGGTAAGGTACAATGTTGTGAACAAAGACAAGTATTCGCTTGTTTTTGTCGTAGCGCTATAGAGGCGCTACGACTTTTCGGGTCAGCGACAGTTTGGGTCAACGATATGTCGGTCCGTAGTTATATGCATGGGGAGGCTAGAGGAAGGCTTAGTTAGCATAAATAATAAGATTTCCTAGGGCTCCTCATCACCTATTTTAAGACATTTATCACATCACTAAGATAAAAGTTATGGATCTTCGTTTTTTGCCACAAATTTTGGTCTTTTATATGTTACAATTATTCAGGATACACAAACTAACGTTAATAATAGCTAAAATTAGAGAAAGCGGTGATCCTGTGAGCCTCCACCGAGTCTCCGCCGAGCATTCAGCGGCTTTCAAAGGCCTCTTAGGCACCTCATACCACCTTTTCTGGCTTTCCTCATATCCTAGGCCTCGTATCGATCGATTTTGTGACCCGAATTGTCGTCGACCCAAAAAGTCCGGACGCTTTTTTCAGGTCATCCCTTGTCCACAACGAATTGACTTTGTTGTTCTATTGTATGCTCTGACGTTGTTTAATATTCTGGCAATCATAATCTACAATTTCATATATCATTCGTTGGATGTAGTCGACGTATTTTACTTTTTGTAAGCGCTAACTACAAGAGTATATCATTGCTCTTCTTTCAGCATGCTGAACACAATGAGCGGTGGATTTGGTGATGTGAATCCGCAGTTGAGATCCATGAGCGACTTGATTGTTTACTCGGTTTTAGTCTTGCTTGCACTGACTACTATGAACGCTATTAGTATTACAGTATCTTTGATTTTTCAAAGAATAGTTCAAAAAAAGTCATCGTTTTTGATAGCTAAAATTATGAGTTTATACAGTAATAAAGTTGTGTAAATAATTACAATTCGGTACTCGGAATCCATTTTTTATTTCGTGTTTCTGCATTTTTGTGCAGATAAGTTTGTTTTTTCAGCATAAAAATTTATTAAAATTAAGTCGAGACGCTAAAATTTGCCATAAAAAATCGAAAAATCTGTGGAATTCCAAAAATCCTCTTCATTTTTTGTAGCCTACGTTCCTCCAAGCGCCCGCGAATCGGACGGAATTTTATGATTCAAGACAGAATCAATGTCCTTTCACAAAAATACCGGCCGGCTTCCTCCCCTTTTCCGACGTTTTAATCCGTTTTTCGGATAGCGTCGTTCCATGTTGAGGGTTCCTTTGGGGGAAAAGATTTTTTGGGAAGAAAACATTGCAAATATAATACTATCAGAAAGTGTTTTCTTTGCATAGCAAATTCGAGAAATTTGAAAATTTTGATTTTTCCGCCAGTGGTTTTATCTGGTAACACCTTTTTTGAAAGTAAAATATCTCAAGATACGATGTCCGGATTTTCTTCAAATTTGGCATAAAAATTGCGACTATAACACACATCAAACTCCGAGGATGTCAACTTTTGCCTTGCATTGCCAGCTGAAATATTCAATAACCTTTGTGGATGAAAGATTATGGAAAATGGAGAGAGACGGTCAGAGAAAAGACATAATATTTGTCATTTTTGACCGGATTCCTTGATGAATTCAGCATTTTGCAACATAGAAATCTCGTTTTTTCTCCTCCAAAAAAGCCTTCGGCTCTCAAATACCACTAAAATCCCTGCTGGCAAACAGTTGCGTTCTACAAAATGCAACGGTTCCCGCGCGGAATCTCCCTTTATTGGATTCGGCGTTTTCCTTTCATTGATTGTTTTTTCGGGTCACTTGTCACATTAATTTCTACTCGAAATCAGCGAAAATCTTTCGAAATTAGAGTCGAGATTAGTTGAATTTTGTTTTACTGATAGTGAAGGGGTTTTCTAAGAAACGAAAATTTTCGAACATATAAAATTTTTTGAAACATCTCCTTAGGCTATTTTATCAAATTTTGCAAATGTAGTCTGTGTGGGGAATAAATTTTGATCAATTTAAAAACTATGAAAATTTTAGCCATTCTTTTGCAATGGAGACTGATTTATTCAGCAAAATTTTTTCCGAGAGAGTATGCAAAATGAGAAGAGTCGGACGGACGGAAAAGGGTTTTTAGATCCGAAATGGCGCAAAAATTGAATTTATCTGAATCCCATGTTTCCGCGCAAAATCAAAAAAAAAGCTTAAAGACCTTGCTTACTGCCCGCCTCTCCTCATTTTCCACCGTCTCAAGTCTGATAAGATCATGGAATAATTCGGCTATTGCTGAACATTATGAGCAAGTCACTTGTAGCAATTGACAAATGCCCTGTAAAGAGTGTAAAATCAAAATTTGAAGAAGATGTGACTGTTGGTTTTCGGGAATTTCGTTTTTGACACAATTTGAATGATGGCAAGAAAAATAACTTTCCACAAGTGGGACGCTTATATTTGCAACATTTTGCACACACTTTGGGGAACATTGTAAGGCAGCAATTACGGAAAATTTAACTCGCGATTTGCAAGCGCCGCTGGGATACTCAACCATCTTTGCGGGCGAGAGGGCACGCGAAACGCGGAGAGCGGTCAGAGGCAAAACCATTTCTGGCTATATCTTTCCTAGTTTCGGACGGAAAAAATTGCTTTTTTGTGGGAATATTACATTCTGTGGTAAAAATAGGCATGAAATGTTTCGTGCCGAAATTCGGCAAAAAAGTGTCAATTTTTGCCGACTTTCAATCTTAAAATCTCGGGTGCTTCGGTAAAGCGCAAGCTAGGAGTCTCACATATATTTCAAAAAAAATTGTTCTAAATTTGAGCCAAGGTTTATCAGAATCTGTTCGTCGCATATAGAGCACTTCCTCTCTCATTTTTTAAATTTTTTTCCGTGAAAAGTTTTCCTGCTCGAATGGCCTTTGCGCTCGCGTTATTCGCCGCTAATACCGTGTAATTTTCATATTACTTTCGCGTTCATGCTTCCCGTCTGCGTAAACATGGAATGGGATTGCTTCACGCGCCTCTTCTCCTATTCTTTGTGTTTCTTTTGTCGCTGAAAACGCCTGTTATTCGAGGTGTCCAAGGGACTGTAAAAAATATTGATTTTAAACTCTTGTTTGTCCCAAAACCTTAATGTTTGAAATACGTCGATAAACCCTGCTTAATGTCCGAATTTGGCCAAAATTTTTGTGAAAATCTATTTTTTTGTCATTGATTGCAAAATTCCGTCCTATTCATGGGTTGTCAGACAATCGTAGGCCACAAAAATTACGGGTGATTTACTTGGCAATGACTTCGGAAGTAATGAATCCTAGTATGGAAGGCCATCTTTGAATTTTTTTATGAAACTGCGCAAAATTTTCATTTTTTAAATTTTTTATATAACTTTTTGCCTAAGGGTATCCTAGTAAAAAACGGTTACATAGGAAAAGATAGATGCCTATGGATTATAAAAATACGACTTTTGTAAATTTTGAGTAATTATTTCCCCAGTTATGAGCAAAAGAAATCATCTATGTCCAGTTGCCAACCACCGAAGGGTAAGTTGACAAAAGAAGGTGACCAGTCCAAAAATAGGGACTCTCATGATCCAAATAACATAATTTCTCTAAATTTTGATTACTTGCTTTCCCAGTTATGAGCAAAAGAACTTCTCCATGTCCTGCTGACCCCTTCGGCAATGCAAATTGAGTGTTTCGAACGGTTTCAAGTCGAGTTTTGACCGCATTCCACTAATCTAGACGACCCTCACAACCCCATAACAACGTCGCAATCTTTGGGTTAGCCCCCGTTCCCCTTGCTCTTTGCCTTTTTTTCTCTCGCGGTTGGGTTCGAAACCGCCGAGAGCGGCGGCTTAAACTCTCGGGCGACGAGAGAGGAGAGGAGCGTAGGGAGCGCAACACGGAGTGGACATCGCTCTTTTATAGCGGCGAGTTAGCAATGTTAATGTTTCGCATCAAAAAATTTCATAAAAAATGGGGTTGGAAGGCTGCACGGGGGATTTGTCGAGACGATCGGGTTTCCGAAGACGAAACTCCGCCGATGGAGAAAAAACCGCTGATGACAGGACGGATTCGTCTCGTTTGGTGGGGATTTTAGAGATTATTTGGGTTGATTTTTTGATAAATTTGAGTGTTGAGGAATTGTTGAGGCAACTCAGGAAAGCGTTAGAAAGACTTGGATGACTTATTTTGCAAATAACTTGGGTAATAGTGGATAAAAGTTTTCAACAATTGTATGTGTGGAATTTTCAGGGGCCACGCTTTTGGCGATTCACTTTTTTTTGTCTGGAATGCCCCCTGGCAGTCTCTGAGGGCTACCTTGACTGTAATTCTTCTAGTGGAAGATTCTATGGCAATAATTAAGAAGTAATGATTCTTTTTAAAGAGTTTTAAAAAACCTTAGAACTTTGACGGGATACAACGTTGCTCTAGATAGAATTGAGATCTCTGGAGACATAAGATTGTAATTTTTATAGCTTTTGATTCCTTATTTCCCACGTTATCTGCAAAAAAGTCTTCCAAGTTCAGTTGATCGCCATGTATTTTATTTTCGTATTCTCTGATAATATTGCGTGAGGTCTTATTGTTTATTGCCAGCACTACTCCTACAGGTCATTCTACGTTCAGCATTTCATTCCTTGCTTTTTGAGGGCAGTAAAAATAGGACGGAATCTTCTTGGAATGATTTAAAAAGTCCTTATCAGTTGTCGGTTTTTCATGGCGTCTTTCTTTTTTGGCTTTACTTTTCCGTCTCATCCCAACTGAAAAGTTTTTTTGTTTGATAATGTTGTTGAACTGTTTTGAATTGTTTTACAACTTGAGTCAGCCATATTAAGGAGATTTCGAACGAACGATTGAAATGTCTTGGAGCAGAACTTACGGCGATTATATGTATTTGTAGAGCCGCAAAGCCACCTATTTCTTTGCAATCTAACCATTTGATGCCAAAATGCCTCGGGCGATCTGTAAGCGTTCTAAAAGTCGGTCGCTTCTGCTGAGAATTTGACGAAAATCGATGAAAACGCATCTTTCTTTGATAAAATAACAAGGTATTTCGATGAAAAATAAAAAATGGAGCCCTGTAGATTCCGAAAAAAGCATTTTTTTGCGAATCTTGATCGATTATTTCTATGTTTCAGCCCTTTCTTGTAAGCTAAATTTGAATCAAAGCAGATGTTGGGAGATTGCCAGAGTGGGGCTGCTTGTAAAAAGTGATATGCAAAAAATAGGATCCCTCGGGGTCCCAATAATATGAAAGTAATGGCGCTACGACTTTTCGGTAAACGATGCTCTGAATCGCGTCGGTTCATCGTTGTATACATGGCAGAGGATAGGAGAAGGCTTAGTTGGTAAAAATAACAATATTGGTCTAGTTCTAAGGTAGCTTATCACCAATTTTGAGGTATTTTACATGTACTCACATCAATAATATCTAGGGAAAAGTTATGGATCTTCGTTCTTTGCCGTAAGTTTTGGTCTTTCATATGGTACGATAACTCAGGGTAAAGCTAGCGTTAGTAAGAGCTAAAGTTAGAAAAAGTGGGCATATTCCTTATAGTCTATAGTCCTTATCCTTATAGCAAGGCCATAAAAATCATTGTTTTTATCCCATTGCTGCGGTAAAAAAAAGATTATTACTATATATAAAAAAGCAAAGTAATGGTAAAAAAATTCAGTAATCCCTTTTCAGCCGGTATAAAATCAAAACTACACTCTTGAAAATAATATACAAACCCAATTTCAGACTATTCTCTTGCAGTCCTCCATTATTTTTGACCCTAATCTCTATAGTAATAATTTATTAATCTTGCTGTTACATGTATTTCTTTTTTGCCTCTCCTCTTCTTGACGTTGGTATTTTCGGAATCGGAAATTCGGATGACACAAACGCTGACGAAACTTTTCAGGCCCGGAAATCGAAAAAAATACAAAATTAGACGTCTTGAGATTGTATTAGTTTTTCCTTTTTTGGTCGGCTATTAGCCGGACTTTCTCGACTTTCTCGATTTTTTCATATTATTTTGCGGGGATATCAAACATATGGCGTACGGCAAAATTTACTTTTTATTGGTAAAACAGATCGTTCTAGGACGCGCGATTCTTTACTGGAGTATTTCCATGGGCACTGCACGGAATTGCTTCGAATTTCGTACGTATTATTTATATCGGCCGCATTCCAATCCCTGAAAATTTTAGCTCCAAATTTCGAAAATTTTCACCAACCTTGAAACCAAAAATCTATCTAATCGCTTCAAAAGAGCATGCTAGAGATCTCTAAAATTTTTCAAAATATATGTATGTTATTTTCCTTCCTTTCCACGAAAAAAAGGCGCCACTTTTTGGATCAGCGACAGTTCAGGTCAATGGTACTATGGATCGCGTCGGTTCGTCGTTGTAAGCATGGGGAGACTAGCAGAAGGCTAGTTCGTACAAATAATAAGATTGCTCGAGTCCTAGAATAGCTTTTAACCTATTTTGAGGTATTTTACAAGTGCTCACATCATTATGTAATATCTAGATAAAAGTTACGGATCTTCGTTTTTGCCGCAAATCTTGATCTTTTATAGGTTGTAATAACTCAGAGTAAAAAAAAAACTAGCGTTATTAATAGCTAAAATTAGAAAAAGTGGACATGTTGCAAGTCTTTGCCAAGTCTCCGCCGAGCCTTCGCTAAGCGTCCGCCGGCCATCCAACGGCTTTACAGGACTCGTTGGTACTTCCTACAGCCTTTTTTTGGGTATCCGCCTGCCGTACGCCCTGTATTGATCGATTTGATGTTGACCCGAACTGTCGTCGACCCGAAAGGTCAAAACGCGGAAAAAATCGTTTTTTTTAAATTTTTTCTTTGTTTGGTCGCTTACTACGCAATTTTACTGCCGATATTACTCAATACCAAAGAAAGTAATCGGTTTTTTGCAGAAATGAGCGAGACCAGCTCATTGGCGGAGAACGACCCGCGCCTATTGCACGATGCGGGCTGGAAGAAGATCCAAGAGAACACATTCACGCGCTGGGTGAATCAGAACCTGGCCCTCGAGGGAGAGCATGTAAACGACTTGTCCGCCGATTTGTCGGATGGAATCCGCCTAATCAAGTTGGTTCAGGTTCTGGCCCAACGAATTGTGGCGCAACGCTACAACAAGAAGCCTGTGTTGCGTCAGCAAAAGCTGGACAATGTTCAGCAGGCGCTGAATTTCATCCAAAATGACGAGGGAATCAAGTTGGTTACTATTGGTGAGAAATTTTGATTCCGAAAAAGTTTATTTTTATTTCAAAATCGCCGAAAAATTTTGTTTTTTATTTTTTTACTTTGTCGACTTAAAAATCTTGACCGTTTCTGCAAAACGCGAGAGAAACTTTTTTTGAATATACCATAGAAAATGGTCATTAAAGCCGTCCCGAGCTTCAAAGTCCAAGCCAAAAATACTTCAAACTTTTCCAGACGGAACCCACATTGTTGACGGCAACCTGAAGCTGATTCTCGGCCTCATTTGGACCCTAATTTATCACTATTCCATTGGCCAACACATTGAAGTCGATAAGAAGAAAGGACAGACTCCAAAACAGCGACTAATGGCGTGGATAAAGTCGAAACTCTCTTCGGACGTGCCTATCACAAATTTCACCAGCGATTGGAACGACGGCCTGGCGCTGGGCGCTCTTGTTGATGCACTTGCGCCCGGGGCTTGCAGTGATTGGAGGTCGTGGAGGCCGGACGAGGCGCTGGAGAACACGCTAAAAGCGATGCAAGCCGCTGAAGAGAATTTGGGAATTGGGAGAGTGAGTTTTGAGTTTTTTTGGGAAAATAACTGTTTCTCAAAGTAAAAACATTTGATTTTTTTTTAAATTTAGCATCTTTAAAAAAAGATTTTTTGTAAAACACCGTTCACCTCATTTTTTGCTCAACCCAAAATTTGAGTCCAAAAATTCGAAATAATTTGAAATTTTTTGATCTTTCGACCAAAAAATCTCGGTCGATTTCGTAAATTGAAATCAAAAAATTTCGTACACACATGCATAAGACTTTTAAAATTCGATTTGTTTATGAACCAGTTACACTTGAGATAATTTCCTCAATAAAATCAATACTTTTCAGCTTATCGCTCCAGAAGAGTTGATCAACCCCAATGTTGACGAAAAGTCCGTTATGACATTTTTATCGCAATTCCCTCGAGCTCAAAGCAAAGCCCCACCAAAAGGTCGGGTCAGTGGAGTGGATGGAGAGCCCGTCGTTGGGAGAGAAACCCATTTCACAGTGGAGGTTGAGAAAGAAGGGACCGAGCCGCTCGTCGAGATCTTTGATCCGGAAGGAGGTGAAGTTGAAGCCAATGTGAGGCCGGTTGAAGGCACCAAGACCGCGTTTCATGTGTCCTATGAGCCAAAGGTCGTGGGGAAACATGAGGTAAGTGGGGGATTTTGCAAAGTCGAGCAGCACACGTCAAACTATAGCGAAGAGTCTAAAGTACCTATTTAAACTTGAATACTCTCTTCTTCATCGCCGCCTCAGGCGTTCCTCTAAAGGCAATTTTTCTACCCAAATCGAGTTATTGGCGTAATTTATTGCGTATAACTTAGAAAATGGCAAATGAAATCCACAGGGAACTACCTACACATCTCTTATTTATAAGTTTGTATTTTACCTAGGATTTACCGTACAGAGGCCATTCGAGTTATCCTCCCATATATCCGGAAAGAACAGGTTTTACGTGAGGGATTAGGCGTCAACCAACCGCAAGATTATAATCATTTCGAGTAAATAAATGGGGAAAACAACGGGATTTCACGCAAATCTCGAATTAGAAAGAAGATTTCTCTCTATGCAAGCATTTTTTTGAGATGGAGTTTAATAACCGAAGAGTGAAATGTGTAACGATCAGTGATACGGTAAGAATCCACAGTGATCTCTCTATAGCAAACTTTGGAGGCCCAGTTTATATTATGCGTAGTGGGGATAAGTTCAGTTTATGTTTTGCTATTTTCTCCATTTTCAGCTCACTGTATTCGGCGCTTCCGGCCCCACCAAAGCCAAGTTGGGCAACTTCTCGGTGCGTGTGATCCCAGCTCCATATTTGGTGGACTTCAAGCCAGAAATTGAAATCGGCGAGTCGCAGAAGTTCAGAGTTGCCAACCTCACCGAAAAGAACAAGGCCGAGGTCCTGGTCCTTGATCCTCGCGGGAAACAAGTCCAACTTGATGCGGGCCAGCGTGTTGGGGCCTCTGTCGCGTTCACTCATCGTCCCGAGGTCGTGGGGCTGCATTCTGTCAACGTTTTCGTCGACAAACGCCACATCCCCGGCAGTCCGTTCGCTTTGCATGCGACTCCAGGTGCGGCGGCGTCGGCACTCCTCTGGGGCCGCGGGCTTTGCCGGAAGGGGCCTAGAGTCGGCGATCATCTGCCCGTTCACATAGACGGCTGCGATAAACCCGTCAGGGTCGAGGTCCGCAACAAGGACGGGCTGATGGTGCATTGCGAACAAGTTGCGGATTCAGAAGCGAGAAAGACGTTCGAATACGCGCCTCTGGGCACGGGACCGCATTCAGTTCAAGTCACTTGCAACGGACAACATTTGGGGCTAAGTCCCTACGAAATCGATGTGTTGCCTAAGGCTACATCGGCGGTGAGAGCCGTGGGACCCGGCCTGGAAGGCGGAGCGTCGCATGAGCCGGCGGTATTTTATGTGGACACAAAAGGCGACGCTAATGTGTTGGGTAAGTGATGGAAATCCTCAACCCCTTAGGTAGCTGAAGCAAAGAGTTTGTAGGTCAAAACTCTTCCAAATTTTTCGATTTTTCCACTTACGTGTTTTCAGAATTTTCCACCGAAGGTCCTTCTCAAGCCGACATCAAATCGATCGACAACGGCGACAACACCGCTTTGGTCTCATTTACTCCCGTCAAATCCGGCGTCTACAAAGTGAATGTGATGAAGAACGGAGAGCATATCAAAGACTCTCCGTTTGTGGTCATGATCGAACCAGAATTGGAGAAGAAATCGGTCTCGAAACCGAAATTATTACCTTTCAAGGAGGAGGAAATCAAAATTGGAGAGAAATTTGAGTTTAGTGTGGAGTGTAAGTTGAAGGGTTTTCTTGTGGCCACATGTGGGAATATGTTGTGGCTGAGATTTTTTTGGGGCCTTTGAAATTCAAAAAAAAGGAAAACATTATTTTTTCCAAATAAAATTAATTGCGAAGAAGTAAGAAAAAATCAGCGAAAAACAAAAAAAAACAACATTTTTTGTCTCATTTTTTAGCCGACAAAATTCCGGACATCAAAGTTTACGACAACCAATTCAACAAAGTTCTCGTGAAGCCAGTCGATTCCGATTCCTCGAAACGTCATCACACCTTCCAGTTCACGCCCCGATCCCTGGGAAAGTTTGTGATTTGCCCAAGCGTCGACGGAATTGCAATTGACGAAACTCCGGTTGGAATTGAAGTCGTGCAGCCCACGGATTTCACAAAATTGCATGTTTACGGGCCTGGAGTGGGCTCACAGGTCGTGACCAACAAACCCGTCACCTTCAGCGTCGACACTCGCGATGTGATCTGCAAGAAGCTGGAGGTGGAAGTGACTGATCCGGCTGGTGTTCCGATTGATATCGAGCTGGTTCAGGACGATCCAGCCAAACCGATTCAAGTGACCTATGTCCCAAAGTCAACTGGCCCTCACTACGCCAAAATTTACGTTGATGGAGTGTTGGCATTCGATGTTAATGTGGATGTTACGGAGAGTGCGGGGAGAAAATGTAAGAAATTTTAATGTTAAAAAGAAAGATTGGTTGGCCATCCAGAGCTGAGAGGTTTCTTGAGTCCACAACTTGGAAAACAATGGATTAAACTTTACAGAAATTATATTTCTGCAATCCACAGAGAATCGACTTTTTATAGGCAAATTCATATAGCTGAAACTCTGTTTGACAATCTGCAAAACATTATTTTGTGGATTTCGGTCAAGAAAAAACGTAATTTTTAGATTAAAAGGAAAGTCAAAGGAAAAACTTGGATTTCCAAAAGCCCTGAGGGGATATCGTCATAAAACCCTATAGAACGAGAAGCAATGCTCAGTAGATCTTAAGAATTAACTAGCCATGCGCGCTGATCCTTTAGTTTCCATGATTTTAGCAATAGAGGTGTTTTAGTTCTGGAGGGCCCACCCTGTAAATAACTGGTGTTTACAGACCGCCGAAGGGTGATTGGACAAGCAAGTGTATCCTGTTTTATAACAGGGTTCCATGTTGCCTCAATAATAATTTTTTTTCATTTTTTATCCATGATTTACCGGGTTATAAGCAAAAAAGTTTTATGGCTGACTGACTGTCCCATAGCCCTTTTAATCCCGAAAAAACGCTCAATTTTCAGTTTCAACCTCTTCCTCCTCCACAACAACCGCCACAACGACTTCGGCGTCGGCTTCGGAACGCGGCATTCCCCGTCGTCAACTCAGCATTCCCAACCAGCAGCAGGATGCGAGCCTGCACTTGATGCTGAAAGACGTGGAACCTCGCCATCTGACGGCTCGAATTCAATGCCCCGATGGTCGCGTCGACAATGTCCCACTGATTCACAGCGGGAACAACCATTTTACCATCAACTTCACACCCAAAGTGGACGGGGTGCACGTGATCGACGTGTTCCATCGAGGCCAACGAGTTCAAGGTGCTTACAGCTAGGCTTTCTCGCTTCCTTAAGTTGCTAAATAACCGGGTACGGTGGAAGGTGTGGCAGTGCGGGGAGATACTAAAAACGCTTTCGAATTTACAGCCAAACCTTTGTATGTCGGGGGGTTGCAAGACGAATTTTGTCTGTGTCAAGTTTCTGGGAGTGGATAGGAGATTTAGGACTAGTTTTGTTAATAACTTAGGAAGAAGAGGATCAAAATGAGTAGAAATTGATTTGTCGCGACCCTCAAGGCTTCTACTTTTTTGGCTATGCGCTGTTTTGTCATTGTCTCCGTTCCGGGTATCTCCAAAAGGCGATTTTCAAAATTCACCAAGATTTCATTCTTTATCAAAAAAAAAGAACGACTTAATCCAGGAAAAAGTGTGTTTATGGTCGAATGCAGGGCTCCCGGAGAATGCCAGTTGCATCCGAAAAAAGTCATGTATCTGTGGATTCTAAAACTATTATTCTTGTAAATTTTTACCGAGTATTTTTCTCAAATATTTTGCGTCTGACCGACTCTCCTGAATTTACATACCCTCCCAAGGCTTCTTAATATCTTGGCTGCGGGTGCGAGACATGACCTAAAATTTTGTGGGATTTATATATGGCCTGTGTCAAAACGCAAAGTTTAAGGAAAAACGGAAGATCAGCTTTAGGATGATTACACTGAAAAATTGGGTACTTTAGAAAAAGCAAAGACATTTTTGATTAACATACAGAGGTTTGGCTGTACTTTTTAGTCGTACTTTTAACTATCAAAACTTCTATTTTTATTTGAAGCTTAAACTCACAATATTTTCTTTGTCTTGGAAGCTTGAAGTGACTATAAACTCGATCTCTTCAACTCATTTCTAACTAAAATTTCTTTCAGGTTCGCCCTTCCGGATGCCCGTGACTCTCTCTGGCGAGACCAAAGCCCATTTGGTTCGAGCCGAAGGTACCGGACTTCAGCATGGAGTTGTCGGAGAGCGCCAATCGTTCGCCGTTCTTGTCGGCGAAGCCGGCGGAGGCGAGCTGAAAGCCTCAATCAACGGCCCATCCAAGGCCGACATTACGCTGACTGACTATAAGGATGGAGTTTGTCGAGCGGAGTATACGACCGATGAACCCGGACTGTATACGATCAGTCTGAGCTTGGATGAGCAGCCAATCCATGGATCTCCGTTTAAGGTATGAATTTTGATGACGTCCTGGGTTATTTGGTCCCGAAAATTCCTGTCGCGAAGGCTTTTGCGTCAAAAGGAAAGCCGGAAAAGTTTGGAGAAATCCCAGGTCTCGTACGCGGCCTACTTGGCCTGACATCTACAGTTTGCTAATCTCAGACATTCAGGTCTTTATTTCGCCCAAGAGTCAGACCAGCTCACCCCCGACAAAACGTCCGTTCTCCGCTGAATCATCGGCGAGTCAGGTGTCGTATGACGGCGGAAATTCGGAGCAAAAATCAACGTCCGAGAACCAACGGCATTTGGGATTTGAGTCATCGAAGGATGAGGTCAAGGCAGTCACTCCGTTGCAAGTAAGAGGCTAATTATATACACTGTTCGTTGATAAGGACCAAAGAAAAAATCTCTTTTTTTTAGGAGCTCAACCGAGACGAATACGATATCCAAACTAGATACTACAGCAACACGGACAACGCTTCCAGTCAGCGCCACGAATTCGCCGACAAATATAGCTCCGAAAGGCAGAGTAAGGAGAAGAATGACCGCCATCTGCCCGCCGAGTCCAACGACCAAAAACATCGGTCCTACTTGACGACGAGCGCTGAGGATGCCCGAAAGGTGACTGCCGAAGGAAGTGGTTTGTACGAATTTGTCGCCGGAGAATCCGCCAGTTTCACGATTAACACGAGCAAAGCCGGCAAGAGCTATCTATTCGTTGGGGTGGTCACGTCGAGAGGGCCCTCCGACGAAGTTTCCATCGTCCACAAAGGAAATGGCGAGTACAATGTCAGCTACAAGATCCCGGAGAGAACCCGCGCTGTGGTGATTATAAAATACGGCGATCGCGAGATCATGGGCTCGCCTTTTACGGTACGGCCGCGGTGAACAATTTTATGATTTTTATATCATTTTTTTTCGTGTTACCTAAAATAATGTCATCAAATGGTAGATTTCTACGCAATATTAATGTTGTTTTTATTGGAAATGTCTTTTCACTGCCTCAAGACACATATTTTTCAATTTTACTCTACTTTCTCGAATTTTTTTGCCAAATTTTTCAATTTCTTTTGCTTCTCATACATTTATCCGCCATTTCTTCCAACTTTTAAAGTACGGTGCTCCTTTGTAACAAGTATTTTTTTACTGTATTTTCTTCTCCGAAATGCCTCGCCATTCTCTGCGCACGAAAAGCCATATATCATCGCAAAAAATAAACATATTTTTATTTGAATACCCTGAGCAATTATTTCGTATGTCATAGGAAATTCGCTGACAAAAAATTCCCAATAGATTTTTTGATGACATCATATCTGTCATCTAAATTTCAGTGAACAATTTGTTGTGTCATCGAATTTCTAGCGACAAAAACAAAAATTTAAATTTTCAAAACAACCGGAAATGATTGACTGGGTCGGCAGTGTAGTTGTTTTCCCGAACGACAAGCGGGACGGGCTGTCGTTCGTCCCAGAAAGTGGGGGCTTGCATCAGAATCACACCCGTGCCCACGAAACAAACGATCGAGAAGATGATCAAGAAAAGACGGTCCAGCACCATCGCCACGTACTTCCAGTCTTCATCGACCTGAAATTGAAGCCTGAGAGAGAAAAAGTGTTCTCAGCGGCCGAAGCTGGGGACAACGGCCGAAACTTTTGTTTATTTTTTAATTTTTCAGTCTCTTCGCTATCGGTTTTTTACACATCGTCTTGATTTTTACAGATAAGTCAGAGAAAAGACGCGCAATACTCTCGCCCAAAAAATTCCCCATTTATTCTTCGACAAAAAGCCTTTTTTCATTTTTTAAGATCCTATCATTTCAAAAAAAAAAACACTTGCACAATAAAATACAGTGTTTTACACAACCTACTTTGTCATCCCGATCCTTTTTCTTCAACAGTTCAGCGATGAAACAGACGTTTTCAAACGACTTCAAGACTGGCGGAGAGTTGTAAATGTCTTGGATTTCCCGATTCGCGGAGCTGTGCTTGGCCGTGGTTCTTATCGTGAGGTCACGGGAGACCCGATGTTCATGGTAATTTATCACTATTTTCTCGCCTTGAAGTGAGCTCATTTTTTTTACGAAACTATTACCTTTCGTGTTGTATTTCTTTGAATCCCCATGCCTCAGCGACTCATTATTCTCGCTGAGCGGGCGTCGCATGAATAGAACCTTGGGCAACCAACGAAGAAATATTTTCTTGGTGGTTTCGCCCATTATATGTGTGGTGGGTTTGCGGAAATGCAGTTGTAGCGCTGAAAAATTGACATAAAGCCTTTGGAGAAGAGGAGATCTCTGCAAAAAAGATAAATTCTTTCAATATGCAGTGGAAAAAAAGACTTGGCAAGACACTAATATACATATACTCTTCTTTAACCACTATAATCTCTCGTCTGCAAAAATTGCTGAATATCTGGGTTGCTTCAGCAGGCCGCCAGCTAAAATTTAAGGGCTCGCAAGATTTAAAGAGCCTCTAGTTTGTTGGCTGTAATCTTTCTTTTATTCAACGATCATTGCAGCGAGAGAGTTCGTAAGTTCAAACTTACAGACCACCGTGACAAAGACGCTCATTGTCACCATTATCATAGTGAATAATAAATACTTTCCGACGAATGGCAAGGTAATACTGTTGGCAGGGATGATTTCGATCTGAAAATAAATATTCTAGGAACAGACGAGGGTTTGAGGTTGTAAATTACATATCGTATCACGTGGTGACCTCATCGATGAAAGGTCTAAAAGTTTGGTATCAGCTCCAAGAGCGTGGATAGATCCTTTTTATGGCTTACCAAGAGCAAGAAGAACATGGTGAGAGCGACCAAAATATTGATACACAACGAGACTTTTTCCCCGGATTCCGCTGGCAAGTAGAACACCAAAATGGTCAGGAAAGAGATTCCAACGCATGGGAATACCAAGTTCACAGTGTAGAATAAAGGCTGACGTCGGAGGAGGAGGTAGAACTGAAACAAAATTAGAAGAAAGAGAAGCTATATTTTTTGCCGTCCGTAACAAATAATTAACATTTTGTGAACTTACATTGACCTCCACAAAAGCTCCAGAGTCCGGACAACAACTCTGATAGGTCTTGGCTCTTTGCCGCGCCTTTCTCGACATTATGTCCCATTCCACAGAGGGATAATAGTCGCTTAAATCTGAATTTTGAAATCGGTCATCATGTGCATAAGCTACTTGCCGATTCCATTCTCCACAACTGTTACGTTTTCTTTCTCCCCTTTCTCATTGATTTCCTCCACTTCAACGGCCGCTGTATCCAATAATTGGACCTTCAACAGGCTCTCGGGATATGTCCAAGAGCCAAATTTCAGCTGACATTCTTGCTCGTCAAACGGGAACCTGAAATAAGGTAAAATACCAGGGGATTTTCGCACAAACTTAAAGAAAAACTTTTCCTATTGAACAGGTGGAGCTAAAATAGCCTTGGCTCCGCATAAAACATTCAGATCCTCCTTTGCCTTACCACAAAATATCAATTTGACAAAGTGAAGTGAAGATCGCCGGAGGCTCCCAGATCACTCTTCCAGTGTAATGTAACGTCGCTTTCGTGCTAATCGTAATGTTGTAATTGCTATCTGCACTAAACTCAAAAGGCAATAATGTTGAATGACCTCAAATCTACCTTTGATACAGTACAATGTCTGGCACCCATATCATTTCGTATGGAACGTAGAGAACGGAGACGCCTCCGTAATTTTGAGGGTCCCATGATAACTTGTGGTCATTCCATTCCTGTCGAAGCCACACGGAACAAGTCATCGTTTGATCGAGCTCATGCTGAGAGGCTATGCTTACAAAAGAAGCACCTTACTTACCACATCAATAATTTGCGACAGCCTCAACTTCAAAAATATGGTCACCGCCTCCGTCGGACTTCTGGCCGGCCTTCTGTGTTTGTTGTAGTTGACCATAAGGTCATCATATAGCCGCTTAGCATCTTCATTTGCGGATATTACAAGGCCACATACTGCTACGACCAAGACTGAGCATATCGTCTTCATAAGCTGGAAAAGTTTAACTATTCGAAAACTTTTAAAAAAAATAATTTTGCTACACAAATTTTCTGTACAAAACGAATTTGTTTCAAAAAAAAGACGTCATGACAATTTTTCACGATGACACGACTACAAAAAGACTCATAATTTTTATAAAAATAGCGGCAAAGTCATCTTTTATGACAATTTTCCCATTGGGAATAGCATCGTCCATCTTCAAAACATCGAATGTCACCATATTAGAGGTCTGCAGACAAAATGGAGGAATTTTTTGGGATAAAAGAATTTTAATTAAAAACTCAAAAAATAAAAATATTTGACCAAAGAACTTTGAAATTTTTCGTTCATACAGTAAAATAATATTTGATTACGTAAAAATTTTAAAAAAATCGAAAATCGGCCCAGTCATTGGCCAAAAAAGTAACGGGAAAAATCGAAAAACTGGCCCGTCACTTGTCAAAGATGAAGGTCTTAAAATTCAAGTTCCCCTTTGCTCATCCGGCGGGCGCCTCCTAATCCCCGGCCTAACTCATTGCCGGAGGGCGAAAAACAAAAGTGGCGCCAAAAGAAATTCTCGGCCCCGCCGAAAATCCCGTCTTTTGCGGGCCGAAAAGTGGAGAAGAGAAACAGTATTGGTAAATATGTAAAACAAATAAAACTTGATCTTTTTTGGGGGTTAAAGAGCCTTAATTTTGGTGTTTATTGCGTGGAAAGAAAGGGCATTTTGGGTGATCGAGTTAAGCTGGATGTTCGTTTTATAGTTTTCTGTACTTTATCAGCAATTTTTCCCCGGAAAAATATCATTTATCGCACTTAAAGTCAAATTTTATTAAGAAAAAAAAGCGAAATAGGCTTCTTTACCGAATTAATTAGTGACATGTTAAGAGTACTCGTGCAAAAGTCGATGACTTTTGTATTGAAACATCTTCAGTCTTGTCGACTCTCCGCGTTTCGTGATAGATTATTTGATAAATCTTGCGGTTCAAATGGCTTTTCAAGACCCGTAGATTCAGGTGAATTGGAAGTTGTTCCTTACATACTTGTAGGTTCATTCAGTTGAAGGTCTGTTTTCAGTTTCCGCTGAAGATTCAACTGGCGCCTCGGTGGTAAAATCGGACCCCGTAGATCCTCTTCCTTGGGTTCTTCAGCCGTTGTGGACTCGAATGGGGAAGCACAAAATTACTGGACTTGTGGGTCAGGCTTTGGCCAGACTGTCTTCTCCCCACTTCTAAAATTTTGACACATTACTGGGCTCGGCCTCGCGGGTCCCGCTCAAAGGACTGCAATCAAGATTGGACTAGCTTATGGATGTTATGGCGTAGAAATCTTGCATTCAGATTTTTCCATGGATCCAGAAGTCGCTTATGCGTTTCGGATTGCATTTTTCATGACTGCGTATTATAATCAAATCATAATCAGAATGCCCCATCATTGATTGCTAAATGACTCAAAAAAAGTGATCATTGGGCCGAGGATGAGAGGTGGCAAAAACGCACATAAAGATTATTCATTAATCAAAAAATCTTAATCAGCACATAACTTCATATTGCTATAAAAAGCTCATCAGAGCCTTCGTTGAGGTGAGTGTTTCCTCAACTTTCATTTAGAAATGGTAAGTTTTCCATTTTTACTTTAGGATAAAGATTCGAAAACGTATGATGATTTTGGCAATTTCAGAAATTTATCCTCCTTTCATTAGCTCTTGTTGCAATCGTTTGCTCGTATCAGATCTCTGTGGGATTGGAGAGCCCATACCGTGTCCATGGTAAGATACGATATCCAAGCTTGGAATTTTTAGTCCACGGCTTGTAGTAGTAGTTGAGATACGCAACGCTGCAGAGCGTACTACCCGGGTCAAAAAGTCCTGATCATTTGCGCAGAGCGGTCTTGGCGCGTCACTGCCGGGCAAGAAACCCCAAATTGTATATAGTACATATCAAAATTTTAGAAGTGAGAAGAAGACAAGTCCCAATCTGGCCAAAGCCGGACCCTAAAGTCCCGGAATGCTGTGCTTGCCCGTTCGAGACAACAACGGCTGAAGAGCCCAGTGAAGATGGACCTACTGAGTCCGACTCCACCACCGAGGCGCCAGTTGAATCTACAACGGGAACTGACGAGGGAATGGTCTGAACTTCCCCCGGCGTTTGGCAAAATGACTAGCAGTGGTGGATAGAGCAGGTCAACTTTGGTAAAAAGAGCCATTTTCCAGCTGCGGAATAAGCCCGGCCGACGAGAAAAATCGACCGAAAGTTCCACAAAAATTTCCTCTTTCTCTTCCCTCGGAAAAGAAGAGCGGTGTCAAATGTTCGGTTAGCCGAGTGGATAAAGCATCCGCTCGATATTCTTTTGTGGGTTGGTTCGATCCCGGGGTCTCGCGAAGGAATAAGGCTTTGATGAATAAGATCAAACTCTAACAACCCCAAAAAAATTATTTTGCCTTTTTCAAAGCCAAACGGGTATAACTTCGACGTTCCATCGCTTTGAAGGTTCGGAAGCACCCAAAAAATTCATTTTTTGACGATTATTGTTTTGGTATAATTCTCCTATAAAACGTTTAAAAATGGCAAAATATTTTTTTGGGTTGTTAGAGTTTGATCTTGCTCATCAAAGCCTTATCACGGCCCTTCGCGAGACCCCGCGGGGCCCCGGAATCGAACCAACCCCCAAAAGAATATCGAGCGGATGCTTTATCCACTCGGCTAACCGAACCATTGGACACCGCTCTTCTTTTCCGAGGGAAGAGAAAGAGGAAATTTTTGTGGAACTTTCGGTCGATTTTTCTCGTCGGCCGGGCTTATTCCGCAGCTGGAAAATGGCTCTTTTTACCAAAGTTGACCTGCTCTATCCACCTGTACTAGTCATTTTCCCAAACGCTGGGGGAAGTTCAGACCATTCCCTCGTGAGACCGAATCCCCAAAAGAGACCAAACCTCCAACTGAAGAACCTACAACTGTGCAAGTAACAATTGAGAAGCCACCACAAAATTCATCAGATAATCAATGAAACATATTACAAAATTTTATTTTACTGTCCTTCTGAACACGAGTTTGGAGGGTCATTTTTGCGAATTACCAAAGAAAAATTGCTTTTTATTACATGAATAAATACAGAACTATGGTAGATCATAGTATATATGTGATTTATCTAAATGACACTGTAGGTATATTGCAACAGTACCTTCTGGATAGACTAGTACCTTGCAGTGTCATTCTCCTCAAATTTTGCATGAATACTCTAAACAGATTACAAATTGACATTTTTTTAGTCTCTGTCATTATCCACCGGTCGGTACTGAAAAATCGAGTTTTCTCCTTTCTCTTTGGCGCCTTGCTCTCGAGTTTTCGGGGAGAAACCCCAAGAATGAAAATTCCCCAAAAATGAGCAAAAATTCAATTCAAATTTTCATTCTCAGCGAAGGGTAGAGGAAATTGGTCCCCAAAAAACTTTATTCAAATTTCCCCCAAAAAATCATTATCCAACCGTCCATTCAACTTTCTCCTCCTTTTCGTCCGGTCTACTCCCATTCCTTTCCCAAAATATGGCCGCGAACGCCGGGCGCAAAGCGAGAGCTAGCAAAGTCTCCGAGGATTCGATCAGCGGTATGGTGGGGCAATTGAATCGGATCGAAGAATGGAGAATCAAGCCGGAATTGGGCGAGTCCCACCGACTGCCGGTGCAAAGAGCCGGCGATGGAAAGTTGGCGGAGAAAGTAGAAGTCAAGAAAGAACGTCGCTCAGTTTGGGACTCATTGGGACCTCCGCCGAAGAGAAAAGAGCAGGGTAAGTCGATTTTCTCCGTTTCCTTTGTCATTAATTTCGGAAATAATAGCTTGAAATTTGCAAAAAACTGTGGAAAAAGTTCCTTATTTTGGCCACAACAAAGGTACTCCGCGAACTGCGCCCAAGCTTGGGCACTAAAGTTAGGAAAAAAACGCTTCGACCTAGCTGGCACTGAATTACTATAATAATAGCTCTATAGTTTTAAGGGTACCTACGAAGGCTGTGACGACTCATTTAGTTCCATACGGAGGCAATAAGTTTAGTTCCGGACATGTTTCATCGTATAAAGTGTAAAATCACAGGCTGCAGCCTTTTTTGAAGGGTAAGATGGTACGTAAAAAAGAAGGTACCTCACTAACTAAATCCACTGTCCGGGCATTGACAACGATGAATTAAGCATGCACGCTAAATTTGGGCTAATTCCGACCAGTTTCCGAAAGTTGTGGCCAAAATAAGGAACTTTTACGAAAACGGTGATTTGACAACACTCAGGGACCCTATTTTTTGGCAAATAACTTTGCGTTTTAAAGCCTTCAGGATGTTACAGTAATAATAGTTTTATATATTTTGCCTATAAGACTGGCCGATGTAAACTACAGAGGTCGAAAATATAAATGCCTGAAGGCTTGTTAGTCTTATAAAGCTGTTTTCCGAAGATACGGCACCTGAGGGCCTTAAAAATGTAACTTTTGTAATTCGTTAAATTTCGATCAACTCGTTTCTGGTCAAGCACTACAAAAACATTTTCAGCCGATCCAGCCAGTTCTTGGGCCCATGAAATAGAGTTGAGTCAAGACGCCGCCTTCCAAATGTTGAATGCCGCCAATGATCTGCTTCAGAGGGCCGCCAGAAAATTGGATCGCGCCACGAAGAAGGAGGCCAGTCTAATGTATGAGAAAAGCCGCCTCAAACAATGGGACTTTGAGTTGCACAACAAGGAAAACAGACTGAAGGCTTGGGCAAGGGATCTCACCAAACGCGAAGAGGTACGTTGTCTTTGGAATCAATCGTTGTACATAGAAGTGTTTTTGAGCGGTTTCCAGAGATTCATTTTGGTGACAACTTGGGAAATAATAAAAAAGATTTACAAAAATTAAATTTTTTGGGTTCTTCAAGGGCCCGATTACCTTGGGAATATACATTTCTTCTGCTAAAAATCCCTGCGGCAATTAGGAAGGTCATTTTTATATTTTCCCGAGCACCATGAGCTCTTCGGCCGCATTTTTTCGGAAATATCGCCTTAGAAGAGTTCAAAAGCCCTGCGGCCATATTCCAAGCACTTTGCAAAAAGTCTCATTTGTTACTTCGAAACAAACTTTGATATCGGCAAAAAGCAAAAAAAATTTGGCAACCTTTTTCAGAAGTACAAAGCTGCTATTGCCGAGTCCCCCGAATCCTCTGCAGTGAGCGCCGAATAATTACGATTTTTATTCTGATGTTTTCGAAGTGAAATATTTACAATAAACAACTGTTGTACGGAATATTGCTTTTAGCAGCCCAAATGCAGAAGAGAAACGTTGTCTTTCTCTAAAATAACTCAAAGAAATTAACCATCTCAAAGTTCAACTATGGCTCCTACACGATCACTTTCCAACTTCTGCTTCAGCATTATCGCTAACATCATCAAGACCAAGAGTTTCCACCAGTCTCGTGGCGTTCTTTATTGCTTCGAGCGCTCTTTTCTTCAGCTTCGTTTTATTCCTTCTCCCTTCCTCGGTGTTTTCTGCGTTATACACGGCCGTGTTGAGTTGGTAATAAAGAGCAATGTTTATTCCGAAGAAGACTTGAAGCACTTGGAACATTTCCTTCGCCTAAACGACAAAATTATCGATACATAATCATTCAATAGTCTTTCACAGCAAAAAACTTGATTTTTTTTAAAAAAAACTGCTGCATTAAAGTACTAGTCCGTCCGGAGAGTCGCTGAAGCGCAAGAAGTAAGAAAATGCAGAGTGTAAAGTGAAGTTTTATTTTCGTGCAGTGCATGTTGCCGAAATCAGTCTGGCGACTTTCCGAACGGACCATATCAGACATTGTAGAATCGTGATTTTCACGGGTTGACTCAAAAAGTTTCTTCGCCTACTGTAAAAAAATCACAACAAGAAAAAAATTTATTATGCGACTTGACATATTTGGCATCCTTGCATGTTACTAGCCTACCTCATCAAATGTAAAGGGCACGTTTATATTCCTGCGGGCATGAAGATCAGCGAGTTTTTGATAATACTCAAGTAAGACCTTCTCCCAAACAACCTCGCGGATTTCAGCGTCAGTGCAGATAACAAGGAATTGACATAGATCTTGCAATTGACTTCCTGAAAATAATTAACTTGGGAGAACGTAGTGCAGAAACTCCACAGGTGATCTATAAAAGTATTCGGTTTTGTTACAGTATCCACAGATTCTCCAGGAAAGGCACGTACCCCAGAAAGACATTTGCCAATCAATGTAAGCGGCGACCTTATCACCAGTACTCCCATCAGACGTTTCTTCAAAGATCACGTTATTGCTCCATGCATCGCCATGGGCTAAAGTCTGCGCATTGAACTTCTCAGGCAAAGTTTTCATGGAGTACCTTATAAACCAATGCAAATCGATCTTTTTTAGAGTGTCGATGTAACTTGCGCTGTCTGAAATAGGCTTACAAGAAAAGTGGTCCAATTGCGATCCTCGGCGTTTTTTCATCTCGAAAAACGCGGAGGGTGCTCACAGAAAAAAAAATTTTTTTTTACATCTTTGACAGTTTTGCTTGGAAAAAACGGCAGAAAAATCATCTTATTATATTTGTACAAAGTTTCGTTCTCAGTAAGCTGCAAAACTAGCCAAATTTTGTTACGTTAATACTTTGACGAGTACGTACCCGGAACGTCGGCTTTAAAGAATTCCAATCCATTTGTCAACATTTTCGCGGCTTCTGGATGGAAACGAAAACGCGTGTCGAACCCTTCTTCCCACGTTTTATCGGCTCGTTGACCGACCTCATCGTGCAGCACGGCCAAATCTTGAGCCATATTCAGTAGCTGCGGTTCTGTGAAAGTCTCGAATATGCTTGCAGTCTTCCCTTTTATGAATTCCATTACAATAACTGGCGACTTGTTTTCTGATGACAATTTCGCCGCCTGATTCCGAGAAATTGTCTTGTAAACTTTTGGAATGGGAAATCCAACCCCCGCAAGCGGGCCAAGGAACTTGTAGACAAGGCATTCTTGATCATGCAGGGAGTTGACAAGTTCGAAAAAGAATTCGGCGGTTTTCTGGAAGTGAATGCATTTGTAGTACCCTGACAAGAGATATTTCTAATCAACAGTTAATTGAAACATTCTTGGGGTTTGGTAGACAAGACATAGAAATAATAATGTTTACCGCAAACGTTCTAATATCAATTTTGCTGCTGAAAAAGGACAAAGTTATGGCTAAAAAACTGTTTCCCGTCATATCGCTTTCCGCATTTCACGCGCTCTCTCGTTGAAGCGCAAAATTTAAAGGAAGTCTGATATGTCGTACCTCGAGCACTTTCCCAGCTATGTCGCAGGTTTCTGTTGACCCTCTTTCGAAGACCTTAGGAGATCACAAACTCGTGGGTAAGAGCATAGAGATAGACAACACCTACTTCCTCCGGATTTGTTTGTTCAACGCCATGATCGTTGAATACCCTCGTCGGCACTTTGAGAACACATTGGAACTGCTCAGGGCGACCGGCGATGTCTTTGTAGCTGACTGTAGCCAAATAGATAAACGATTGGAACCCCTTCCCATTTGTAATATCACTGAAATCTATCTGAAAGATCATTGTCAGAGCAGCAGAATGTGATTGCATAGCAAGATTGTACCTACCGAGATAACCTTATCCTCTTTAAAAGCCAGCTTTAAGGCTGGGGAACTTTCACAAATCGTCTCCAGAAGCCACGACTTAGAGAGATTATTCAGATTCCCGTGCAGCATTGCACTCAAAATCACGAATAATATTATACTTATTGAAATAAAGCCGATGCTTTGTGCCGATTAATCCTCCTTTTATTTGTCGCAGAAAGAGCGTTTGTTGAACGAAGGGCTTTGAATATTTATGCAACAATATCTTACAGTTTGGGTTTTTCGAGTTCAATGCGTCCGAAAATACTTTCCATTATAAAAACAAGTTTTGACTTAAAAAAATATCGACGGTTCCTGCAAATTGCGGGCTAGAAATCTTGCATATTTGTTTAAAAACGGTGTGTGAATTTTTAGAATTTTTACCACGTTTTATCAAAATTTGCAAATAAAACGAAAATTTTAAGATCTTTTGTCAGAGTTAAATCTTGTTTATTAGAAACAATTGTTGTAGACATTCCACAGTTCTCCGTAACGAGGTAGTTTGTATCAATTATGTGGCTTCGGGAAAGCACCTGTAAAGGCCGACCCTCGGATCACAAATTATATATGTGCATATCATAGATAAGCCCGCTTCCAGAGATGTTTATGAGGCCGAAAAAGTATGCATATGAAAAGTTGTAAACTTCTTACTCAGTTATAGATTAATCGAGGCGCAATGTTGACACGAAACACGTAGTATTTGATAGTACTCGGTGAAAATGTTCTGATCTTACTTTTTTAATGTACATAGTTCCTCGTCAAACAAAGGTGTCCTAAATACCTTAGAAAGAATTTTTTTTGTCTCAATGCTTTGTCGACTGGTTTCATCGACTCTCCTGGACAACGAAAAGACCATTTGTTTAGCGGGAAACAAAAGCGGGCAGTGACAAACGCGACGCAGACGGGACTTGATTTAGCTTGCCTCTAGTAGGCATGGCTCGTCGGCCGGCCCGGGCCGGAAATCTCGGCCCGGCCCGTCGGCCTGAAGGGTTCCGGCCGGCCCGGCCCGTTTCAAATTTTCCGTCGGCCCGGGCCGGCCCGGGCCGGCCCATTGAAACGAAAGTCTCCCCAAGTCTAACTCCTTATGACCAAATTTTTTTCTATCATCATGTAAATGGATAAATACTGTGTTCCATAGCTATCTAAAAACAAAAATACCTTTAAAAAAACCAATTGTGTCTTGACATTGCGTTCATTTTCATTATCAAACCCAATTTTCACTTCGAGATTCTGGATTTTAAATATTCCGGGCCGGGCCGGGCCAAAACGCCGGCCCGGCCGACGGGCCGGAATTTCGGCCCGGCCCACGGCCCGGCCCAGGCCGGCCCGGGAGCCATGTCTAGCCTCTAGTTTCATCGGAAATCAAGCGTCATTTATAATATTAAAATTCTTCGGTTCTCTGGTACCAAAAAAAAATTTTTCTTTTTGCTATTGTCGCTATCCCTTTTGCATTAGAACGGCTTTTCCCTTGTAATAAAGCTGAAATTTTTAGAACCTATGAGATGGTATGGCATGGATAAGATCATATTGTGATCCTCGAAAGCAAATTTGAATAAAATGCATCCAGCGTTATCGGCAAAAATGAATATAAAATATCTATTTTCCAAGGCCTACGACTATCTTTACATAATTCTAACCGACGAATCGCCTTATTGCTATAATCATGACTCGCCATTGCCTGATAATTACAAAGTGTTTTATGTAATTGATGCTGCCGAACTCTTGATAATCTTTGTCTCATTTGTTGTGGTCTCGATCAATGTTTATGTCTTTCTCTCGGTTAAAATCTTCCATCGGAATACTGTTCGAATGTTCGGATGTATGATTTGGACGTTTCCGGCAATGCAAATGACCAGAATTCACGTTATCTATGTTTACTGGAGCAAAGGGCGACCAGTTGGTAAGTTATATGTGAAGCCGCAGGGAATGGCAGAAGCAAAGGCCAGAGCAATACTCACTTGGAATATTAGTCAGTCATTGACCACGGATAAGTAGAGATTTTGAGCTCGCGCTTTGCAGAAAGCAGTCACGTTTTTAGATCGAAAAACGTGCCAGGATTGAGAAATTTTTTCGAATTTTTGAAGGGCATATTTGGCCTTCTGTTTGGCCTGCGGCGTGCAAGAAAAACTTAATTCTTTGTGCAGAATTGATAAAGGCACTGCCAAAAAATAATTTTCGCTGTTTCCACTAACTTTCGCTTTTTTTTCAAGGCTAAAGTCAGAGCTATAAGTTTAAATTTCCATACTAGTCGCGCCATAAAGCCCTTCTATGTCTCGGCCTACCTTGAAAAAGCAAAAACTATAACGCCTAAGGAATTAAATATTTTCTGCCTAATCAGAGCACGTGTAAAACGTTTCAGCGAAATGTGGACATTCCCCATGAAGCAGTTGTCTTTACAATTTATAATTTCTCGGCCATTTTCAGCCAGCTTGGACTATTTCTTCAATTGCAATCCGGAAGTCCAGTTCTCAGAATACCTTAGATTCGGGTTTATGATCTCTTATTACGTCGCATTATGTACTTTGACGTTTGAACGGCTTATTGCGACCGTCTTTCTAGAGACCTATGAGAAGAAAGAATTTTGGTGGACAGTCTTTGTGACGCTGGCTCTTCAAGCATTCTTCTGTGCGCTTGCGGTTTACTTTATCACAATCAGTAAGTGCCAAAGATGATGTCGCCAACATAATGAGTCAGACAGTGGGTTACTTTTATAGGTTGGGAAATAGTGGATGAAAGTCGCAAAGATTGAATTTGAGGGAGTTACAGAGAGTTAATTTCTCGAAAAAGTTATTGCTTGCAAATCAAATTCCAGGGTTCATGTCCACGACATTTATCTTTACGATTGCCCTTCTGTTTCAATGGACGTTAATACTTGTAAGTCGAGCACACGAGCTGAAAAATGTCTCAGATTTTCTTGTACTGCAAAAGAACCAATGAACGACGTTACATGCAGTCAAAGTTGTACAACCACAAATACAGATACAGCTTGACAGCAATGTTTCAATTGTCCGATAACATCCGAGCAATCAAATGCATGGTCCCTGGGATTATCATCGTCACAGCGCTGAATAGTTTGGCAAGTGCGGTAAGTTGGTTGGCTTTACTTATTAGGGGGATGTTCCAAGCGTGAAAATTCAAGTTTTGACAAATTTTTCCCATGGTTTGAACAAAAGATTACGGTGAATTTCTTTTTTTTAGTCTTATTTTGCGACAATTCTATCTGTCGACATTTTCTGGCGGAGACTGTGGCTGACTTTATTTAACGCCACGATTTGTTCGTATGCTGCAGTCGCCGCGACCATTCCCATTTATTTTACGGACGTCTACCGGGCCAGGCTGATCGTGTAAGTGGAACCTTATGAACAAAAACAAATCGTTGCAGTTTCTAAACTTTTTTTTGTCGTAAGGTAAATTTATTGCCCGGTACTCGTCTCTAGAGAAGTGTAGATTGAGCTTTAGGATATTGAAAACATCCTCTAGATGGCTACAAACTGGACGTATCACACCGTTTGAGGACCGACGCAAAACCTTGAAAACATTGGGCGGCACTCAGATGGTGTTTGCCCTGGAAGACGAAGGCAACATTTATTTCCAGACGCTGATTTCTTCATGGAAATAAATTGTATTTCTCTTGGAACGGAGATTTGACAAAACATGTCGCAAGAACGTGTGAAAGAACAATCGAAAAGACGGCATGTTGAGTTGACAAAGGATGTGTTCCATGACGCTCAGCTTTTTTTATATTTTGCTAACACCTCGCGTATTGGACACATATTAATTCCTGAAAGTTTCAGCTCGTGTTTTGCAAGAGCAGCCAAAATATTCAACGACCTTTGCGGCGGAGGGAATAAGCAAAAGGCTGAATAGAAGAAAAATGTTGGTTACTGATAAAACACTTCTTGGCCGATTCTTTGCCAGTTTTAAATACGTAGATTTTTTTGTAGAAAAGTTTCTTTTCCGGTAGTCAAAAGCTAAAGCCAAGGGATAAACTTACAGAAAAGTGCCAAGTTCTGGCCAACTTGGAGCTAAGAATCTTGGTCGTTTCTGCAAAGCGCGAGCTAGAAATCTCGCATATTTCGGAACAACACAGACTAAGTTTTGCTTTTAAAAAGCTTCTAGTGTTTGCCTTCTGAATTGTGTCAAAGTTTGGGAAAGCTGAAAATGCGCTTGGAAAATTTCCCTGTTACGAGAAGATCCCATAGCTTACTATCTAACGATCAAAAGGCTCATAATTTTTTTTATTTTGAACTCATCATACATTTGTATCATCAATTTGTATTTACATTTATTTTTCGAATAAACCGCATTGAGTCTCATTGCTACAATGCATGGAGAAGTATAGAGTGTAAGTCGAACTGGTCTTTAATTCCAATTTATACGCGGTCTGTTTACTCAGAAGTGTTCCCTCAGTGACGTTTCCAAATAAATATTTTAAGTCAAACGTAATTTGCGTCTTCTATAACTGGGTTATTTGCTATGGCAAATGACAAAAATTTTTAGCTGACTCATTGACTCCGGGAAGTATTTGAAGATTTCTTCGTACGGGAGTATGCATAATAAGGAGAGGCGGATGGAAAAAGGTATTCTCAGCTGATTCTTCGAAAATCTTGGAAGTAAACGTCTGGATTTTTTGTGGGCACTTTTGACTTGACAGGGCTAGAAGAACGATGAATTGTCCCTTAAGAGTCGCTAAAAAGAAAAAAAATTCTTACAGCTTCAGGTTGAAAAATCCCGATATCCTCTGCAAGTTGGATGTTTATGCTACTGCAAAATCTTGTCTATATTTTTGCCAAGTTTATCCCAATTATAGCAATTTCCCTATGAAATATGTCCCTTTGTAACGGACCTTTGATTGTTGCCGATTCATCGTGCTTTAAGTATGCTATTTTGCACTTTCGCATTGGGGTTTGTGGCATGCGGAAGACGTGATGAATAAGTCATTGATTTCCAGAAAATCCCAACGTTTTCCACCTGTTTGTTCATACCCGTTGGCCATAGCGGCACCACATTGGGCATAGGTCTTTTCGTTGTAGAGCGCGCAAGTCAACCGTCCCAATGCTCGCAGGATGATGCCAATCATGGTGATCTTCACCGACTCATGGGCTCTGTATTGTAAAGCGAACTCGGACTTTATCCGGTTCAGCGCCGAAACTCCGTTCGTCTTGATCGACATAGTCGAAGTGGCGGCGATGACGTTTTCGTTCGTAGCCGTCGTGTGTGGATACTATGTTTTTTGGACTGTGCCAATTTACCATCGCAATTTGATGAGGCTGATCTTTTGCATGTTCTGGCCGTTTTTGGTCGTCATTGTTTTGAGGACATTGACTTTTATTGAGTGTTGGAGCAATGGGCATGCTGTTGGTGAGTTTGGGTTATCGGGCAAGGCCCCCTTTGCTGACGGCTTTGGAGATAACGGAAAAATTATATATAATATGAATACACATGTTTGAACACCAGGACTCCTATTTTTTACGTCTAATTCATCCTTGCTAACAAGACCTCCTGCAATAAGCCTCTCGGCCTCCGCATCACAGTACAATGGCTTCATTTCAGCCTCGGCGGTCTTCTTTTTCCACTGTGACCCGAAACTAAGACTAATCGAAGTGTGCCGACTCTCCGTCATGGCCGCTTACTACATTGGGAATGCAAATATTGCAATCGAGCGCCATTTGGCAACAAAGTTGTTCGACCAGTACGAATATACAGAGCTGACATGGACACTTCCGTTGAATCTGTTCATTCAACTATGTGCTGCTTGTGTTTCGTTTTTCCTCTTTTATTACGGTGGGTTTCGAAGACGGAGTTTTTCGGAAGGGCTGACAATTCACCAAAATGATATGTTTTTAGTCAACATCAACATTGCGTATCCAACCTTTGGCGTGTGGCTTTATGGGATGGTCGTCGTCTTTGTAAGTTGAACGTTATTAATCCTTATTTATTGGAAAGCTTCTCGCTTAATTTTAAGTTTCTAAGACGTAATAAGAAAGTTTTGGTACAGAAATTTGCTTTCTGACCTTCAACTTCAAAAAAGATGATTTGGGCCAAAAGGAAGATCAAACCCATGAGGCGTCCGCGTTCTTGATTACCAGACTACGGCACTAGCCACTCGGCCACACCATTCCTTGCCGAAGGAAGGGACCGACGCGTTTTTTATCGTTTGAATGCCAGCGCCTTTTTTAGGGAAATTTAGTTAGTTTTTGGGCATTTTCGACCCTTAAACCCAAGATTGGGCATCAAAGTTTTATATATACACTCATGATCAGCACATTTTTTTTTTGATAATAAGAGCCTCTAAAATTTTGTGAAATTGAAATGCGGCCCGGAAATAACTTGTGTGTAAAAATTAAAAACAAATAATATACCAGCGTCGCACATCGAACCCTTGAGCAGCGATGTACAACATTTATATACGTCAACATTTCTGTTTTCTTTCAGGTTTTCGTCTACTGTTTGAGAAAGAACGTGCGATTGTACGAAAATTTTGACAATGTCACAGCATACAAACTCACCACCAGATATCAGCTTTCGGAGAACGTGCGCTCTCTTCGAACCATGCTTGTTGGAGCCTCTGTCTGTACAATAATGGATACGGTCGGATGCGCTGTATTGATCACTGCGAACGCTACAGTCGACGACCGCACACGGAGAGTATACTTGATCTGTTTCAATATGATCATCCCGTTTTATGCATTTTCGTTTGTGGCCTTGTGCATGTTGAGCAACCATGTTTATCGGCGGAAAATTCGAAGGTAAGGCTAGAAATATGATGGGGTTGAAGGTGCTCAAAATGCAACCTTCCAATTTTGACCGATTAGGCAAAGATTTTGGTTAGAATTAGCTAATCCACCGGCGAGAATTTTACCCCGCGCTTTTCAAAAACCAACCACATTTTTACGCCGAAATTTACAAAGAGTGTGTACTTGAACTCCGACCAGGCATGGACGATACTTGGCATGAATGAATATAGATGTTTTTAAGGAATATGTATGCAGCACGTGCTAAGCAAAAACCACCAAGCGAAAATGAAAAAAATCAGTTTTTTTTTGAGAGTCGTTTCACGTACCGCAAAGCAACCCTTGCAAAGCGTGCGCTAAAACATTAAACGATTGAAAAGTGAAGTATGCAAAGCATTGTTGCCAAGTTTGAAGAAAATCGAACGACGCAAATTGGTACTTTCCAATAAAAATAATAAAAATCTTTCAGGATGACTCGTGCCATAATTGGAGTGGTCTGTTTCATCAGGAAAGTCGAACCGCTCCCATCTCCCAAACGACCGGTTCGATCGCTGGTTGGTGCCAAAATCGAGTTTGCACAGTCCGAGGAGAAGGATATCTACTTCTCCCAACTGCGCTCGTCATGGGAAGACCTTGAACCCAATAAACTTTGCTCCAGGCGATAAGGACAGCGTAAAGAATCACCTGTTGAATGTACTAGTCCTTCCGGAAAGTCGCCGGACTGAAATGCGCGATATGCACTCTGCGAAAATGAAAGTTCACTTTGCACTGTGCAATTTCTTGCCTTTTGCACCGTGCAATAGGGTTTTTTGGGATGTCGCTCGCACCCTGACTTTTTTCGCACAGTGCAAACCCCAAAAATCAGTCCGGCGACTTTCCGGAAGGACTAGTATAAAAAGTGCCTTAGATTTGTTTGAATAAATTCATATTGAAGGGTCGGTGAGGTCAAAGGGTTAGTGACAAATAGACGCCGATACAACTATACAGTTGTTTGGATTTCCTTTGAAATTTAAACAACGATACTGCAGGGCCTTCACATCAATTTCGTAAAATCTTGGCATGCGCTCTGCAAGGACGGCTGAGATCTTTAGCCATATTTTTATACAAGATATTATGACATATGAAGACAGACGTTAAGATAAACAAGCTGTTTTGCGTTTTTAAATTTAAAATTTTAAGAAATGACTTTTTCGTGGCTTAACTTGACCTATCGCCAAGATCTCAGCCCTCTGGGCCTCTCCGAACCTCGCCACAGGCCCAATTATCTGGGTCAGAATTCGCCAGACGCACTGTTTGCACTTTTGCACAAGTTCCTATCGCCTTCGCTCGAAATTTCGCTTCGGAAAACGGCAAAAAATGTCTTTCCGTGCCTCGCAGTGCGGCCCTAAAGTGCAATGCACTTTTTGTCGAAGCAGTTTTACGGAGAAAACACCGAAAACAGTTCGTTCTATAGAATTCGAAGCGAATGGCTGGATGGCTGGACGAAGAGGGGAAGGGGATTGTTGTTGTTTTCAGTATTTTTATTTATGTTCTCCAGTCTGGTTGGAGGAGCGTAAACTGCCTTCATAAATCTTTGCCCATTGGTTTTCGTTTTTCGCGAAGGGCGAGGGAAATACATATAATGAGTGTTCTGTATAAACAACAGGCGATAAGATTGGTTTGTTCTGGACGATTTGTCGGTTAATAGGTTTACTTCAGTGTGGAGCTACTCGAAAGGAAACTGTCGGATATACCTGAAATTGGCGTTGGCACTCCAAATACGATGCAAATCGATTGCTGAAAATCTTAGCTCGCGATTTTTACTTGCAGGAGACATATTACGCAACGGTTTTCCGAGTGAGTTCGTAGAATGAGGAGGGACGGCCAGCCAAAAAACAAATCGCTTTATTTTCTGCAAAGCGCGGGCTTGCCCTCTCCAATGTGCTCTGAAAAAAAACCCCTTTCTAAATTTGCTCGCAAATTTTCCCAGTTCGAACGCTCTCATTTGGCATAATTTTGCTGCTAGACACGTTGCAAGTCTCCAACAGTTGTCGGTCCCGCCGCACAACAAACCGCGTTGTTTACCGTAGTCCGAACCGGCCGCCGAGGCAAGTTCTTCGGGTTGCTCGCGACAAACACAAATCCCGCGCGCGCCCCCTCTCTCGCTCCCGGGTTGTTTGTTGGGGTCAACGGAGTTGGGCAGGGGGCACGGCGAGTAGCAGAGTGGGGTGAAGGAACAGGCACCCGAGCATGCGAAGGCACCGTTCCGATCGTTCCCCCTCTCCGCGGCCCGCTTCCTTTATTTGTTGACCTTTTTTTCCCCCGGACAAAACAAGCGTAGGGCGGGCAATGGCTGGCTGCGTTGTGTTGACAGCGCTTACGAAAGAGCGGTTAAGACAGTCCGGGCTGATTCAGCGGTTCGCGGAAGATGTTTTTTTGCTTCGAGAAGTTTATCAGGGAGGGAGGGGGGCTAGGTCATCATAAATTTTTGCTGGGTTTAATATGTCGGATGTAGCAAGGTGTCGCAAACGATTTTGTAAAAATAAACAGATGGCAATCAGCTGATAATCGCGAGGTCCGATTACAAGTATTTTGAAACTAAGTTTTGTCGGGATTATGGCAAAAACTTCTCTATGACAAAACGTTTTGTAAACAAAACATACTCATTACATTTTTAATGACTAACAAATGCGACATATTTTGTTTCAAAATATTTTTTGCTTACAAAATGCCTGAAGAGACGTCTAGTCGCTATCAATTGATTTCGCAATGACCTTAAAGCAAATAGAATTTCTCCTTGACCTTGAAGCAAAATTTGCCGACCCGCGCCAACACTCTGTTTTTTTCTCCCACCGTTCCGAGCCGTTCCAGGCGTTGGAATTTCCACACAGATTGGCAACATCTATTTATAGCATTTTTGAGTTAACCAAGTGTTCTGTTATCAATTTTCCACCGTGTTTTTTGCAACTTCACTTTCTCTCAGCACTGCGAAATGTGCGTACATGTTTGTCGCAAACAATAATGCAAAGGTTTATTATCCCTGCGGCTTTTGGGTGGGGACGAGAAGGGGTGGAAAAAACGTTTCTAACATCCTTTACCATTCAAAATAACGTAAACAAACTCGGCCGCGAGAGAGCCTTAAAGGCCTCTTGGGCTCGCCCCGAAAAAGACGCAGGAAGGGGGCGCCAAATTTACACAAACAAACAAAACAACCGGGGGGCTCCTTTTCGGCCCTCTTCTCCGCCACGGATGTTTAATGTTTGGGGATGGAGGAGGGGGGCTTTGCGAAATCATTCCCAGTCTTAATGGTTTTTTATTAACATTATGTCATAATTCTAAACGAAATTTCATAAACCGATTACATTTTAGTAGTCAAAAATGAGTTTGAAAAGGAAGTGCTTGAGGCGCAACGCTGAGATTTTGACGAAACGTGGCACAAATTTAGAGCAAGACTTTGTAAGCAACGCGACACTATTCACTTTCTCGGCGGTGATGCAATTTTTGTTGCGACAGAGGGCTCATTATTTTCGAACCAGGCTGATATCTCCACCGTAGCGCGTAATCTTGAACAAATAGAACGAGCAATAAATAAGCGTGTAGACTTTTTGCATAAAATCTCAGGCACTGCTTCTCCAGCTCTCTTCTGACCTGCGTCTCGGCAAAGGTTGAATATCTCAGCCGGGCTGGAAAAGCGACGGTTAAAATATCAGCATGTGATTAACCGCCTACATAGAGCAGTAATGTCATTTTTTGAGCAAACCTGAGCTCCGAACATTGAGCACTTCCTTTGTCAAATTATAGAGCGACCTTTCCTGCGGACGACGTTTTAAGCTCTTATTTATTAGCTGACGACATTTCGACCCATTCTTTAATATAACCAACCGCGCCTAAGAATACAAAACCAGTTGTGTATGGGATATTGTCATGTGGTTGTTTCGCCGAGACGTGCCCCTAACCATATGACACGGCGTTTACCGAGAACGTCAGGAACGCACGAAGAGCCATAGAGCCCTTCTAATCCCCGCCATCCTCATCGAATCCCCGTTCCCGAGCCCGCTAAGCCAACGGGACAACGAATTAGGGTCGATTAGCCGCTTTGGCCGCGTCAAAAGTTGCTAATCCGCTGATTTTCGGAAATTTCGGCCATCACAAAACACACGGATTTAGTACTGTTTGGGACGAGGTAAATACGCTCCAGAAAGCAGTTTTTGGGCCAAGACGTGGGACAGGGGATGTCTTTAGGCGTTTTTGAGCCGGGTTCTGGGGCGATGGGATCTGTATAGGGTCAAAGGAATACTAAAGGTGTGGAGTGGCATTTAGGGTTTCAGTGGCCAATAACTGAGAAATTGCGGAACTAAAATTTACATACATAGTGTTTTTTTGTAATGCACGGGCCTTTTTTGGCATATCACTGTTTTTTATTGCATCACCTTAGGGCTTTTGGCCATTAAATTTTCTCAACTCATCTCGGCAAAGTTCTACTTCTATTTTTAAAAACAGCCGATTCTCACGATTCATTTTGAGTAAAGTACATTGAACTGTTGTTTACAAATCGTCAAAGGGCTGTGGGATGATAAACAATATCGCTCTAAAAAGTGGAAACCTTGATGTCCCCAAAAAATCAGTTTTTGTAGATTTCGGTCTTTTGTTTTTCAAGTTATTGCCGAAGCAAGCCTTTTAGGTCGGCCTAAATCTGTTCAGTCACTAGAACTCAAAGTTACGCTAGCTTCACCAGCATCTGAGATGTTTGTTTGCATATCAACTCGCTGTGAGTTACAGACTGAGCAATTCCGCCTTCCGTTCACCGAATTCGCATTTACGCAACCGTTTTTTGTCGGAGTTTGTATTCCGGCATAGGAGAAATCACGGGGTGGTACCGGCGACCACGATTTTTTTTCAAAACAGAAAACCAAGCAAAAGTCAAAACAAATTGTTTAGCGGAGAGCGGGTGGAAAAAAAGACTTTCAATGTTCGTTTACTAACCGAGAGCTTTGTCCAGTCATACCCCTTTGGCCGCTCTCGTGACGAAAAATGGAGGGATAGACGTTTCATAAATTGGGGCTTTATTTAGAACGAAATTCTCTACACGTTTTATAGTGAACTCTCTTAAACTGAAATGTCGTTTATGTGCAGCCGATGGTATTGTGGGTGATTTTTTGAGAGCGAATTGATTTCCAAGGTTCGTTTGAGATTTTTTTGGATATTTTTGAGCGTTTTTAACGCAAATGATTCCGACTAAAAAAAATGATTTTTGGTGTAAAAATCAGTTTCAACAGATCTCGAAGTGAATTCAGCTCTCTTTTGCGGAAATCGTAAACGACATCTTTTTTTTGAGAGAGCACGCCAAATGAGGAGAGCCGGCGAGAGGAAGAACATCATTCTTCCTCCTATATGTTTGATAATTCTTCTCGGAAGAAATTTAGCTTTTGTTAGCAATCTAACAAGCCCATTTTTAGGACAAAATAGATTTTTTTGTCTTATTTTTGTTATTTTCCCATATTATATTTTTTACTTTTGCCGTACAAATCTCGGCAGTTTCGGTGTAACGCGAATTAAAATTTTCAGGGTTTTAAATTTTTGCCCTGTTTCATCAGGATTCATACTACACTTTTTGAGTTATCTCATTTTTTTTGATGTCAACATTCAGATTTTTTAAAATTTTTGAAACAAGTTGTAGTTTCTCTAGTTAAATTACGATGTTTTTTTTACCATGGCCTTTTGATTGTCGATTATATGCTCCAGAATTTTATTGCAACCCCATCTAGATTGTGTATTTCATTTCCCTTCGTCACATGTTTATTTTATTTTGTTTGTGAGTAAAAAAATTCTCTTTTCGCGTTTGCCCCATGGACGGCCCTCGCTCTGTTTATTAAAATACTCTATCTTAAACCAGACTTGTGTCCCCGGGATTCTGGGGAGTGGGGGATTTCGGATTTTTGATGACATTATTATTAGTGTGTTTGTAGTTTAAAGGCAAATTGCTGCCAAAAGACTGAGTAAATTGGAGATTCCTAGATTGTGTAGGATTCTTGTTGTGTGAAGAAGACTTTCAAGGATGCAAAGGTTGAGTAAAGGGTTGAAATCACATTTTATTTCCAGCTTTCGTCGTATGCGTGTTTATTTTGCCTTTACAAAGAGTTACGCTACATATGACCATTTTAATCGCGTTCAAACGTTGGGAAGATTAAAAAATAAGGTCTCCTAAGGCATTTAGCGAAGTTTATGCTTGTTTGTTCCAACAACCAAGGCAATTTTTTGGCCGCTAAATGGAAAACTTTTTAAACTTTTTCCCGACTTTTGGATAAAAAATACGGTTTTTTACAGTGGCATGTTTCTGGGATCAATTTATAGAAACGAAGTTTGCAAACATCTATGTTGGCGAAAGAGGCTTGTGCTCCGGCCGACTCTCTTCCTTTTGCCTACTCTCTTGGAAAATAGGGCTGGTAAAAGATGTCATTTGCGTCGGCAAATTTTTATGTCTTGCGCCATTTTTGGCGACATGTTTTCAAAGAAATCTTTTTCTCAACCTTCCTAGAGCGCGCTGTTGTATCATCAAACTGCCAACGCACTTGTCGGGTTTACTATCTCCACAGACGGTCCCGTGACTATTATTTCTGTTCGAGCTCCTCGAATTGCACTTTTACGAATGCCGGCTTCATGTAAACAAAACCGGCCTGTGTGTTTTCTCCCAATTTTCGCTGCCCTAAACCTGCACTGTTTACTGATTTCCAGAGAGCCGAAAAAAAATTGTTTTCAAGATTAAAAGAAACGTTTGCATAAGAGCGAGTAACATATGGAAAAAAAGAGTGAGGCAAAACAAAACGTAGACGGAGCGGATGGGAGAGCGCGGAAACAACAGAGAGTGCGAGGCAAAGCTGGCTTGCGGTCCGGCAAAATGATTAGTAAACAACACAGGGCTATAGGTCTGTTGTCAATATAAGCTATAGACTTTGCATGACGAATTTCATAGGTTTTGTTTCAATTTTGGAAACAGGAGGACCTTTAAGACCAGTCGAATGCCCAATGAAAAATACAGTCTCAAAAGTTTTTAACAATCATGGTCTCACGATAGGGCGACTACATTTCTTAAAAATTTGACTCGAATACCCTATCTACATAGGCTGCGCTACGCTCATTGAAAATTTTAGCTTCCGAATTGCAACGATGGCCGAGATATTCAACAATCTTTGCTGCCCAGTATGCGAAAAGGAGAGCGCGGTCAGAGAAAAATTTTTATGGCCCTATTTTTGAGAATCTGCTGCCTAAAAAATTTGATTTCCTTTTGAAACATTTTGACCCTGATTTTTTCTGCAAAGGACAACCTGCCACTCTTATTTGCCTTTCAAAATGGTCTCCTTGATTTACGCCAAACTTGATCAAAATCTAACAGTTTCGGTTTGAGAACGGTCGCTTTTAGCTGGGAGCCCTCGTACCGCTGAATTGGCACCTTATTTGGAAGCTTTCTCATCCGCAGGCTTCAGCATGTTCAACTGCTTTCCCAGCTCGCAATTCATTCATTGGCTCCGTGGGCATTAAACGGTTCGAACGGAGCCAACAAATTTGTTTTGTTTTTCGCTCAGCTGCCTAGAAAGTCGTCTGTCTTTCTGCTAGTCTCTTCGGCGGAGAGCCGCTTCTCTGCTGTCGCCGGTAAAGAACACCCTGAGGAGTCAGCCGGGGTGGTTTTTTTTTGTAAACGTTCGTTTTCTGTTGTTTTGATGGAGTGCGCTTTATTTTGAAACACTTTCTCTCCATTCTCTCCTTTTTTTGATTACACAACAGCTCGGCGTCTGTGCGACCTATAAAAGGTAAACACGTCTTGTTGACTTTCCCTTGAAATTATGATACCACTGCCGGGGAAAACGATCGGATTGTGCGCAAGAACGCAACGGATCTAAGATATATCGACATAACTAGAGAATGTGACGAGTCCTGAATATGAAAATGTGAAATCAAAAGAGATACGACTAAAATGGCATAAGAAGGAAATTGCTTATTTTTCGACTCTTGAATATGCTAGAAATTTGCCCCAGAGCCTCTAGGCCACATATGAATCTCAGAAAATCCAAAGCCAATCGAGGCCTTGGAAAACCAGAAAAACAACAGCTATTAGTCGCATGTTTAAAAATATTGTTGGTAAAGATTTACATTGTACTTCCAGTATATATTTATTGCAAACTGAAATTTGCAAAATCGAGATAGTGTTGGCAAATTTGACGCGAAGAATCACTTAATTCCACAATGCTAAATATGACATATTCCATACAAACTTCAACCCTGGATTGGCGTTCAAATTTAGCGATTTCTCTAATAAGGCAAATGAGGTTTTTGAGACGTGCTGTGCGAAATTTTTGTGATTTTTCTTTCTGCGCTAACCGCGGGCCCAACCGTTTTATATCTCAAGTCACGGTTTCAACGTTTTTCAGCAATTTTTTACCGGTCGGCGATATTCCTTGCTAAGTCGCTTCACCAACCGCCAGAAGGTGGTCGTCTACTTTACGGGCTTTTACAACGTCTCCTACATCGTTTGTCGCCGTTCGAGAGAGGCTCACGACGTCGCTAGAAGGACGAAAATCCAGGCCGGATAAGGCGCGTCTGTCCGAACAAAGTGCATCCATTGTGACTCAACAGGTTTGTTTGGGTTTGTTGACTAAACAGAAAGGCCGTTAATCATTCGTCCATTATGTCATTCCCATTTCCTGAGACGACCGAGATTCTTAAATCGGAAATCGGGAAAAATGCGACACTTTTTGACAAATTTCAGGATGAATACCGGCTTCTGCCGTCGAGTAAAGTCTTTATAAAAAATTAATTTTTCACGCCCATATGACAAAATCTCGCTCAATCATAAGCTAGATTGTGGCCAAATGAGAACGCAAAATTTCAATCACCAAAAGTTGAATTTCAGTGTACAACCGTGGCGACGGAATCGCCAACTGGCGGCGAAATTGCCAAGCGAACAATCCATGAAACCGCAGGCTCCGCAGGAAAGCACGAAGCACCGTCCGTGCATCGCGCCGACGCCGACCCCGAACTGCCGGCCTCGCTGAATCCGGGCTTCGCCAGCTCTTCGACCTTGCCCGAAGGCAGTGGGATCAATGACGCCGCCAAGAACAGCGAAACCCAACGACTGCAACAACTGGAGCAAGTGCTGAACAACGCGCTGCTCCAACAACTCCAACAGTTGCAACAACAGCAGCACGGGTTGAGCAATCAGGGCCAGCTGAATGCCTTGCTAAATGCGATCTCAGCGCCGCCCTCCACGATGAATGCCCAGGAGTTTCATCGGGTAGGCTGCAAAAACTCTTTGTCTTCCGTGTTAATAATGCCTTTGTCAGTTTCGATGAGAACGGGTTTTTTGATACAAAAAAGTAATAGTAATTTGTATACATCAATCATACTTAAATTTTGTTTCATGTTGTAGTTTCAAAACGGTAGTGAGACGCGCTTCGTTGACGTAGGCACAATTTAAAGGCCATACGTTATTTACAAAGGAAATTCTCGGGAAGCAGAGTTCAGTTTTGTTTGCAAGCATGATCTATCCAGGCCACAAATCGGTTGCAGAACATTTTAGATCCGTAAACATTTGTTGTCAGTCCCTCTCTCCTTTTTTTGTAAAGCCTCACTGAAGATTTTATAACATCTCGACATTTTCTACAAAAGGCGAGCTGAAATTTTCAGTGATTGTAAGAGGGTGTAGCTAGGCCATCTACGCAAATTTTACTAGAATTCAGCTCGGGCACTTTTCTTATTTTCCCTCGTAATTTGTCGTATCGATGTTTTATTACGTATTCTCTTGGCCAGCCATAAAATTACGCCTCAACATTCTAGGCGGGCTACCTTATTCGCGGCTGGTATCGCTGTCGTTTATTTGTGTTTTGGACAGTTTTGTTTGTTTAAGTAACCCCGGCGACTCGGCCTAAATAAATTGTCAAACAAAAAAGGTCGAATGTTTAGAGTCGCAAAAATACTATTCTCTGTTTGTTTACGGCTCTTGTCCCTCGCTGGTGTTTAGACTTCTTGCGGTTTTGGGAAACCTCAGCGGTGTTTTGTTGAATCACCCACTCCCATGTTGTTTATAACGGAGAAGGGATGGGGTAGGGGTGAAATGATTCGTCTGGGTTTTCAATACACTCCTAAGGCCTTAATGAAATTGTTCCAAGATAGGGGAATCTTTTGAAAACGAAAGAAAGAGGGGTGATTTTTGTTTGTTATGGAGGTCCTTAGTAAATGGGAAATTATTTTGCAGCTACTAGATTTTGGTGGCTTTGATTTGGATAAAACTTTGTCTAATAAAGGCTATGCGACATTTTTAGCTCCCATTTCAATGTGAAAACCATTGAAATTTTTGCGTCTAAATTTGGCAAAATTAACCGTTTTTGGAAAATTTTGGGTGAAAATTGGGAATTGCATTTCGAAAGTGCTATAGCTCTTTTAGGTCGATCTTCCGATCTAATTTTCGTAAAGTTAATGTTTACTCCAATAATTCCGAGATATTCATATCAACTTGACCACTACTACAAATTTTCCTAATGCTTTCAATCGTTGAATATCTCGGCCTCTCCTTCAAAGTGCGAGCTTAAATTTTTGGCATTTGAAAATGTCTTCTATATGAGGTTTGTTTGCCAAATTTAAGGAAACTCAGAGCTTTGCATTTTGAGTAGTTCCCCTATATGTTTAGAAACACTATTTACTTCTACAATTTGTATCCTACTCTCCCTTGTATACGGTAGCCACCTGACTTTTCAGCTTTTCCTTGTTTTATCTGTAGAAAACCACAGTTTCTTTTATATAATATGCATTTTGCAGAGGGCCGTGTTTAGAAAGTAAACAGTTGGAAAAACAACTTTTACTCGCATTAGTCAGAGTGTTTTCGGCGCCCTGCGGGCATACTGGATGCACTGGACTGAAAATTTTGTTTTCCTTTTCCCGCGAGTAAATAACAAGAGAGCGCGAAAAGGTGAGAGACCACAAGAGTAATCGATTACGTAGGTACAGTTTGTTTGCGGGCATTGCTGTTGTTTTCCCTGAGATGCAAACAGCTGGGTACAGTGAAAGCTGAACATTGGAGGGGAAGTGCCTAAAGCTCTCCGATTTAAATGAACCTTAGCAAAATTTAAAAAAGAATGCCAGCGATTTTTACATATCTCGCAAATAGTTAGGAAGTCAAAACACCTACAGGAAACGCTTTACCTCTTGAGTCTTGACGAATTGCACACGAGATATATTTTATGAATTTCTAATTGTGTGGAAACAATTGATTACATCAGCGCGTTTAATCAAAATAATATACTTAATTTCATTGTACTGATACGAAGGTAATCCTTTTTTATAAAACAGCCTGCTAATCCGCTGTTTATCTGGCGAAGGGGGCAACGTAAACAAACGGCATTTCTGTTAATGCCACCGTGGTAGGAGAGCATTAAATCCGTCTCATGTCAGATTCGTTTGTATTTATGCGGCTCGCCGCCGGTGCTGTAAACACTTTGTATCTGTTTCGCAGAAGCTACGTGTAGCTCGTATAGTGATTAGTCTGTCATAATGCCATCTATTGCGACTTACAGAGAGTTATGGATTTAAGAAAAAAGTCAAGATCTGTACAATTTAAGCGACCAAAAAATTTGTTCGTTGTAGAAAGGTTTCGTTTACGAAGTCGTTGTGGCGCAAAATAAGGAGACAGCGCGCGAAGTGCGGAGCATGGTCAGAGCGAATACCTTTACGTCCCGACTTTTCGGGTCGACGGCAGTTCGGGTCATCACAAAATCGATCGAGACGGGGCGTAGGGCAGGTATACCCAAAAAAAGGTTATAGGAAGTGCCTATGAGGCCTGGCAAAAACCGCTCGGCGAAGGCTCGGCGGAGGCTTGGCGAAGACTTGCAATATTTCCAATTTTTCTAATTTTATTATAGCTGAATTTAGCTTGAGAAATGGGTTTTCGTAAAGATTTTTAGTAGATATATAAAGGTGGTCATATAAGATCTCGGAATTTTTTTTCCAAATCGCGATTGTCGGTGCACAAAAAAGTCGACGCCCAAATCGGAAAATTGGCGTCGACTTATTTTTTTCTTGGCACCGAATTCTGAAATTCGGTAAATTTTTCCAAGTTTTTCGAAATTAGTGCACAAAGTCTTAAGTCTGCACCGAAGACTTAAGTGCTTAAGTCAGCACCGCATTTCGGAATTCGGTGCTGAAAAAATTAAGTTGACGCCAATTTTTCGATTTGGGCGTCGACGTTTTTGTGCACCGACAATCGCGATTTGGGAAAAAAAAATTCCGAGATCTTATATGACTACCTTTATATGGACGCTGCGACTTTTCCGGGCAGCGACAGTTCGGGTCAACGATACTATGGATCGTGTCAGTTCGTCGTTGTATGCACGAGGGAGGCTAGAAGAAAGCTTAGTTAGTAGATTATCTCTGATAAATTTATCGGGTCCTAGGATACAGTGAGGGACCGGTTCCAATAGCAAAAAACGTCTCATTTTGCATCCCGGAAGGGACCAAAATGTCTCCAAACCCTTCCCTCGAGATGCAAAAATAGACGTTTTTTGCCATTGGAGCAGGTCCCTCACTGTAGCTTATCACCTATTTTAAGGTATTTTGCAAGTACTCACATCAATAATATCTAGGTAAAAGTTATGGATATTCGTTTTTTGCCGCAAATCTCGGTCTTTTATCCATATTACAATAAGCCGTAGGGTATTTTGATCGCGTCGATTTCGGCCGACTTACATATTGTTGCATTTTCAAAACCCCCAAGTTTGAGCTTCTAATCGTTCGTATTTCAGCTGGAAGAACAGCTGATGCTCGCCTTACAGGACAGTGTGGGTCGTCAACTTCCCCATGCGCAACCCATGCAGACCCAGCTCACACAACTGGATCTTCGGACGCTTCAGAATCTGCTGATGAGTTCACAGTCGCCAACGCAAATGAGTGGGACCAATCGGAGTCCCCAACTGTTTAACAATTCATTGCTGGATATTCAATTGCTTGCGGGTTTGCCTGGCCTCGGAAACAACCTGTTAGGACATGTGCCAATGGGGAATGTTGGGACGAGAACTCCGATTGGAATTGGGACTGGAGCCGGCGATGTTATTGGTAAGCAAAATGCGTCATACCATGGGCATTGGGTTTGTAACAACGCTTTCCTTTTCATTAAACCTACAACCCGTTTCCAATTACAAAGAAAGAACCTAAAATGCAACCCTCCGCTCCTCTTGAAATTTGTTTCGGATTTTCGTTGTAGGCCACAAACAACCAAATGCAATCTTAGCTCACACATTATAAGAACTACCGATATATTTAATGACTTTTATCGAGAGTTTAATGAGGATGTCAGACGAAAAAGGGTTTTTGATCTGATCCAGTAGCTTATCTCTTTTATTTTAGTTCATCCTTTGTACAGTAACGGCGTGTGTCAATGGCCGCAATGCAACACGTCTTGTGAATCGATGGCGAGCTTTATGCATCACTTGAATGTTGCGCATACCACTGACGACAGCAGTGTAGCTCAATACAAACTTCAAATAGGCATAGTTGAGGGGCTGGAGACCCGGTTGAACGAGGAGCGCTCTCGACTCCAGGCAATGATGCAGCATTTGCAAATGAAGCACTCACCGGACAGCACGCAGCCTCATCTAGGTTTGAACACAACAAATCCTCCCAAACATTCGACGGCATCCGCGACGAGGTCGCCAATGTTGTCGCCGAAGGCAAGCCACGCGGGGCTCCAGGGAATGGAAGCAGTAGGTTTGGGGAGGTTGTTAGTCGGGATGTAGTGGCCTGTAAGCCAGTTTAAATAGTTCGCCTTTCAAATATGGCGGAGAGATGCGTGTGGAATAAAAGATCCTCGAATTTTATAAACAGCGGGCAACAAATCAAGTGTCTCTTAGCTGACGCAAGTCCATACTGTATGTTTGATTTTGATGACTTTTCGTAATTTTTGTTTTTGTGTTGTTGTTTTCTCGTTAAAACCACTTTTCACGCGAAAAGTGGTTTAAGGACAACATAATATTCCGGAAGATTAGGGCCAAATTCGTTGAATGAATGTGGGGATATAGAGACTAATTTCACTCGAAAATGGGATAACTTTTCTGCGTCATGCGGATTAGCCGCTTTGCCACCATTATTGGCTCGAATGCCGTCCAACTGGTTTCGAACTACTGTATGTTTCTTAATCGCTAAAGCATTACAAAAAAGACAAAACTTAAACTTGAATTAGGTCGTTGTAAAAATATCATGCATGCGCATATCATTGATGTATGCGTATCATACATATATTCTATGTTGCAAACTAAAATGATTTTTTCAGAAGCACGCCGGGTTTGGGACGACGCAAACGCCCAACTTTCAACGGAATGTAGCCTCAAACATGTCCGCTTCGTCGGTCAGCTCAAATATTTTAAATTCGTTCTCGCAACAAAGCAGTAGTCAGCTGCCTTCAATGGTAAAGGTAAGTATCATGCTTCGAGCCACAAAAAATGGGGAGGGGAGGGGGGACAGAATTGTAACCTACGAAACATATAGATTTAACGAAAATCTAAGAGTTAGATCGCAAATAATGGGGATCTTCAACGATCCGAATACCTTTAATTTGATGGACCTTTCTGTGAAACAACCTTTTACTCATATTGCTCTTTTAGTCCGAGTCCTCAGCAAGATCCATCAAATCCGAGCATGACGTCCCATTAAACTACGGGAACCTCCATTCCCCATCTCTTTCACCGTCAAGATCGGAAACTCGTGACCCTTTCGGTACACTTAGTCTTCCCGGAACATCACCAGCCGCTTCACCCAATCCAGCGGCCTCCACTTCTTCGTCTTCGGCAAGGAGGAGGGTCTCCGACAAGGCAGTGCTCCCTATTGGAGCCGACATTGCGAAGAATCGGGAGTATTACAAGAACAACGACGTGCGACCTCCATACACGTACGCGTCGTTAATTCGTCAAGCTATAATGGAGTCTAAGGACCGACAACTAACTCTTAACGAGATTTATCAATGGTTTCAGGAGACCTTTGCGTATTTTAGGCGAAATGCGGCGACTTGGAAGGTAATCATTTTGCCTTACTGCCCGTTTTCTGATAAATTAGCTTCTGATTCGCGCTTTTCAGAATGCCGTACGCCATAATTTATCATTGCACAAGTGCTTCGCTCGGGTAGAGCAAAACGTTAAAGGAGCGGTGTGGACCGTCGACGACTCCGAGTTCTATAAACGCCGGCCGCAGCGCTCGAACGCCGCGGTCGCTCGAGCCGCGCTAGCTCTAAAAAATGCCGGCGACTCGGCAGCTTCGAGTCCCGCACCCTCTACGGACATCCATCAACATCATCAGCAGCAGACCTTGAACATGCTGCATCAAGCGCAGTTTTTGGATCTGTTTCAAAGTGTCGGACAACCGAGCACAACAAACGGCTCAAATCCGTTGACGTTGCTTTCACGGGCCGCTGCGCATCTTGGACAGCCGGGAGGCGGTGATGAAATGGTCGGAGCGGAGATTGAGAGCAAACGGGCAAGAAGTCAGAGTCCTAGGCTGGTGATCGATGAATTGTTTGCTCCGATGAGTAGCGGAGGAGGTTCGCTTAGGATTTCAGGTAAGTTGCTATACGAAAAATTGAATTACTCCAAGTGGAGCTCTTCGATTTGCTTTGCTAAAAGCCTATCAAGTCTGCGCTCCTTTTCTAACCTCACTATCTTGCAGATGCGGGAACCTCAATGTCTAGTAGCCAGCCGATAAGACCGTTTTCGAGAACCGAAGGCGTCAACGAGCCGTACATGTTGCCGGGCTTAAGTCAGGCCAACGCCGAGGCCTTGCAAGCTCTTCTAAAGTCCGCAAATCCTCTGGGGATTCTCAGCGGCTTAGAGGAAAAAACTCTGGCAAATTTTGTGAATGCCGGTAGCCAATCGACCTCAATTACGACCAGCTCTCGTTTGGTGGAACAACGTGGCGATTTGGCTGCAAGTCAGGCCCAAGACGAAAGCCAGAGTCCGTTGTCGCGACAGGATTCAAGCGATGAAAGCATTGATGTCCAGCGGCGTTCGAATTCACCAAATTGAGCATTTGTCTTGTCCAATCTCTTCATCGGGTCTCATTCAAAATTCTCTATTTTTGTCACAAATTATATAATCAACTTTTCGATAATTTCTATCGTTTCTTTTCTGAGATAAAAAACTTTTATGCGATTTGAAAAGCGAAGGAATCAAAATCAAGATCGCATCGTAAGATGGTTCAATTTTCTATAAACATGTGTAAATTTTTTTTGTAAAGCAGGCAGTTTCGTTCTTTTAATTGTAAAAGAGTTTCGGTCTTTCTCGGCGTTTATTTTCAACTTCATTTTTCTTTGTGAGGCCTTCGACGAATCGTTACTTCATCCCAACAACAATCATCACATTATTGTACATACGTTCAACTCCTCCTTCGAAATTATGTTTCTTCAAGAAAACCTAGTATGATTTTTCGTGCCAGGCGCAATTTCTTTTTGTATCTAAACAATTGTCAAGACTCATACATATTACCACTAATCTCAACCCATAAGAAGCCCCGTTACTCTTGTTGATCAATAATAATCAAAATCGTTGAATCACTTTTCTTCAAGAACTATTTTTTTAATAATCGATTTATATATTTATACATCGTAAATTATTGACGAATAAAACATGTTGATCCATTAGCGCTGTGTGTTGCTCATGACCACTTTTATTTAATTTTTCGATGATCAAAATGCGTGTGATGCTCAGCCTGCCTTCGGATTTGTTATGCATGTGTTTCTTGACCATAGGGTTTGCAAAAAAATGTATTCATTTTTCTTCAAAAACGACTTCTTGTGCAAAGACCTTCTCATCTTTAAAAAAATGATTTTTTTTATGAATACAGGGTCATACAAAAAACGTGAAGGAAAGTCGGAGGCTATAACTTCCGGCGGAGGCGGCGCAGAAACTTCGCATTTGGGATACGTATTTTTACGCGACATTTATTTTTGCCTACGAAAGAACAAGATTTTACAGGGTGTTTCAAGAAATTTGGAACAAATAATTTGCTTATACCTTTGTGTTCTTTTCAGCTATCAACGAATTTCTTTTTGCTTCTAAAAATTGACGTCGTGCGTTTTTCGAATCTCTAAAAAAATTTTTTTTCGTCGGCGGAGGGCCCATTTCTCGGCGGTGACAATTAGGGCCTTTTTTTAAAATCACATCGTATTACATAGCGGAAACGCCGTTGCAACGGCTGAAATCAAGTTTGCGTTAAACCTCCGTGGATTTTACGGTATGCTTTTTTGCGTTTTCGATTTTACGCACATCCGCGGAGGCGCGGCGGAGACCTCAGATTTCGGCGGACGTTGTTTTGGGCCTTCGGCTTTTGCAGATTCATGTTGGAAAAGAGGTTGGGGCGATTTTTTGTTTTCATCCGATGCACAGATGGCAAAAATTTTGTACTTTCTTTCCCGGCGGCGGATTCGGCGGAGGTTTTATTTTATTTTATTTATTTTATTTATTTTTTTTACGCTTATAGATTTAGGCCCGGGCCTGCGGCCCGGTTTGCAGCAATGCTTACTTTGTTAACTTTTGAATTTTATGGTAGTCTACAACACCGGCCTCTTTTTGATCTATTTGAGGGTAAGTGTTCCTTTTGAACCACGCCCTTTTATAAACGCAACGTTCGAACCTTTGTGAAAAATCACGTTACACTCAATTTGTTCGTATAATAGACTTACAATAAAAATCCGTGTGAACAAAAGAGCTTTTTGGACCCTACAAACCTTTTTTACAGCGGTGTTTGCACTTATCCCTCATTGAACACTATGCAATTTCCGCATGCTTCCGGATCGGTAATAATATGTGGTCAAGTTGGCCAAAACCCCGCCTGCGTCATGAGCAAAAAAACAGACGAAACAAGGCTGTCGAACGGAAGGAAATCTTTGGCTCTCCCACCTGACGTTCGTGAATTTTCATGTCAAGCGGAAACTCGTTGGACGGCCAAGGAAAGGACGAACTCAAAGGAAGAGGGCTCTGATTTTTGGGGAGAATTTGGAAGACCTCCGTGTTTACGCCCGGATTTTCTTTAAACTTGGCGGTAATTTTGACTCATTTTTCCCTCAAAAAGATTGAGATAGATGTAAAGGAAGGCGCTTTTTGTTTATCACTTCCCGTTTCTTCTGCTGTCATGTCGCCAGAGACCGACGAACATCTCGGCTGCCTTTGCAAAACGCGATCTAAGGTTTGCAATAATTGATACGTGACACAATATAGATATAAGAAATTTTAAGTACCTCTGAACGTCGTGTTTAACGGGTTTCAGCGAAATGTTAAGAGTATTTGAAACGGATCTAAAGATATTATAACCATATCTGGATACTGCAATTTCTTTGCCCTGTTGTGAGCTTATAAATAGAGGCCAACCACCGCTCATTTCTCAGTAATCTTTTTGATCAACAAAGCAAAACCTGCGATTTCAATAACTTTTTGTAGACAAAAACAAGTATATACCCCGAAAAGTGCGACGTCTTACTTTTTATCAAAAAAAATTTTTTTTGGGAAAACCATTGTAAGCTATAGCCGAACACTTCTTTCTTTGCTCATTTCTCCTAATTCGGCATAGTCCCTCATTTGACAAAAAATTGAATATTTATGCTTTACAGAAAAAAAAGCAAGCTAGCATTTTTAATCGGTTTACAACCCTTACATATATCAGTCTGTCGGAAAAATAACGGTGGATCGTCGCTCCTCGGAATCGCCCATCATCGCTTTGCGACCGCAAGCCGCGACTTGGGATTTGGTGCGCGGTAGCGGCGAGGCGAGACATTTTGCTGCGACGATCCGCCGTTATTTTTCCGACAGACTGATATATACGCAAATATATAATAATAGGCATGCGGAGTTTCAAGGGTGTTGCTGAGAATGCTCAAAAAGCCTTATATTTTTGTTGATTTCTCTTTTCCCAAACTTTAATCCATGTATCCTCTGACGTTTTGATCAGACTGAATTTCTCCGACATCCGTGTTTGACCCATTTGAAGCCAATTAAGTGTTCATATCCAGCTGATCACCGTAATATAAAACGTCGGCTATGGGCTCGTTTCACTCTTTAGCCTACAAAAAAACAAATTATGTTCAAGCCGTTGTGCATTTTTGCTTGTGTTGTTTTCTACTTTGGGGCCGGCGTTCTGATCGATTAATTTCAACACTTTCATTTTTCTCAATTCCCTTGTGTTTACCCTCCACCGTAAAACATTTGGTGTTGAGTCCAGGGTAGAGCAACGGGTACGCCTTGTCGGGACGCACTGCGGCCGTACGCCATAAAACTATAAATCGAACAATTGCGAAGGCTCTGACCAATTTTGTGACAATGGCGAATGACGTCCAAACAAAATGCGAAAGCATTAAGCACTAGAGTTGAAAGCTTTCAAATTGAAGCCGGCGTGTTTCAAAAAAAAACACGCTTTTAATTTCGCAAATAAATAAAAAGTTTGATCATCGGTGTCGTTTTGCCTTCACGCCGATTGAACTGTAAATCCCCAAAAAAAAGCAGCAGAGAGGCTGTTTATCCGGTGGACAATTGAGTAATAGAGTGAACGCAGCTCCGCGGTTATTGTTGATGTAGAAAACGTTTGACTTATGAGACTTTGCAAACAAATACGCGCCTTTCATACACGCGCACAGCATTTTTTGGACATCTCGTTGCAGTTTAAAGTTCCCAAGTTAAATTTGGAGTTTAAAATCGTACAGTTTACTTTAAGGTTTCTATTTTTAGGAACCATGGATGACTCCGAAACCATGTCCGAGTTTGAGCTGTGGCAAGGCGTGGGCGCGTGTGTAATTGCCGCTGTTGGTTTTGGGACACTGCACGTTCCAATTAGGCGATATCCGACAGGAGATGGTAAGATTTTTTTTGAAGAATTTCGGAGAAAGCGCGCTGGCCACGCAAAACTCAGATCTGTGAAGAATTTGGGAAAGATTAAGACCAAGACTTTCACTGTAGCGCATGCTGGACTTCTAGCCTTCAAACTGCAGAAATTACCGCCAGTTGTAGGATGAAAAATGCCAGAACTGCGCTTTCTTTTGCCATCCTTTTGTATTTTCCTTAGTGTCTTGCTTATATTCAAGATCTGTCTTGATTTGTAATTCGAGAACTTGAAGATCTACAGTTTGATCTTTTCATGCACTAGCTAGCCGCTACATCACATTTTAAAAATTATTTTTTGCACCTCAAACTTGTAGCGTGCTTGTTACCCAAGAACTAAATTTTTTCAGGTTTCTTTGTGCAATGGGCGATGAGCGTCGGGATATTGTTAACCGGATTCATTGTTAATATTATCGAGGGTTTCCCATCCTTTCAGCCGTTGGCTGTGATTGGCGGGATCGTTTGGACGGTGGCAAATACGGTCTCACAAAAAGTCATCAGTGGACTTGGGCTGGCGGTGGCCTTACTACTATGGAACACGACAAATTGCATAACAGGCTGGGCGACGGGACGTTTTGGATTGTTCGGAGTGAAAGCAAGGGCACCCGCTAGCGATGCCCTTAATCTTGCCGGATTGGGATTTGTACTCTTGGGGTAAGCAGTCCGATTAACATACAAATTGTTTGACTTCATTCATTGTTGTTAGGTCAGTTTAATTCCGACCGTTTTTGTTATGCGGGATTAGTCGGCCTGACCTGCAGGGCTTATTGAGCCAATAACTTGGGAAAAACTTATCAAAAATTTGAAAAACGCTTCAGTTTCTCGTTGCAGAGGATTTGTGATCGCATTCGTCCGGAAAACCCCTCGAATAACGGACCCGTTAAGCGGCCACTCCAGCTACGTCGCTCCCGTTCCCTCCGATTACTCACCGACACCCGGGTTTTATCATCACGGACACGACGGGATTGAGCCATACCCTCAAACACACCACAGATTTCATCGAAAATCGAAATCTCTTCCATTGATCCTCCAGCCTGATCACTCGAAATGCGACGACAGCGGAAAAAAATTGAACGCAAACCGCATTCTGTGCATAATTTTGGCGCTGATCTCTGGTCTCTTCTATGGAGCCACTTTATTACCCATATTTTACATTCAAAATCATCATGATGACTTTCCGTACGCACCGACCGCGGGTTTACCGTTTGTTTTTTCGACGTACTTTGGTGTCTTTATTGGTTCCAGCAGCATTTTCGTTGGATATGCGTTATTGCGGTAGGTCGACAAGACAGTTGTTTAAAGCGCAACGCCGAGATGTTAAAAACAAGACTAAAATTTGGCAATATTAGCACTAGAAATTGAGCCTGGTGCAATCCAGGAATTTGCTGAATGTAATGGAAGCGAAACCTTTGAAAACCCATATGCAACTTATACCGATGAAAACATAGAGAATTTTTAAGAACGCCTAATTGACCGCAAATCACGCTAGGTTGAAACATATTATAGACGAGTTCTTTTCACGACTCATCCTTTCTTTTACTTCTCACACCTTTCAGGAAGAACAATCCAATTGTCAATCCAAAAATAGTGTTGCCGTCGATGGTCGGCGGTGTGATATGGGGAGTCTCGATGGCGGGAATGATCTTATCCAACGATCGTCTGGGACAGACCATAACGTACCCGATTACTACAACTGTTCCCGGCTGCGTTGCAGCCCTGTGGAGCGTATTTTATTTCAAAGAAATCACAGTGAGTGCAATCAGACGAGCCTATATGTATATGTATATAAAGGTGGTCATATAAGTATTTAAAAATTTTGTTTCCCAAATCGCGATTTTCGGTGCACAAAAAAGTGGACGCCCAAATCGAAAAATTGGCGTCGACTTAATTTTTTCTCGGTGCCGAATTCTGAAATCCGGTTCATTTTTTAAGTTTTTCGAAATCAGTGCACAATGTCTTAACTCTGCACCGTAGGCTTAAGTGCTTAAATCAGCAGTCCACTATTTTGTGCACCGAAAATCGCGATTTGGGGAAAAATTTTTTTTAATATTTATATGACCGATTTTGTATACAACACAAAAAGCATTTGCAGTAATTTATGCAGAAAATTTATTTCAGACAAAGCGAAACTACCTTTATTTGTGCGTTGCATTTGCTCTCATATGTGTTGGGACATTGTTGGTGGTTTTGTCGAAACTCAATTTATAATCTGGACGGTGAAACAGCTTTAAACAATATCTCATAACAAGTTGAAAAACTGGTATTATATTTGGCTAATAAACTCATCCGCGGCGAGAAAGAGGAGTTTTTTTAGTTTTAACGCGCCGAACGCCTAGTCTTGTGTAAGAAAGCAATCAACGTATTATTAAGAACGCCTTTAGAAGAGATGCGAGTCTTACTGCTAAAACTTTCGTTTTAAAACGGCGGGGGAAAAGTACGATTGGGGAAACCGAAAAGGTACAGGGTGCACCAATTTTATGGCCCGATTTGAATCGGCTATAACTTCTTTAATTTTGGGCCAGATGTTAAAATTCTTTTTTTTCCTGAATCCTCAGACGTCCCCATTTTGTTTAATACCAAATATAACATACCTTTTTAGTAAACTACAGTAAAAAGTAACAAACAATAAAAAACTAATATTTTCTTTTGCTGTTTTCGGTTGTTAAAATTGTCGGCTCTAAAAATGGAAAGTTATGTTGGACCAAAAAAACTTAGACTGCGAAACTTAGATTGAATTTCACCTTTGTTTATGGCCAAACCTTTTCCCCAACTTTGCGGATTTTTAAAATTTTCATATCTGTGCCCTTCGGGTTTCATCCCTTAGAAGCGAATTTGCTTTGGGTTTTTTGATTCCAAACTGTGCTACACAAAATTCTAAACCGTATGAACCTAGGTTTGCCGCAATTATCTTCCACGTTCACAAGATACGACTGATTTTTGGCATTTTACTCCACTCTCCACTCCTCTGTTTTTTCCTTATGCAGTACAGTAGAGCAGTAATTCGTTTAATTTTTTTAAATGCTGAATTTATGGGTTTTCGAAGGTGCTGGTCGAAAATCATGTTAACTTTTCCTCTAGTACTAAATATTACTATCTGGTACTATGTAATAGTACAAGGTGTAAATTTAGCCTTTAGGTGTTAGTGGTGTTGTTCTGATGCTTAGTTCTCATATTTTCACTTCGTACTACATAGTATCTGACGGTACTAAAAAAGGTGTTTTTTGAAGAGAATAAGAAATTATTTTACTCATTTCAGACCTTGTACATGAAGCTAACGCTAATTTCAAAAAATTTCTTGTCTGGGCTGCTTTCTTTTCGGAAAAACCACATTAACTGTTACATTATACAATATATGTAGCTCAGTATGAGTTCATCAAACAGCTAACTAAAAATCTTGGAGTATTTTCTGATCATATCATCCACTACGAGCAGCTACCGTAACACTTTAGGCTTCAGAAGACTCAGAAACGACGAGAATCACCAAATTTGGTACGCCGATTCAGCCTCAGCGCGTCGGAGACATACAGTAGTTGTCAGCGAATTGTCAATTTTTTTATTTCGAGTGTAACTTTGCGCAGACTCGACAGAATTTGATGAGACCAAGAGCGTTTAAGAGGCTGGGAGACCCGCTTTAACCCTGTGCAATTGCTTTATTTCATATCAGCCAGAGGCGTGGTGAAAATTTTAAAACACAATTTTTTTGGTGGACAACGAATTGTCAATTTTTACATTTCGAGGTATAAGATCTCAATAAACCAGCATACAAGGACTACAATGAAGAGTAGCCAGTTGCTAGCAACTATAGAACAGCATAGAACCGGCTTTGCCCTTTGTATAATCTCCTTCGCCTTCTATGGGTACTTGGGGGTAAACCATGTGCAATATAATGTCAGCTTAGGGGTCTCAAATGCCGAAATTATTTGATATTCCGGTTTTTAATGGAAGAGTATTGCTTATGTGTAACACAGTCGCACCAGATTACAACTGGTGCGACTGTGTTTTTTCAGCCACCTCGAGGTAGAACCAGCAAAAAAGCGTTAACTCTATGTTTTACACCATCGACAATTAAAATCTTAATTGGTACGGATAAGTTTATTGACCAAATAAAATATCAGTTTTTCAACTTATTATGACATATTGCTTGAAGCGTTTTTACCAGATTGTAAATTGAAATAAATTTTCTGCATAAATTACGGCAAGGATTGTTTGCAGCCCTGTTTTCTTACACTCACCGCGATTTCTTTAAAGTAAAGACCGGCAACCCGACGTTTTTTGAAGGCTGTTATGATGTGCCAGTTATCTTTTGGGTCATGAAAGCCTTGCACGGCTTGATCCGCTCTAACCAAACACTCTAAAGCAAATGTGATCCAGCAAAGTCCAAATTTATAGTCACTACGCACCAAAGAGAAAAAAAATTATGGCCAATTTCTGGAAATTGCTTTTAGTTATTCATCTATCATTTACAAAGCCGTTTAGACCTTTGTTTAATCATCGCTGGTGCAGGTTTTAAACAGTACGATTAACTTAGGATTTCGTTGCCTTTTTCTAAGCCTCAAATATTTAGTTGAGTTGTTAGTTATTGAGTTTTGAGCTGGACTTTTGCGCTTTAAGTAGGCATTTTTTTATAATCATGCGGCTTCTTAGAATAACGTAAAGCTTTCCGCGTAGACCTAAGGCCAAGTAAGAAAATGCCTTGGCTTAGCATTTTTGCGCTTTTAGCTTAGGCTAAGGCTGATTTTCAGCTCAGGATAAGTCTGATTCTTAGTCTAGCTTAGGCTAAGTCTAATTCTCAGCTCAGGAAAAGTCTGATTCTTAGCCTAAGCGTATGCTTAGGCTTAGGCTTAGGCTTAGGCTTAGGCTTAGGCTTAGGCTTAGGCTTAGGCTTAGGCTTAGGCTTAGGCTTAGGCTTAGGCTTAGGCTTAGGCTTAGGCTTAATATATACTATATTTAGGTTCGGGTCTCGTGGTCTGGGAAAGTCCGGAACAAAGTGGATTCGTACGTGCCCAAATGTGATCATTTCAACTGCTAATCAATTTTTCCCTGATTTGTTCTCAGTCGTATTTTAGAAATTACACTTGCTCGTATCTTTGCCTATTCTTGTTCTTTCCGGCTGAAACTTGCCTTGATTACTTCCCATACGCATGTTTGTGGAACCTGCAAATTTGGTCCAGATTGCTCGCGGGCAACCATGTTAGGCTTGGCCATTTCCTAAGCCTACGGCGTCATTTCGGTAATTTCGCGCCCGCAAAAAGAAAAGCGAAACGAACGAGGGGAGAGAGCGTGTCTGTGTGGTGTGGGGGTTGTGGGTTGAATTCGTGGGTTCGGTCGGTTGCTGGTTCGATTTCCTCTGTCTCTCGTATGTTCTCTCTCGGCTTGTGTGTTCTCTCTGCCGCCTCTATGTTGCGGCGCGGGTGGCGGTTGCTGCGGGCGGGGTAGTTGAGAGGATTGGGTGTGGTAAGGGGGGACACTTTTCTTTTCCTTTGTCTGCAGGTGCTAGAATGCACAAATTGCGTGTAATTTTTGGATTTTTGCACTTGGTGTGCAAAACTTTAGGCTTATTAAGCCTAAGAACATTTTTTTCGTCCGTTAAGGTCGGGAGTGGGCTTGCTCGAAAGCTGATTGTCCACAGATGATGGAAAAAATAGAAAAAAATTTTTTCCGAAGAGTGAGCGCGGCCTGCGCGCGGCCGAAAACTCAAAGTTGTGCGTTAAGGTCGTGAGTGGTGTGATTCGAGAGAGCTTCCATAGGGCTACGCGGCAAAAATACCCCCATCCCGATCGGCCGCTTCATCGTCGAGAAACGGCCGAAAAGGTTTTTCCGAATTTTGCGGTTTTTCGCCTCCAGCCACGCGCTCTGCCAATCGCCGCTCCCAAAACCTATTTTTTATGACATAAAATTTCGGTGCCCATCGAATGGAAGTGGTCCCGAGTCGCTAGCTGCAAAAAAAGTCGTCATTTTTGAAAAAAATCGGAAGTTATTGACCAAAAAACGCGGAGGACTGGGTGGCGCGCTTCGCGCGCACCCCCTACCCCTTTCCGCTCCTCCCTTCCCACCTACACTCGTGCTCCACACACCAGCGGTGCGGACGAATTCGAAAAATTCGAAGAAAGTTGCCTCAGGCACTTAGCCGCAGGCACTTTCGCCTAAGGCTATTTTCGGCCGTAACTTTGGCCAATTTATGCTTGGACCCGAGATTCTTTTTGCTTCAGGCTGTCAGTTCGATTTCACGTCTTTTGGTTTTTGTCCCGTCTTTCTAGCTGATCTCCTTCATGGTGAGGCTTAGTTATGCCTGAGGCATTTAAAAACAAAATTTCGTCCGTTAAGGTCGGGAGTGGGCTTGTTCGACAGCTAATAGTCCACTGATGATGGGAAAAGTTGGAAATTTGAAGAAATTTGCCTCAGGCACTTAGCCTCAGGCAAACTTAGCCTCAGGCCATTTTTGGCCGCAACTTTGGCCGATTTGTGGCTGGAACCGAGATTTCTTTTCCTCCAGGATCTACGTTCGATTACGCATCTTTTGTTTTTTGTCCCGTCTCTCTAGCTCATCTCCTTCCTGGATAGGCTTAGCGAGTAGGCGCAGGCTTAGCGATTCGGCTTAGGCTTAGGCTTATATATATTCTTTAGACTCAGGCTTCGATTTCTGGGATTTTTGAAATTTTTTTTGATTCATACACAGTTTGGCCGTGCACCTCCGAATTTTTTGGTGCCACTTGTCAATTTTGCCTGAGGCGTATTTTAGCCTCGTTTTTTCGCCGTAACTTTGGCCATTTTGTGATTGGACTCGAGATTTTTTGGCTGTAGGATCTACATTCCATTTCACGTCTTTTGGTTTTTGTCCCGTCCTTCTAGCTCATCTCCTTCATGGTTAGGCTTGGCCTTAAAGTTAAGCCTTTTGCGAGAGAGAATAGCGAAGAGAGAGGACGGCAGAGGAGTGAATCAACTCCAAAAATAGCCGTTTCCCCAGCCGAAACTTGACTAGCGATTCGGGTAAAGGAATTCGAATTTTTTGTTTGTTGCAAGCTTTCGGGGTTGCTTGCGGTGGGGTGGGGGTGCGGCGCGGCTGGGGTATTTTGGGAGGGTGGGGTAAGGGGTGATTTTTTTTTTGTTGTGCAGGCGCTACAATGCGCCCATTGCACGTAATTTTTGGATGTTTGCACTTGATGTGCAAAATTTACACGTAATTTTTGGATTTTTGCACTTGATGTGCT